CACTGGAGCCTTTATCCCTTTTGAAGAAATACAGGCTTACATACATTATTAACGATTCAACGCCCACCGAAGTCCCAGGGACCAACAAGACCCTTTCTCAGTCCAAGACAATCAAAGAAACCCCTTCAACGTTCAGTGAAGTGTTAACTTTGCCATCTAAAGTATCAGACAATGCCAGTCAATTACCAGGGAAAGAATGGAAGGTATGGGCAAGCAATCAAACGTATAAAAAACAGGAAATTGCCGCAAAATCTGCTCAAGTCTCACCACCTACTCAACCAGCCCCACAATCACAAAATGCAATAGCTCTACGAGGTGCACCTGTAGACAACAATGTCTACTCCAAGAGAACTATAAAAGGAAAACAGTTTGAACGCTATAAATATCTCTATTTGGAAAATGTTTTTCAAGATGAACATGACACTGATGATGACATCTGCGATGATGTCATAAAATTTGGATATGAACACGGTGTTTAAATAATGTACTGTCATGTGGTGCACAATAGAATGCCTCATACCCATGTGGGATGTAAAATTGCTGTAGTGGAGTCCAACTTTCAACAGACTATGATTATTGATTGGCCGGATCCTATTGTCTGTAGGTAATGGCAAAACTGGAATGAATGTCGAAGGATTAGAGGTGAAACTTTTAATGCCTATGATCAATAAGTCAATAAACGCTTAATATCAAAAAATCACAATGAAACACCTGATCATTCTATACTGTATATACAGCTTATAATTATAAGCTTATTAATAATAGTAATTTTAACCCAATGGAATGCAAATGGTATACACTCATCAGAAATTTATTTGCGTGAATTGCTAAAAAGAAGTGATATTGTCGCAGTGTCAGAATATCGTTTATATGAATGTAATCTAAACAAGCTTAATGAAATTCATCGTGACGTTGAGTGCTTAGTAGCTCATTACTTAACCCTATGAATTGTGGAATTAGTTGGGGACATAGCGGAATAGCGCTATCTTGGCGTAAAACCTTTAAAAATGCCATATCGCCAGTGCGAGAATTTTGCACGGATAGAATTGCATGCATAAAAATTGAAGGTGAAACGCCTGTATGTCTTTTCGGTATATCTGCCTCAGGCATCGTGTAAAAATGAGAGCTTTGAGGATGTTGTTATTTATTTAGAAAAATGTATATACAAATGTGTAGCTACGGGTTATGTAATTTTACTTGGCGATATAAATGCGAATTTTGGAAACGTATTTCAAACCAAAAGAGCGTACTGTACATGCACTGTAAATGGTAATATGATGGGCTTACGGACAACTCATCAGCTAGACAACTCATCCCTGGACAACTCATCCCCTAGACAACTCATCCCCTGGACAACTCCCCTGAATATCTCATCCCCTAGGCAACTCATCCCCTTCTCATCCCTTAGACAACTCATCCCCTAGACAACTCATCCTTTATCACATGAAGCCAAATTGTTTTATTGTAAAGTAAATATTTATTAAATACATCTTGAATCATTCAAAATATTATTTTTCACGTTATTGACACAAATAATATGGTCAAACAGTCAAATGTGCCATTAAAACTTTCGTCTCTTGTCCTTATATTACATGACTTGATATTTCATGACAAAAAATAAAGTTTTCTCTCTGCATAATTTTGTAACATGAACTTCAGTAACTTCATCTGTGACTGCTGTGAAAAAATAATCTTTGGATTAAAGAATATTTGAATATAATAGCAAACATAATAGACATCAAAGGAGCTTATAACATCAAAGCAGCTTCTTCAATCGATGTTTACATAATATTGAAATTGTATATTAAGAGTAAAATTAAAGGTAAATATTTAAAAAAACAAATTACAGATTAATTGGTTGATTATCTGCTTGACAATACCACAGTTGTACCATGGTATATCACAGTTTTTAAACAACTTGCCAGATTTCCCCTCAAGAAAGTCTTTGTTCACTTGTACTCAGAAGAAAACAGAATCGTACCTTTAATAACTCACTATTGTTATGTAAATGGAAAGAGTTAGAAGTGCAGATCTTAACCATTTTTGAAGTTCTGTTTACGTAACAAAAGTGAGGTATTAAATCTAGGATCGTGTTTTCTTCTGAACTATTTGTTCGCATGTACACATGTACATTTTCTTAGACATATGATATTATGCCTACTATTACTACTGGAGAAATAAGGAAAAGACAAAAATCGTACCTTTGAGGCTCTGACATTTTGTTACCGAAACAATCTGTTTACGAGATAATCGAGTGGAGTACCAGTGTTCATGTACAATATATGATTTTGAAACTTAAAACTTATCATGATAATCAATACATTTAAAAATCATTTGAATAATGTATGATTAATAATATTACATTAAATTACTCAAACATGCCAAAGGATGAGTTGTCCAGGGGATGAGTTTCCCAGGGGATGAGTTGTCTAGGGAATGAGTTGTCCAGGGGATGAGTTGTCCAGGGGATGAGTTGTCTAGGGGATGAGATGTCCAGGGGATGAGTTGTCTAGGGAATGACTTGTCCAGGGATGAGTTGTCTAGGGGATGAGTTGTCCGGTTACCATATGATGTATAATTGTATGTTGCGTAATGGGTTAACATCTCTTGATTTGCAACGTCGAACAAGCGGCCCTTGCTATACATATGAATCAGGTACTGGGTACAAATCATATATAGATCATATACTGGTGTCCGAAGAACTACTACCTGCATGTTTAAGCTGTAAAGTACTGGCAGATAGTTTTACAATTGGATGTGGTCATCTTGCTATAGAATCTGAAATTGATCTGCCATCTATTTTAATGCAAAAAAAGTTCTCATTGTGCGTCAATCAAGCCAACTTTTGCATGGCATAAATTAACAGATCAATTAAGGGGTGATTACACAAATGATGTCGATACTCGGTTTAAAGTTTAAAAATGCGAAACGTACCTTTTCAAAATTGTATAATTTAACGAAAATGAGTATGAACTGGCACAACTCAGCAACTTGTGCTATGCTGATGACTTAGATCAGAATATGTTCTGGCACCTTTTAAACAAAAGTAGATTATATGTTAAAAATCGGGTAAATCAATCAGAGATTATAATGGTCAAGTAATTACGGATCCAGTAAAGTATGTCAAGAATTGAAATTTTATTTTAGTCGATAAGGTCTTTACGACACAAGAGACATCTTTAATTCAGACTTTGAACAATATGTGATTGATAAGGATGGAATTGAATTGTATGAATAATTTTGATGGAATTTTTGATAATGATATATCTGAATGTGATGTTAAGAAGTCAATAGGGAAATTAAATATGAATAAAAAAGCAGCTGGCCACGACAGTATCAATTCTGAACATGTAAAATACGCTGGTGAAAATATTGTGTCTTTGCTCACCATTTTATTTAATGCAATGATCGCAAATGTATGTACCTGAGAACTTCTGCTTAGGGATCTTACTGTCATTGCTCAAGTCTCGTAACAAAGATTGTCTTAATAAGGATCACCACCGTGTGATAACCCTTATGACAATCTTTCGTAAGATTTTTGATAATATTGTTCTTTGGAAAATTACTGTGTACTGCAAGGTCGCATACCGCAATTACAAGGTGCGTCTATTAAAGGTTGTTCATCCTTGCAAACATCTCTAATAGTGCAAGAAGCCATATCTCACCAAGAAAATGGCACAATTATGGCATTAATGGACATTGACAGTACATGGATACGAGGCCTGTTCCATAAGTTATATAATTGTGGTATAAATGGTTTATGTTGGAGGCTCTTGTATCAATCATACAACAAGTATAAGGTTTTTGTAGATGGTATTTTATCGGATACTTTTCCTGTAAATAGAGGTGTTCACCAGGGCGGGATATGTTGTATGTTTCTCTACCAGTTCTTTATAGCAGACCTTTTGCAACAACTGGTAGATTCGGCAAAAGGAGTAAGACTTGGTGAAACGTCTGTAGCATGTCCGGCATACGCTGATGATATTGCCTTAATGCAAACACTGCAGAAAATCTAAATGCTCTGTTGAGTATTGCTACCATGTATAGTAAAAGATGCAGGTTTGAGTTCCATCCAGAAAAATGTTTAGTGATCAGGTTTGGTCCAAACAAAAATGCTTTTTGTGAATGCAAATTAGGAGACAATATTCTTAAAGTACAAAAAGCTGCTAAACATGTTGGCATACCTTTAGGCAAAAATTCAGAGCATGTATCAAATTTGATTTCACGCAGCAAAAGGAAATTATTTTCTCTGCTTGGCTTGGGAGCAAATGTAGGAGGCTTAAATCATCTGATAGCTTCCAAGTTATACTGGAGTTTGAGACAGTTTCGTTCTTAGCTCCTTATACAGTTATATCCAGCCTGTTATATCCAACACTGAGACTAATATTGAGATGTTTCACTGTTTTAAAACCATTTTTATGATGGGAAGTTGCCAGGCGCTTTCCAAGAAATGAAAATGAAATCAGGAACATAAAGGATAGGTAATTACGGACAACCAATGTCTGAACGAGTATGTTTATTATGCAATTTAAATGTCACCGAAGACGTACAGCATGTATAACTATTGTGCCCAGCGTATATATATATAAAAGATACAATTTATTTAGTGAATTATATAAACTAGGAGTCAACAACTTTTGTGAATTCATATGTTTCATTTTCGGTGGAGGGAGTGAATATGATCCTGAAATAATGCTTCCATTGCTGGACACGATATATGAAATTTAAGAAGGGATTACCTTCTTAAATTATTGTAAATAATAGCATGCTCTGACATAGGTGCATGTTAATTTGCTCATCCAACATACCTATATAACTTGTAGTATTTTTCGCATACTTTTAATTTTATCTATTTTTGTAACATATTTATGTATATGTACTCATCTTTAAGATGGTAAATAAAATAACATAACATATAGTATGGGAGAAGGGTAGAATAAGCATATAGTAGTTGATCCTAAAATTTTAGACAAATCCTTACTTAAAGAAACAATAATATGTAAGTGTAGAATTATGTGACTTACATGTAGTTGTTCAAATTATTTATTTTGCACGTTATTCACAATAAATATTTATACTAAAGCCAAATGTATAGAAGTCGTTTTACACAACCCATTAAATGCGTAGTGTTTTGGCAAGATGAAAAGGGCAAATATTGTAATTGTATATTGTATAAATAAAATTAAAATCAAATGTCCATTTACATTAGTCCTTGTACAACCTCAACTAAGGCTATAGCCAGGTTATATTCAGAATGTCCCTCTGCTAATTGATTTACGACGTGTCCCATTAATGTTGCAGTGTCTGATAGGGGAGGATTTGCACAGTGAAGTGTGGAGAAATCCTGAAAAGGAAATTCAGACTTCAACCTGAATGACGAATAACATACTCGATCAATAGACTAAGCTACAAATCTTACCAATTATCATCCGAAAGGTATCATTTTGAATTTTTCATGATGGAAGAAAATTTCATTATGGGAAACAAACTTCACAGACATATACATTTAATGTAATTCAAGAGATTGAACCTAATACAGGTAAATATTGTATGTGCATGTACTCTAGTTGCTATTATTTTGACCTTGAATATCAATTATTTTTCTGGTTTATTCAAGTTCACTAGAAGCTGCACCCATTTTATGTCAAAGTTGCATATATACAGGGTGTCCCAGAACTCATGAGAATTTTTTAAGGAGATATAAGGCATGGGTGATCTTTCTTTAAATTTTGTACTTGCTAACTTTTTATTTCACTGAATAAAGTTTACATTTGAAGCTGTAAAAGTACAAGATGGAAAGATTCAGCCTTTTTTAGATTTAGTTTTACAGATTGATTGAAATATAGTGTAATGTACTTCAAAATGCCAAATCAGTTAAAGGCATAATCAGATCAGTGATAATTATCAATTGGTGAATTTGTTTAAGATTCAAAGTGCAAAATGAGGAAAATGCTTAAACTCTCCCAAATAAGAAATGTGGTTCCCCAAATAAGAAATGTGGTTCCCCAAATAAGAAATGTGGTGATCACATTGATGAAGAGATGAACATATTATTGTCAAAATCTTAAGTTTTCCTCAAATAGAGTATGGTATGTGGATTTTTAGGAAACAGGCATGACAACGAATGATACGAGCCCAAAGTAATCCAGAAGTGAAACAACATTTGTTATAGGTCGCTCGCTATATCTGATACCACCTTTAACATTCTGTGGATATACTATACCAGCTGTCTGATCCAAGTGGAGAGTGTAGGGGACATGTTTGCTAACATCTCAGTGCAACCAGGAGGATCACACTTTAACATGAAATGTGCAACTCTCTGTCCGGCTAGAAGCAATAGCTGAGAACCCATCACAGCATTGTCACTCACAGCAAGCAAGATCTAAAATTAAACAACTTAAAATTTACCTAAATATGCTCAAGAACTAATCAGTATTAGGTTTTTATACCAAAAAACAATCTTGAAAAATGCAAATCATTTGCTCAAAAGGATTACCATGAAATGCACCTGTCCAACCAACAGTCTTGAATTTTGATAGCAAATGTTCACTTCCTTAAGTCTTAAGGAATGGAATTTTAAATTTAAAAAAAATATATATTCATAAATTTTAAAACTGGGGCCTTTAAACAAACAATTATCATAAAACATGTGAAATTGTGATGTACAGGGTGACCCATAAAAACAGAACCCACAAATATTTGAATAAAACTGTTGGGTTCTGCTTTTTGGGTCAACCTGTATTTGTAATATGTAACCTCTTCAGCCAGTTTATCCTCTGCTATACTGTACAGTTCCAGCACATGATGTCTTGTAAGTTCATCCTGGTCGAGACCAAAGTCTTCTGCCAGTGTCTGCATTAATGATGGCCATTTTATGTGGGGCTGCTCTTTTGATTTCAAGGAGGTATTATCTACAGATTTTTCATCTGGATCTCGTAAAGTTTGCACTGCATTTGCAATGACACGTTTCATAAACTGGAATAGAATAGGACACAATATATGTGAAGGGTAATAATCAAAATAATGAAGACCTTCGTTAATACTTCTTTCACACCAAACCATTTCTCACTTTGTGCTTGAAAATCTTGCCTAACAAACTTACTGTATGTGAACAAATTGGAATTTTTATTGGACCAAATTTTAGAAAATTGCTAACCAGCATGTCAAATTCAAATTAAATATTGCAATTTTCAATTTTTGTTGGTGTTACATTCTAAGAGGTAAATTTTATAACACAAACCTGCTTTCTAATATCTCTGACACTTGAGTCTGTAGTTCTTGCAGTTGGCAAAAGAGGGTGTGAGTGTAGTTCCTTGAAAAATGCAGCCTTCCCCTGAAAAAAATAGACACTTAAATATTGTCGTAATCCAATCCATATGTTATGTTATAGCCCCCCCCCCCCTGGCCAAAAATTCTCTCAAAATCATGCAGTTTTCCACCATTCTGAGCACTTTTTTAGTGATTTTGACCACAGTTTTCAAAAGTGAACCCCCCTGGAATTTTTCAAGAGTGAACCCCGCCTTTGCAAATCCTGGCTATGGGCCTGTATTATTTAGTAAAATGAAAAAGTAGGCATATGACGCAGAGTGCACAATGTACAGGAAACATGGTTTCTCCATTTTCACATTGTAGTGTCTACATGGGTGAAGCAAGAGCATATTATTTATCGAGGATCTCATATACAAATTATACATAATTAGGGGGTTGACTCATAATACATCAAGACATATCATGACTATATCCATGCATGCATGATACCATATCAAATAAATCTGTTATTCACTGTTAGGGGTAGATATAAAGTATACCTAATCCCTCCCAGATAATAACTCATATTTACTGAGTAAAATGTCTAAAAACGTCTCTTATTGAAAATACCCCTGAATCACAACTCTAAATGAACATACCTTTGCATCAAACAGTGAAATAGGTTTGACTGACTTCATAGTGAATTCTAATATTGCATTTAGGACAACAGTAAGGTGAAAATGGTGAAGTAAGAGCCCATAGTTGGTCTCTCGTTGATCTACAGCAAGCTCTGCAAGGGGGGTTGGTCCTTTAATGGTTTGCCACATATCCTCAATGTTAAATATAGGGATTTCGCTGACGTTACAGTTGGCCTACAACAAATATTTAAGTTAATTTTAAAAAAAAGAAAAAAAAAATTAAGAAAAAGTGAATCTGACTTGACAAAGATTAGTTTTCAAATCATTCAAACAAATTCATGAAATAACAAAATCATTGAAACCAATTATTCAAGTTGTAGATAATAATTTCACATTCATCATAAAACCGAGAAATTGTGTATATCCATATCTACTTGTATAAAGCATCATCATTAACAAAATAATGGGAGATATTTCAATATGAGTGGTTATTTTGAAATATTAGTATCACAAGTTATATAGTATTAGAATAAAAGGGTAACATGTGAGAGCCAAAACAACAAATACTAAATAAATCCATGCCCAGAGAGGTGAATCATTCGTTTTTGTCATGAATAGAACAATACAGATGCAGGTGCCAGGTATTAAGTAACTATACAATAATTCATTCAATCTGACAAAATATCTAACCAAATAATCTCTCATGGATTTGTTTAACTTGTATTCGTGAATGCAACTTTCGTCCGTAAATATGAATGGAATAGTGGCAGGAACTATTCATATTTATATGAGTTGCCCATAAAATAGTAGGTTAATTTGGTAGGTGACAGCTTAAAGTTGCATTCAGCATGGTGTTAAAAAAATTATCACAACATTGCAAATTTTTGCATGCACATAAAATCAAATGCTGGTATTGCAAACGTAGTGAAGAAGTTCTTTAATAGGTTGTCAAATATATGAGAACCGTATAACTTTCAACTTAATCCATTACATGTAGATTTGCATGTAGTATAATACTACATCATGTAGTATAATACTACATAGCATGGAATCATTAAAATTAGGTTTGTGGCTACACATCATTCAGCAAACAATCATCCATTATAACTTCATACTATGATAAAAAGTGACAATATAAGTACATGGGTGATATCATTTGACAAATAGGAATGCATTGTTAGTCATGAAATAGGAATGCATTGTTAGTCATGAAATAGGAATGCATTGTTAGTCATGAAAAAACTAGTTATTGTTTTCGATTTTGTTTTCGATTTTACCATTAAATATCAAAATTAGTCAGGAAAAATTTGCTAAATATTAGTTAATTTGACAATGATTGGACAAAATATGGTCTCATGCTCACCAGATTGCCCCGAATCCCCAATGTTTAACAGCTCTCACTCATAATTGGCACAACCAGTTTTATTAATAACTTTTAAGTATTTATCAACTAAAACAGTACAAATTTCATCACAGTGAGTGTGCAAATGAAAATGAAAAAATGCATGCAAGACACGTGCTATACGACTAAAGCCTCACATTGTTTACAGAGAAGGTTGTTATATCTTGATGGCCCACCTGCATCATAGTCTTGAGAAACTCACACATCGTTTCAACAAACTTCACTAGACCAATATCACTCAAGCCAACATCCTAAAACAGAAACAATCTATCATGATCTTGAGGAATTGATCAATGTTCTAAGAACTTCACAAGTCTGGTGTCAATCAAGCCCACATCCTAAAAAAGAAACAATCTGTCTTTGGGACACAATGTCCCTTTTGAGCAGATGAACTGATGGTAATAGGGCTTCTCTATATTCTCTTAAAAAACCTTTTCACTAAGATGATATGTATCCATTAATTCTTATTTTTTAATTGATTATTTGTTATAGTCACAATTTTTCAAACTGGTGTTCGATGTTCATAGGTAAACAAACTGTTACATTTACCATTTCCAGGGCTTACATTTTGACTTGTATTAGTGTTAACTTACTCGTCTGCATAGTCTGTCCTTTGGTGCCTTCCCCACCTTCTCTATCAGCTGGGCTGTGGTCATCAGCTTCTTCTTAAGAAACATATTCCACATCATGATGCAAACACCTGCAAGTACAAGTATATCAAGATAAATAGAACCATGGGTACTAGGCTCATGGAGTAGGGCATTTAAGTGAAAATGAAGAAACTTTTCACTATTATACATAATGATAGTGGATTGTATTTTCTTAAAACATTCAATAAAGGCCACTTTAGCCTGACACCTAATCAGCTCTAGAATCAAATCTAAATTGTTATTAAAAATAATTACTTCATTCAATGGATTAACAAATGGAAGTTGTTGAGATTTAAGCCTAAGTCACATTTGCTGTATGGTGGCCTCAAGCTTCACAAAATTGATATATAAAAAATCTACATCGTACTGCTTATCCCTATATTTCAAGTTGCATATTTCTCTCAATTTTGGGAAGCTACAGCTGCCATGTGGTTGCCATAAATCAAATGTGACCGAGGCATTAAAACTATAGGTTACTCACCATGTTGAAGTACTGCATTTTGTATACACTGCAAGTATTCTACTGAATGTAAAAGGCTTGATACTACCTGAAAATATGGAATGGATTCATGCTACACGAATCTTGTCAGTATGATTTAAACTAAATGACTTATGGTATTTCAATGTATATTTCAATTTGTGCTTAAAAGGTAAGTTAGTACATTTTTCAGTGCATAAATAAATTCTGTACTTAAAAAAGGAGTGCATTTATCAGTTCAAAAAATGCACTTAAAATGCTTGTTCCATATGTGCCCTCCCTACATGCATCATTTGTATAATAAAGTGCCGTATTGCTAACATTGAGTATCATACAATTAACATGCAAAATGTCACCACCTGCCATTTGTTACAGACACCAACATGTGGTGGTGACATAAAAAGTGCTTGAGACTGTTTTTCTTTTCTTCATGTACATTCTTGACCTTAATTGTCTTACCTCGGGGTCTTTGTTCCAAAGGACTATATATTCCCAGGAACAGTTGGCCATTAGGACATCACTATCTAAACTATGTGGAAGCCGTCTCTGCACATCTTCCAATTGACCTAAACAAAGTAAAATGTAACATGTTTTAACCCATGTGTTATTTTTTAATGTTCTTGGGGTAGGGGTACCATAGTACTTCTCCAACATGAAGTGGTGAATTGTAATGAATTGTACCTATACTGATAGATTGAAACAATATGTAATTGTATACTGGAAGCCAAAAACCCCATAACATAATATCTATAATAATTTTAACTGTTTCAATCTGAAATTCCTGAAACAAATGAGGAACTGTGTAAGGTATCATGAAAATCACATTTGAATCAATGAATGAATCGCATACATTTCCAGTTCAAACAAATCCAAATTTACTTTATGTCTGCCATTTCCGGTGTATTCATGTAAAATATTTCAATGTACAGTATATTATAGACAATAAACTAGGAAATGAACATTTTATTTTAAGTCTGTATTAATAGCAGAATACAATATGTGACAATAGATTATGACTAGTGATTGAAATTTGTATAGACAAAAGGGATCGTAAAAACTATACCAGGAAGCAAATAACAATTTATGAATAGATGAATCTAATACTATAAATCGGGTGTCCCAAAAAATGAGACACTTTTTGACAAGTTTTTTCTCGGCAGCTGATGAACCAAATTCACTAAAAATTTGTACAAAGTAGCCCAAGAGTATCGTTAGCAATGTACGAACATTTGAAAACAAGACACAGAGTGAACAGAATGGCATCCTAGAATAGAATAAACAATTTTCGGGACGGAAAATCCAAAATGGCCACCCTAACATTTACCCAGACATCCCAAAAAACAATCAGTTCTAAACTTTATTTCAAAGAAACATTCCTAAAAATTTCAGATGAATCCATGAAATTGTTTGGCTGGAAACCTGTAAACAAGCCACAACAACAACTTTAAGGACGGAAAATCCAAAATAGCCACCACAGAATGCCCAAAAACTATTAAGTTCTAAACTTTCATACGTAAAAATATCTCTAAAAATTTCAGATGTATCCCTCAACGGTTTGGCAGGAAACCTGTAGCCAAGTCTTGTCTAACATGACTTTAAGATGGAAAATCCAAAATGGATGCCTTAACATATACCAAAAATGCCCCAAAACTAATCAGTTCTAAACTTGTGTAGGTAGAAACATCCCTGAAAATTTCAGATGAATCCCTCAAACTGTTTGGCTTGAAACCTGTAGATGGAAAATCCAAAATGGCCACCTTAACATTTACCCAGAATGCCCAAAAACTAATCAGTTCTAAACGTTCATGCGTAGAAACATCGCTAAGTAGATCCACGAGTATGAAAAAGAAGTTAAGTACATTATGTGGAACAAAGCATGTATCATTTTATATTCTATTGAGTCTATTGAGTTGTTAATTCACAGGATAGAAATGTTACATGCATTTATTCTTGAATGACATTGTACGAGGGTTGATCTAAAAGTTCTGCACCGTTTGCTCTAAAAATCTGAATTCTTCATGAATATTGTTCATATTTGGCCTCAAAAACCCCATATATAGTAGTTTCATTATATGTAAAAATAAGCTATTAAAGGTTCAATAAAGAATATAGAAGAAATTTGGGAATCATTTTACCTTTCCCGAGCTATTAGTGCAACGTTTGGCCTAATGTCTTCTTCGCCATACCTATTTTCTTAAAATATATGCACTTGTCGACGAATACCACCATTCAGACTTGCAAATAGACTTCTAAATAAGCTATTGAACGGATGGACGTCCCGAATTTTGTTTTTTGAAACATTTCTGAATCTCCGCCATTTAAAATTCTAACTGCAGCTGAGATAAGTTAAGACCGCATGTACAGTATAACCGCGGTTGTCTGATATAACCGTATGCATGGTACACGATATGACCGCCGTTGACGGTCTATTACTGGCGACTCCTGCAGTTAACCTGGTCCACTGACGAATTAAAATAAAAAAAATCGAAGACTAAAAGACCTCAGATCTGCCCATATTCAAGGTCTTTTTGACACGCGCAAAGTATATAGGATACAGAATGTTGGATAGAACGTTAGGTGAAAACGGGGCTGGAATCCATTGACAATATCACCGGGAAATCGTTCAGAGGTACGTGAACAATTTTTCTGTCGATGTTGGGACAAGATTCCCGGTGATTTAGGATGCCAGTGATTGTGAATATCGGCAGAAATTAGGTATGTTCGGGGGTTTTCTTTGTAGCTAATGAAAATAGATGTTAGCCTTGATGAAATATCCAAAATTCGATATATTTTGACACCAGGACCATGATCGTTGGATACGTCTCTGCACTATTTATTCAACCTTTAACTTGACAAGTAACATAGGTATCTGGTTACCATAGCAACATGACAACAGGGTATGTGGAGCAAGAGAACAACACATTGTAGAGTTGGAAAAAAGTTGACACTTGGAGGACATTACAGGGTACCAAATGTATTTCAAAGTCAGACATGCCTGTTTATCAATTATTTTTTCATTAGACCAATGCTATATGTGTGATGTGATATCATACATGCTATAGTTGGCAACTGCGATGTCATAATGACCCGAAGAATGCTTTGCACCAAAAGCAGCCCAATAAGCATTAATCCAGTTTCATTTCGACAATACGCCATTCCATACCTCAGTACTTACTCAAACTTCAATGAAAATATGTGCATACCTTCTCACCTGATCTTTCTCCCTCTGACTTTTATCTTTATGGTGAACTGAAGGACAAATTACAAGGACAGGACATGTTTTTGAACGTTAAAATCAAGTCTGTCTTGCTGTTCTTGAGTGGCTTTCTGGGACAGGTGAATTTAAGGATTTGTTTGATCAAGGGTTCCGCAGACATACTAATTGAGGCCAAATATGAACAATATTCATAAAGAATTAAGATTTTTAGAGCAAAAGGTGCAGAACTTTTGGATCAACCCTTGTATAACTATCACGTTTCGAGTACATGATTTTTCGCAACCTGAATGGTTCTAAAACTGAACATGGTATGAACAAAAGGCATACTGTTTCAACAAACTTTAACACAATTGAAATGATCATTAATGCTACATACACTCTATGTCATCACACTCATTGACTGGTTTGAAAAGAATAACAATTATCAAATCCTTTTGAAATTTTATTGGGCTCAGCTTTCTATTTTAGTATGAATTCGTGTGGGCATGCCCCACAAGTGACATTTCATCTACCCACTCTGTGAACAGCGGAAGTACACAGAAAGTTCATAAACATGACAATCGCCATTTCAGATTCCATTTTCTATTGTTTTCAAATTGTATATAAACTGTGAGGTTCGGGGGGATCTTCACTGAAGTTTTCTACAGTGAAACTGTGCTATCACATCGGGAAAGTTAGGATAAGGTATGTAGTATTTTATTTTTGTATTTTATTATTTTCAACCATAAAGAACGGTGATATTTGGTACTACTAGTTAATCTTTACATGTGCAGTTGTGACTAATATAGCCATGTAAAATTGTCGATGAAAATAAAATTGTCAATAAAACATATAATGTACGTAATACTAAAGTAGTTAATTTCAACTTTCAACAATTATTTGGTTTACATTATACATTATACTGTTCACAAATACTTTGTTTCGAATAAATAAAGGATTCACAGATATTGGAAATTAGAGATTTTAAAGCAGATATCAGATCTACAAGTAGCTTGAAGTAACCTGGAAAGTTAAACGAAATATTTCTATGAAAATGCATATGAAAATGCATTCATTTTCTATAAATATGGTAAAAATAACCCAAATGATAACCATGATTAACAGAAGCTTCATAAAGTTAAGAATTCGTAAAACCCATTGTTCTCTATTTTCTCTATTTAATTGACGTCATTATATCCATGGTTACAACAATTGATTTACGAATTCGTAACTTTACTAAGTTTCTGTTAATGACCCCCATATTATTATTTGGGAGAATTTAAACCTTTCCCCAATATTTGCACTTTGAATGTTAAAAACTTTTCCCAACTGATAAAATATCACAGATCACTTGGGAGATTATATATTTGAGTTTGTAAGGAATACATAGGTAGGTCATCTGTATTTGTTGATTGCAATACTTTTTGCCTTTTACATATGTATATACATTATAGGAACTTAAATATACAAGGTGACACAAAAGTTATGCAACAATATGCGGGTGTCATTTTTTGTGCCACCCTGTTCCAATGACATTATTGGTGTTGGCTTAACTGCATTTATCTTTTTTTATTTCAGAATATAAAATTCAACAAAAATGAAGGTGTACTGTGGCTTATTAGCATTGGTGCTGATCTCAGCACTGGTTCTCCCGGGAACAGACGCAAGTTGGTTCAGACGTGTGGTAGCTAAGGTGAAGTCAGTCTTCTGTAACACCGTAGTATCAAAGGTGTGTAGTCTCAATGGCGTATGTAGATGGGTAAATAGACGAGTATGCGGCAAACGAGACCTTGACTCAATCCAACTTGAGTTGAGAGATGTGGTAAGTAAGAATAGAACTAAATGTGAATTAATCTCAGACAGGTCCGTAACCAGCTTTTGTCAAGGGGGGGGGGGTTCACTTTGACAAACGCCCAAAATCAAAATGCTCAGAATCGTGAGAAAACTGCATGATTTTAAAAGAATATTTGGCTGAGGGGGGGGGGGTGAACTGGCTACGGGTCTGTTAGTGCTACTTATTTTGGTAGATTTGCTGTTTTTAAAATTTAGTGTCAACTAGTTTGGCACACATGCAATATTGAAATGTATATATCATACAAATTTAGATTGAAATATGAAATATTGAATTTGGTGGCTACTTAATTTGGAGCCTTTAACAATTTGTTGAATTAAAAGGCCAACAAATTAAGTAGAAGTACAGGATAGAGAAGCAGAAAATGAAGTGTTGGGACTTCTGAAAGATTCGGTTTGTCAAATTTAAAGAAAGTAATGAAGACAAACCTTGAACGGGATAAAAATGACAATCCGAGATTAAATAAAAAATTATTTGTAATTATGACAATTTCAATTGGAGGTTTTAATTAGGTTTAAGACTATTCCAACATTTGTTGTTTGTTTACATAGGGGTCCAACGATACACAAAAAAGTTAATTCAAATTTAAGACCAGTACTAGATATTTGGGTTCCCAGCTGTGAGAAGAACTTCTCATACCTGGGAACCAAACGCTGCTAACAGAAAGGCATTTTTGTTTTGCTTATGTGTATAGAACAAGTTTGAAGAGAAAAGGTGCAAACATCTGGTAGGTCTAAAATTCAATTAAATGTTTTTTGTGTATAGTTGGACCCCCATGTAATTAAACTAACTTCACATTACACAAGGCCTTATATTAGTGCAGGATTTCATTCTGTGTTTTCATTAATCAGGATGATGAGGAACATGTATGCCCCATTCCTGTATCATTTGACTACTTTGATACCAATGAAGATGACTATATTGATGCTGAAGAAATGGCAAGGGGTCTCAATATGAACGTGGAACAAACCAAAAGAATGGTAATTGATCCCTGTGACATTGATGGTGAGTAAATTAGTCACTACAGTGAAGTAGTAAATATATGTAGTGTAAAACCTGTCTTAGTGAACACCTCTCTCTAGTGAATACCTGTCTCTAATGGACACCCTTCCTCCACACATTCTCAACTGACTTCTGTTTAATTTTTCTCTGAACACCTACCAACACCAAAAAAAATATTTTCTTGGCAAAAAATGTTTATTATACACAGGTTTCACTGTACATATAATGGAACTAAGTGTTAACCTCTTGACTATCCAGAGTGACGAGATTAACATGAGTGACGAGCATTAACATGACAAAATGTCACCAACTAGTTGCTCACAATATTATTAGTTCAATCTTTAGTCAGATTTGAATTTCCGAGAACTTGTGGATGATGTTAAGTTATTTGAAGTTTTAAGAAATTATTACAGACGCCAACCGCCAATTGCCAACCACCAACCGCCAATTGCCAATCGCCATAGAAAAACGGAGACCACAACAATCAATATGTCACCACTTTTTGGTAGTGAAATAATAAAGGTTTATGTCAAAGTCTTAGTAATTGTGTAAGTTACATATCATTATGAATCAAATATATTTTAGAGCTATATTTAGGATGAGAATTACAACTTTGAGTTAAAAAGAAGCCTACTAAATGAACATGTGTTTGTAAATAATAACACTCACTGAGTTTTACTGATTCAAATTGAATTCATTTCAGGGGACGACAAACTCAGTGAACCAGAGTTTGAAGAGTGTCCACTTGTATTTGAGAACAGAGAACTGGATAGTGGTATGGACATACTTACTACATTATATAATGTTATTTCAATCAGATCTTGCCATTTGCAACGGTTTCAAGATCAATTAAAAATTCACAAAATGGCAACTAGCATTTACATAGAACATGGATAATGTGAATGATTAATTTGTTGCATACTTAGATTAAAATTGTTGCTTTTCAAGTATTATATGTAGATCTACAGTATTGAGTTTAAACTAGTGAAACACATTATAGATCTGAGCATCAGATCTCTTATAATTAACAAGGTGTCACTAAACTGTATATACATGTATGTTTTGAACCACCATAACTGTATATCATATATTTTGTACTACTCTATTTAAATACAGGTTAATAAATTAATATTAATGACATTTATTGTACTTAATGAAATTTATTTACAGATAAAGTTAAAGTCTTTTTGAAAGAGTTGAGAAATAAATCAATATTTATTTTTTCAGGGAAAGAGCCAAAGTTTGTTGCCAAACAAAGGAAAGACAGGAAGAAACAAAATTAATTATGAAGACTAACAAACAAATAAACAAAATAAACAAAAGACCAGAAACTAACAAGACAATTAAAAATTCTTTAAACAAACAATTAAACACAAATTTTAACAATGTACAATAGCCTTATCAACTTTCTAAACACTCTGTATACATTCATTGATGAGAAATAAACAAAATTGGTTTCAAAAAAGAATAAATATTTTTTCCATTCTTGTTAGAGTTTAGAATCCTCTTGGAAAAAATGCCAATGAGAATAATACAAATATTTTCAAAAAATTGGTACTGCTGGATTCTTGTATTCAATAATGTCTCATCTGTGTTCCAATGAGCACCATCAAGAGACTTTATAATGTAACTAACTTTCTTTTCTGTAAATATTAGAACCTGATTCAATGGTGAATAATATTATTAATACCACCTTCTTTACCTAGCAAATCCAACAAGATGTTACATTAGAAATGTCACCACCTGCCCTTATGTTACAGACTCCAAACACCAACCACTGAATGGTGACCACCAACTGCCAAACACCATCCACAAACATGAAAAAATTGGAGACTATAACAATGTCACCACTTCTGATGGTAACATAAAAACTAATCATGTCTCCACCATTTGCTGAAAATTACTTTATGATGGTAACATTTTTCATCGAAAAAACATCCACAATAAACATGCAGCACTGAATGGTGTGATAATAGAAAATGGGTCCTATTAACTTAGAATGCCCTATCAAATAGTACAAAGCTACAGGTACATGTAAAATAACCACTGTCTGCACTAGGAAAAAACTGATTTTCTCACAGATTTCATTATATATGAAGTAAGAATTACATATAAAAAGCTTTAAAAAATGCAAATTACCTAAAAACTCTGATTCTTCATCATGTTCATCTGTTTCCATCTCCTCCTCAGATGCATTATGGGATTTCTGGCAAAGCATGATGGGTAGAATTCCCTTTTGAGCAATCCATTTGGCGACTACTTCTGCCATTACACCTGGTAATGAAAAGTAATTAGAAAAGAAACTCTACACAATTTCCACCGACCATCACATGGATGGTGTACGTAGAATTTTGATATAAAAAACCCAATAGATTTTAGCATGAAGTAATGGTGGATGACTACAGAACATGATTATTACTAACAATGTTAACACTATTTAATTCATTCTTCTACAGATGCATTTTTGGGAGCACAATCCACCAACCTCTCCCACCCTCAAGCAGCTTGTTTACAGACACACTGATCCTCTCTCCCTTTGTCTTAGGCTCTCCTTTGGGCTGCAGCTTTAATAATGCGCTGATTGCCAGAACATCTTCTAGCTGTTTCACTAGTATATTCCAATGTGTCATGTCCATGGTAAGACTCTCCCAATCAGCTTCCAATACATCCATGCTACTCTCTTGCTTTTCTTCATTCTGAAAAGTACAATGGAGTCTTTTGTTCAATCACATACATGGTTAGGTTTAGAGGGGGTACTGAAAGTTGTTTGGCCTTTTGAAGAAGGGGATATTACAGTTCTAGATGTTCACATTCAATAACATCCTTGAAAAATGTTTTTAGATCAAGTCACATCCCTAAAAAAATAAATTGCCTGGACATTCTTAGACAAGTTCCAAAATGCCGCCTGGAAAACTGATCATAACCTAGCATCCAAGGGGTCCAATAAAAATGATTATGAATTTACAAATAAATTACAGTGACACATGCATATTCAAACACCTCCCTAATCCAAACACTTTTCAATGTGAACACTTTTTCTTGTTCCCAATTTTTTTCTCTCCCATTGACCCACATATTAAAAACCTCAAAATGTGAACACCTGGTATTCCAACCACTTTTGGCTCTCCCATTGACTCACATATTAAAAACCTCAAAATGTGAACACCTGGTATTCCAACCACTTTTGGCTCTCCCATTGACTCACATATTAAAAACCTCAAAATGTGAACACCTGGTATTCCAACCACTTTTGGCTCTCCCATTGACTCACATATTAAAAACCTCGAAATATGAACACCTGCTAATCTGAACACTTTTGGCCAGTTCCAGTGATGTTCGGATTAGACAGGTTTTACTGTTATCAAACACACACAATATACATATACATGTATATAATATACCTGGTTTTCTGGCAGCAGTTGTGAGGCTTGCAAGCTAGTGGCTACAGACCTGCCTGTAATGACAGCTCCTAGTGCGGCTGATGGGTTGAACGAAGCACAACATTTATCTCTGACATTCTGCCACCAGGGCGACTGCTTGTTGTGGTCCACGTTGATATCACTGATATCTTAAAGTAAAAATGAGTTTTAGTTATCATTTACTTTTGTATACATTTATAGACCTGGCACACTGGCATTACATCATGTTCAAACAAGTATGGTAAAGTTCACTGAAGTAAAGTGATCCTTTATCAAATGAAATCATGAACATATCGCTTCATACTATGCAACATAGGATAGATAAAAAGTAGATATTGACATGGTGCAAGATATCTACAATTGATAGCCATTGATCTGAATTAGGGTTACTACAAACAAGGTAGTAATCAAACAGCACTCTCATGCAAAATCCGCAGATTCTGGTAAAAAGGAGGTAAGTTCTCTTTTATTGCTTTATCTTTTTAAAAATCATTTATTCGATTGGGTCATGCCTTCAAGTTTCTTGATATCATTCTCTGATGGGGGTGGTTGCTTACAAGGGGCCTATAATGTTGATTTTGGTAAACAACTTTACTGTTAAGTTATTTTTGTTTTACCTTTTAGTTGTGTGATACTGTGCATGAGATTGTATAGGTTTGGCAAAGTAGTCCAATCAACTGCATCTTCTGATAGCCAAAGCTCTAACACTAGGTCCTAAAATGGGAAAAAGTATCAACAATCAACATATCATGTAATTTTATAATTTAGAAAATTAGTTCAATTGAGTTCCATTGTTTTAATCTTTAGTTTGTTTCATAAAATAACATAGAATATCTTGATCAATTGAGTTCAACCAGGTCCAACATTCTATGTACCCAATTAAATCAAAATGCATGTACTGAAACTGAACTGAAATTAAAGATAACCTCACCCTAATCTTTCTAATGTACATACCATCAGTTGGTCTTCAGGTATCTCACAGAATTGAAGGAGAACACCTAGTTCAGTTGCTGCACTGCCTTGTATACTTGATCGAAATATAAACGTTGCTGCAACAAACAAAGAGTATCCATTTATAGTAAAATATCCAGAGATTTGCTGCATCATATAATAGGATCATATCCATTTATAGTAAAATATCCAGAGATTTGCTCCATCAAACAATAAGATTGTATCCATTAAATTAGTAAAATATACATTAGAAGTATACATTTATAGTAAATTATTCACAGATTTGTGTTTTAAAAACAGTAAATATGTACACCATATGTAACTTAAACTGGCAAGGGTTTCACTAGCTAGTTTCTGTTGTTTTTCAGGACTTTTCAACTTTCCCATTGTTAAATTCATGATTTCCATTAATTTTGCCTGTTGTTTTCATTTATTTAGCCTGTTGTTAGAAATTCTACTGAAACCCCTGAACTGCATCTCAAAAAGAGGAAAAACACACAAGTCAGAACTCTACATTTCAAAGAAAACATACTTCTGAATGGTACAAAATCCATATTTTTTGAAAGACAAATAATGAATTCAAAATCTCACCTAGCTTCAGACGTTTTTCTTCAGATAAGGATTTCTTGAGGTTAACATTCCTTGCTGTAGTAATATCCTCCTGCGCACTAATATGTAATTGACAGGAAAAACAACCAAGAAAATCCGCAGCACTCAATTCAGTGGTCTCTGAAAACTGTACTTTCCTCTCTGGCTGGTCACTGATTATGTTGTATTTATCAAACTTTTTGATAAGGTATGTGACCTCAGATTCAGAAATACACATGTCTTGAGAAAAAATCTGGAAAATAAAAGAATGAGTGGATATTTATGCAAGAGATCTATGATTAATAACCACTGGTCTGGATTGGGTAAGTGTAGAGATAAGTTCTCTATTATTAGAGATAAGTTCTCTATTATTAGGGATAAGTTCTCTATTATTGCTTAATTTTTGATAAGAGAAAAAATCTGGAAAATAAAACAATTTTCAATAGAGCTCCAGGTAAAAGTACTAAAGTGAATTATAAAAAACTGAAAAAAAATTTACAAACGAGTCATTCATTGCAATGGAGTCAATGGCGGTTACAAAGCAAAAAAATATCATGTTCCGTGAAGCAAGATATTTTTTTTACATGTAAGTGTGACACCTTTCAAGCCATGATTGACCAATCACGATTGATAATACCTCGATAAAATCATGCACATTTTAATCCACTGAATTAAAGCTAATTAATTCAGGCAGTATATGTTTCTCTTACCTGTTCATTGACTTTGGGTCTAGGTGTACTGGCACACTCTGTATTCAGTGTATCTATTGCTATATAAGTCTGTAACAATTGTTCCTGGAGTTTACAATATTGCAACAGCATTCTGCTTTCAATATCTAAAGATTCTGTTTCTTCGCCCTCTGCTGATGGTGCACTAAGGGGATCTGAAACATGAAATGTAGCTCTAACACTACAACAGTGTGTGGCATGAAATAAAGCTCCTGATAATAAAGGTTGTAGAATTAAGTGCCGCTCCTATAATGCAGTGTGTTGCATAAAAGGAAAATGAAAGTATGAGATGATGAATAAAATGAAAATTTTAAAGATGAGAAAATAGAGTAAACAATTTTTTTGTGAGAGTGACAGAAAAATGGTATCAACTTACCCTTTGGTTCAAACTGAGCTATAAGCTCATTGAGAACAGATTGCATGTATTTGGCACTGAGGTATCTGGTTGACAGGAATGACAGAATGTATTTTCAACTTACCCTGTGGTTCAAACTGAGCTATAAGCTCATTGAGAACAGATTGCATGTATTTGGCACTGAGGTATCTGGTTGACAGGAATGTCAGAATGTATTTTCAACTTACCCTGTGGTTCAAACTGAGCTATAAGCTCATTGAGAACAGATTGCATGTATTTGGCACTGAGGTATCTGGTTGACAGGAATGACAGAATGTATTTTCAACTTACCCTTTGGTTCAAACTGAGCTATAAGCTCATTGAGAACAGATTGCATGTATTTGGCACTGAGGTATCTGGTTGACAGGAATGACAGAATGTATTTTCAATTTACCCTGTGGTTCAAACTGAGCTATAAGCTCATTGAGAACAGATTGCATGTATTTGGCACTGAGGTATCTGGTTGACAGGAATGACAGAATGTATTTTCAATTTACCCTGTGGTTCAAACTGAGCTATAAGCTCATTGAGAACAGATTGCATGTATTTGGCACTGAGGTATCTGGTTGACAGGATTCTTTCAATGGCTTGTTGCTTGACACCAGCCTGTTTTATGTCTGTCATTGCACTACTAATATCTGCACATAATCCATCTAAAATGAATATTTAACATAAATAGACATGTAAAAATGTAAGTATAGGGTGGCCCAATAAAATTAGTACACCTTCATGTTCAGCTAACTAATATTATCTAAACTGTTTTATATCTGTCATTGCACTACTAATATTTGCACATAATCCATCTAAAAATGAATCTTCTCTGTAAATAGACATGTAAAGGAATTATGAGTACAAGGTGGCCTAATAAAAAGTAAGAGTAAACTCATGTCACGCTAGAATCTATAGAAAACATTCTGTGTGGATTGTGAGTATATTGAAATAACAGTGATATTTTTAAAATGTTTTCAGTCTTCACTTATACATATATCGATATATACACTGTATGTGTAGTTAGCATGGTCATGTTATACACATCCAGTGTTTTGTGCATTCTAAATCTACATACACAATCTTTGGTGAAATGAAACAAGGCATTAGCATGCAAAATTGTCACCACATGCCATTTGTTTGTTACAGATACTGAACACCGACTGCTGGACACCAACTGCAGAACACCGTCACAAAAATGTTGGAGAATAAGTGGAGACATAAAAATTATAAAAAAAAACAAAAACAAACACTACTTTACAAGTGTGATTTATATAAAAGAGCGATGTACCTGTTTGTTGGTGGTTTTCTTTCAGATGTGTCTTCATTGTCTTTAACAAATGCATATCTCTAGCTCTCCTACTGTTTTTGTCACTGAAACATTAACGCGTGGCTGTTTTTCTCATTGTTTTTCTCACTTTGGATATCGTGTATTAATTGGTGTCTCACAAGCTTGCATCGTCTATGTTTTTCAAGTATTAATTGGTGTCTCATAAGTGGCATAGGCTATGTTCTTTCAAATGTTTTAAATAAATTTATATAATTCTTTGTGACACAAAAATAAACTATATTAAACTTTAGAACTGTTAATAAACCTTTAAAATAACTAAGGCTTAAAAAGGAGGAGGGAAAGTATCGCAACAGATTTGGGACAGTCAAAAACCCGATTACTAGAGTGCTGCTAACTCGATAAAAGGCTGGCGCTGGCTAAAATTGTCTATGGTTCTAGCCAGGATAAAGATACCAGTTCTTCAACTCGACAATGGGAAGAACAGCTCTACCTTAGTGACTAATATGTCATGATATGATATCTAGAGTCAATAAAAGATATATATATAAATGTTGGATTTTGGCTATTTTCTGAGGATTTAAACAGGTGCAAACATTAGGCCAATGCATTATCTCCGGGAAAAGCACTCATAGAGATGATGAAATAATTTTGCTTTGAGACAGGGAAGATGCAAACAACCCACCCACAGGTTTTTTCTAAAATGTTGTCCTGATTTTCGACCCCTTCCACCCGGCTTTTTCAAATTCTTTTGGAATCAATATGTTGCATTTTGACACACAATTAAACCGTTCAAGAGAATAAGTAACTCCTTAAGGGGTTTTAAAGATATCCATTATGGGTGACCAAAATTAGATGAAAGCAATGAATCGCATGCATTTTCCCTATGGGAAAATAACATGGAATCTGTCCGAAATCTGTTGCACAATTTTGCCTCCTCCTTTAGTTAAAATTAGCTAAGGCTAACTTTTCACCTCAATGCCAATATCAGAGGTCTTGTTTTCGAGATAGAAATGATCAGGCAGTAGTATTTTTAAAATTGAATATTGTAGAAAAATTAGCGAGACATTACATGTACCTCAAGGCAAGATGGAATGGTATCTCTATCGCTCTAATGTTCCCATCTGGTTCTATGAGGCAGCATTGCAAATTAGGAGTTTTCACTGACTTTGCAGTACCACTGTTGAGTCCCATCATCCCATGGCTAAGACAAACTAACTGACAGCCTTTGTGTACATTGAATGCTGCAACCCTTGCTCCCTGTTGTGTTGCCCATACCTAGTAAAAAAGACACATGGTGGTAAACTTTTTATCAAAAACTTCAAAATGGCTACAAATAATTAACCCAGCATGCAGAATCAGATCAGATTGCACTAGTCAGCTCTTTCATCTTTAAAAATGGCTTTAAAAATGAGTAGGTCTCTGTGTATCATTATGATTCAGGTCCGAAGAGGTTTTTCAAAAGCTCCGAAAAAATTTGAAAAATCCAAACTTCAATAAAAAAATTCAGAATTCAATAAAGCCATTCCAAAATTAAAGGCCCAATGCAAATCCAAAAACAAAAAGTATTTTACCACAAACATATAGAAATGTTTCAATTTTATTTCACATGTCACCTCGAGAATTCCCCTCCTGGGTGCATAGATGATTAAGAATAGGGCAGCCCTGTCAGCACTCTGCTTTGACCCCCTCCCATCTTCTTTCACATCAACAAACCCCAACTGGGCATCTCTGTAGCCTGCAAGTAACGATTGAGTGCCTTTAAACAAGGAATTCCCTAATGTGGGGGGTGAGGTTTAAGAGTTGTGATCATTGTCTGTAACAGCGATTCCATGAAGTGTAATTTTATGACATTCTTACTTTTTAAGCAATCAAAGATGTTAAAGATGGTTGATCATAAAATTCTCATAATATCTCTCTTATTTCTTTATTTTCAATATATTCTTATATATTCATCACCATAGCAACCATAACACATACATAGGTGGTTAGTAAGCATTAACACTGTAATGGAACAGAGATGGGGCACTAGGGTGGTCCAAAATATGGCGAAAAACCAACTTTCTTTAGGATCTTCTTCCTCATTTGACTTACTGTTGTCCATGACCTAAAACACCTGCACACCAAATTTTGAGACCAAAACCCCACGGGAAATTTACCCACGCTTCGACTGAAAAATTCAGTTATTTCATGATTTTTTGCTATTTTCGAAAAATTGCCATCTCCTTTTTCCTGGTATAAAATGTTTCTATTTTTTCATAATAAACATTTTTGTAGGACTCTTTATTACTTAATAATACTAGGAGCCCAAACACCAAATTTTGAGACCCAAATCCCATGTGAAATTTACCCATGCTTTGACTGAAAAATTGTGATTTTCACAGTTTTGTCCGATTTTCAATAGATTACTGTCTCCATTTTCCTGGTATAATATGTTTCTATTTTTTCATAATAAATATTTTTGGATGACTCTTTATTACTTCATAATACTAGGAACCCATACACCAAATTTTGAGACCCAAATCCCATGGGAAATTTACCCATGGTTTGACTGAAAAATTGTGATTTTCACATTTTTTCCGATTTTCAATAAATTGCTGTCTCCATTTTCCTGGTACGATATGTTTTTATAATAAACATTTTTGAGGACTCTTTATTACTTCATAATACTAAAAACCCATACACCAAATATCCACCAAATTTTGAGACCCAAATCCAATGAGAACGTTACCCATGCTTTGACTGAAAACTGGTGCTTATGATAGCTTATGATGTCTGTTTTAGGGGTATAATATGTTAATAAACATTATGGTAATTCCTTCTTAATCCAAAGAAACACCTAAATATCAAGACTTTAAGTCTTATTGAAAGGCGACAAATTCAGTAGTTTGGGGAAAATTTAGGATCTTTTACTTGTACATTTATATACTGTGGTTAATATTAAGAAGTGATGACTCGACAGCAACTCAAATGCCTTGAAGATTTGGTTTGTTGGTTTCAGTAGGGATACATCACAGGACTTTGTTTGGATGTGTGTGAGATGTCATATTCTTTCTCACATCTTTGCAGGGTAAGGTCAAATATCAAATCTGATTTTCTTTGGAGAAATGATTTTTTGATTGATCAATGTATCAATGGCATGGTCTCTGTTGTAACCAGTAAGCCTGTACCAAATCTTCAAGGGATTCGAGCTTCAACTGAGCTTTGTCATTTCTCTGAAAATGTTCATGCCCTGAAAGTACACAATGTAGAAGATAGGAAGAGCAATGAGAAACACTTAAGGTAATTCTGTATGTTCAGAAATTTTAAGTGGAGTCCAATGTTATTTCTGGAACTCATTCCATACTTGGTCAGCTCTTTCAATTTTACACTGAGTTCAAATATGTATTTAGATTATTAGTTGATGGTTAGTAATTTTCTATAATGTACTATGTGCTATGTTTATACACTGTTTGTGCATCTGAATGGAATGAGTTATGTGTTCCTGAAAAAACACGGGGCTCCAATTAGGAAGCCATTAAAACTGAAAATAAGGAATTACCTTAAAGTACTATATAACCATCTTTCACGATGTAACGTATGTAAGGCCAAACAGGATAATTTAAGACAACGTGTAATACAATTTATTACAAATTGCACATCACACAACAATGATATGGTGCTCTAAACGACAAAAATCAAAAGTATATGATCAAAGCAAACGTGAATTTCCCATGGGGTTCAGGTCAAAACATTTGGTACATATTAAATGTATGGGTTCCTAGTATTAAGAACGTATTAATGTCCTCCTAAAATGTTTAAAAACTAAATATAAGATTAATGTTGATCTATTGAAAATAGGAGAAAATTCGCAGAAAATCACAAATTTTTGGTTGAAGCATGAATTAATTTCTCATGGGGCCAGGGTCTCAAAATTTGGTGCATATTTGGGGTATGGGTTTCCTCGTATTATGAAGTAATAAAGAGTCCTCCCAAAATATTTATTATAAAAAATAGAAACATATAATACCAGGAAAATAGAGATGTATTGTATTGTATATGAAATAACCCAATTTTTCAGTCGAAGCGTGGGTAAATTTCCCATGGGATTTGGGTCTCAAAATTTGATGTATGGGTTCCTAAGTATTATGAAGTAATAAAGAGTCATCCAAAAATATTTATTATGAAAAGATATCTACCATTTTATACCAGGAAAATGGAGATGGCAATTTATCGAAAATAGCAAAAAATCATGAAATAACCGAATTTTTCAGTCGAAGCGTGGGTAAATTTCCCATGGGATTTGGGTCTCAACATTTGGTGTATGGGTTCCTAGTATTATGAAGTAATAAAGAGTCCTACAAAAATGTTTATTATGAAAAAATAGAAACATATTATACCAGGAAAAGGGAGATGACAATTTATCGAAAATAGCAAAAAATCATGAAATAACCGAATTTTCAGTCGAAGCGTGGGTAAATTTCCCATGTGATTTGGGTCTTAAAATTTGGTGTGCAGGTGTTTTAGGTCATGGACAACAGTAAGTGAAATGAGGAAGATGATCTGAAACAAAGTTGGTTTTTCGCCATATTTTGGACCACCCTAATGGGGCACCTAAATAACAAATATGAACCTACCTTACCTAATATTTTCATTCATTTCTCTTTGATACTTTTCAAGGTTGAAGTAACAGTAGGTCAAAAGCCATCCTGTATTGTTAAAACTACAGTACAACTACAACTACAGCAGGTAAATTTGACTTACCTTTCCACATACGCACGGTAATGCCTTTAGCTACATCAATGAGAAGGACACGGCCAAAACTGTCTGTAGTTGCTGCCAGCGTATTGGTGGGAGAGAGAACAATACTTTCACCAATTCTTCGTCTATCCGGAATACCAAATCTATTGAATCATAAAACATAATACACACAGATTTTTTCATATCGACTGATGCACATTTTCCTTATGAAGTTTTGAAATATAAGGTTACATTAAAATAAACAAACAATATGATGTTCCAAATAGTGTTTTACTTGCAGAGCTTCATTTTAAATGGGTTACAAACTAGACTTTAAATGGAATGTTCAACTTATAAATTACTGTAAGTTAAGTTTAAATTAAGTTCCAATCATTACATATTACATAATTTTAATTTTAAGTACAATGTGAATGCAAAGCGTATATTGCATGGAAGGGTTGCGCTAACAGAAGTTCACTGATACTTGTAATGTATACTCATACTTACCTAATTCCTAAAGCAGTAGCTGGTTCAATTTTTGGCTTTTTATCCTTTTGCTCTGCAGCCTTCTTAGCACTCCCTCCAAAACCCAACCAACCACTGGCAGCATTAAACAAGGCAGACTTCAACTTACTGGCCACAGCGAGGGCAACATCTGTTAGGATAGGTTGGCCGCTGCCCTGGAACATATCATAGCATTAAACAAGGCAGACTTCAACTTACTGGCCACAGCAAGGGCAACATCTGTTAGGATAGGTTGGTCACTGCCCTGGAACATATCATAGCATTAAACAAGGCAGACTTCAACTTACTGGTCACAGCAAGGGCAACATCTGTTAGGATAGGTTGGCCACTACCCTGGAGCATATCATCAATTTATTGACTCATTTATTGAATGGATTTATTTCTTGTTTTTGTTCAAGCTCAATGGTACATTTATGGTTTGCCTCATCTTAGATAACACTTTGGTCAACATAGCTATTTTTATCATACTCTTAATAAATGTTCGTTCAATAGTCCAACCATCCAGCATAATTTCTGATTGGAGCCATGGTTAACGACAAAGTATTGTTTAAACATTAAGAGCTGTGTATATGGAATATCCTCAGCTCAGTATTGACCAATCAATGAAAGTGTATGGAACTTGGTTTTTTGAAAACTGTTCCATATAGAGAGGTGTTCCTCAAAAAGAGTTATCCCAACATTCAAGTTTTAGTGTACATATAATCCAATTTAAAGTTTGTTCAAAGTTTTACTTGTTATTTATTTGGGATGTACCCAAGAGGTGTTGCTCACGCTCATCACTGGTAAACAAAATAAAATACAATACAAAAATAATTTAGATTAGATTCCTCACCTCTATGGCATAATAGAAGCCTGTGTATGGACCAGAACCTGCAGTGAGGTAAAGATTTGATGCAGGGGGAGTGGCTTTCACCTTAGCTTTATAACCTCCAAGCATGCTTGCTGTTTGCATCTGATCAAATGGATTTGGGGTCACAACACCTATAAAACAAATAAACAAGGTACGTGGTGTACAGGAATAACATCCCCTGTAAACCTGTAAAAGGGTAGGAGGTCCTATTAATTTATGGTCCCACTCTCCATTGATTTATATAGTGACCTCTTTCCCTTATTATCTTATACACAATCAGGGCCTGTAAGGGCCTTTAAAAAGGGGGATCATAATCCCTGGGGAACCATAATTTCTTTCACACCCCAATTCACCACCTAGAACTTGGAATTTTCGAACATGTGTATGGATTTTAAAAAATACAATGGCTGATTTTCGTTGAGTGGCAAAAAAAAGATTTATCAAAAAGGATGGTTGTGTCCATCAAGTTTCCATCTTGTAACCATGATGTGTCAATTGAAAATATACTTCCATTGCTACATACATTTGTTAAGGTGTATAAATCTTGCAAGAGCAATTTTTATTCTATATGTCCTGGGACTCATGCACCTGACTTACCACAGCTTATGTGATCTTTGATGAACTCCTGACCCTGCAATCCCCACTTCTTATAAGCCAGGGGTGGAGGCTGTATTACATCACTTCCACTGGCAGTTGCTGTAAATGCATAACAAAACAAATCATAATTATAATTGTAGATTCTGTTAATTAATGTTAAATTGTTTTGTCATTTTTTGCTATTTGCACAAAAGAATAGGAGGTATGTGTAGAGGGGATTTTTTTCTAAAACTAAAATAATCTCAGGTTTAATTATAAAAAATTTGTTTGTGTAGAAAATGATATAATTACCTTTTCAATTGAAAAATCAGCAAATATTTTTTTCAAATTTAGAACTTGTTAACTGTTTATTAGAACAGTGGAGATTATTTTCTTTAAATTGTATATTTGTACACAAAAGAAGCATTCCTGAATATTCCAAATGTATCAATCAAATGAAGTTTGGCTTGTAAAGTGTAGACAATGATTTAAGCTGTGACAGTTCTTGCCTTGACAAAGAAACGTTGATATTATATTATACTGGGTGGCCAAAAAGTAGGTTTACAGTTATTCAACAATCTCTTTCTGTAAACTTAACTACTTTTGAGCCAACCAGACCTGTATATTATTATTGTAGTACCTCTAGCAACCTGGTTCCTGCAGACTCTGAGAGACTGGTATAGACTGAAGCCATCAATGGTCACCAGTGCTTTTGAGTACAGAATACTCAGATCTTCTGGCTAAATATACAAACAGAAACATTTCAAAGTCAGTTAAACAATGAGTGTATGTTTAGCATATACAATGAGCCATAGTATGTTTATATTACAAAATGTCTAAACTAACTAGACAATGGCAATGCCAAGTGTAGCAAATCCAAGCAGATATCTCATTATGTAACAAATATGAATATGACAGCCATTTTCAATATTATTGATTCTCTCAATTCATTTATACTAATTGGAAGATATCATAAGTAAGAAGTAAAAACATAAAATGCCAACTGTATAAGTACAGTGTATTATTCAATTTCAAAAATGAATATCAAGTGAAGAATTGCAATAGCTAACACTTTTATTAATTAAGGTTAAGACCTTTTTAAATTTTTATTAAACAACGATTCCAAAGGCTCAAAAATCAGAATTCATTGAAACTCATACTTAACACAAGAGCAGCCCCCAAGCAAGAGAAAATTAAGATTTCTAAGGGTTGACTTAGACGAGAGGGGGTGATTACCTGTTCTGGTAGACCAGGAAAATGTGGGAGTTGGTACGTGCGGCACTTAATTTGAGAAACTACTTCCTCATGAAAGAGCTGAGATAATAGCAGAGTCCCGTTCTGAAAAGAGGAAATAATAGTTTATACAAAATATTCAATAAATTGGCAGATAATACAAGTCGGTAGCCTTGATCCATAAATTAATTGGATATTACACTGAAATTCCAAGGGAACCCTGTTTGCACAATTGTAACTGATGTTTTTTTCTAGCATAAAAATTGCGCTGGCTACAACTACAATATGTTTTCACATTTTCACAATTATGATTTTGTAAATTTCCATGAGCTCTGTGTTCTCCTCAGGGATAGCAATTTGAAGACCATACCTCTGTATATATGCGAATGTATCCTGATGTGAAACCAGCCACCAAACATGTCCAGTCTGGTCCTCCTTGAGTACTTCTGGAATAAAACATGTGTCATTATTGCTGCGTTTAAATCTATTGGACTTGAGAGGAACAATACCAGTGTTATTATTGCATTTTTTATTTAAACAACATACAGTAAAACTTGGTGTTCACTAAGAGAGGTTTTACTGTATATTATTGTTGCATTTTTCATTTAAATCCATTGGATTAGAGAGGAACAACTTGTGTTATTATTGCGTTTTTGTTTAAATAAATTGTATAAGTTAAGAGGACAAGACATGACTGGGATTAAATGCTCTTTCAGAAGATTTAACATCGCTGTTCAGTTGGTTGAATGTAACCTTATATTTTAAGAGAACATTTGAAATAGCTGGTTGAAAGGTTGTCAGCATCAAAGACTAACTAATGGGAGTCCCCAGAACCATAGCCAGGGTGGTTCAGGGGGTTCCACGAGCTAAAATTGGGCTGTGTGACGTACACCCTGATCGAAGTGCCTCAGATCGCTACCTAATTGAACATTGCTGTTCAGTTGGTTGGATGTACCCATATCTTTTGTGAAAACAGTAAAATGGCTGGTTGAAAGGTGGTAAGCATCAAACTAATGGAAGTCCACAAACTCATAGACAGGGGGATTCGAGGGGTGCTATGGGCCTTAGGTCCCTCATTGCATCTTCAGTAATGTCTTCACAACTGCAGCATTTTACCAACCCTACATTTCCGGCGAGGGGGGTGGGGGGAAAGGGGTTCCCCTGGTTATGGTCTGTGTGACATACAGTACATGTATCTCCAGATGAATAATCACAATATTTACCTTGTTGCCTATGGAAAATTATATATGTAATTAAAAGACATGTATTGCACATACTTTTTCTGCAAAGCTAATGGTATGCATGCTAATGCAATTAAAATACATGTATATTGCACTTACCTTTTCTGTGAAGCAAATGGTATGCATGCTAATGCAATTAAAATACATGTATATTGCACTTACTTTTTCTGTGAAGCTAATGGTATACATGCTAATGCTGTGATTTCTTCCCTGAAACAAAATCATACTCCATGAAGAAAATATAAGATCAAGATTAGTCATGGCATTTTTAACACTATTAATCAAATTAACTCCACTACTTTTCCAGTTATGACAAAAAAGAAACAACACACATAAAGTACACATAGCCATTTTTCAAATTGCTGCAATATTAGCTGAATTGTCATAGACCATTTGCTATATATATGTACATAAGCAGACAGAATGTCCAATGCAGATCTCAAAAAATCAATTTTAATATTCAAGGCCAATCGTGTACATTGTAACATACATGTACCTATCAGGGAAATTAACCTACCCATTTTCCTGCGCCAGAGATCCTTGCCACACTGTGTTAAACTTGGTTTCCAGCTCTCCACTGTTTTCACTTGGATCATATTTCTCTGCAGCATAATCACAAATATTAAAAATATACGAATTTTAAGATAATCTACTTTTAAAATGTCTTAAAAACCCTTTATTCATGGAAAGACAGGCTGTAAACAATTAGGTGAATTAGGTTACGGGAGAAAGATCCCTCTAAAATGATTGAACACTTAACTGGATGATCCTATAATGGTAGACTACACAGGGTTGGCACATCCAAGAAAATGTTAATATATGAAAACTTTTTCTAAATTTATCACTTGTATAATTTGTTTCAACAAATATTTGTTCTCCTACATTATCTAAACAATTTCCCCCCTTTAAGTTCTCGAAAGCCTAAAGCACAAGATAATCTTACGTTCTAAGATGACGATTCGATCCTCGTAAGCTACAGCTATGACATCATTTGTGGGTGAGAGAGCGATGACGCACTCTTGTAGCCATGTTTCACCTAAACCTTTCACATCATTCTCTTTATTGCCATCATTCTCTGTAACATCATCCTTCCACTCCCAGTCATCATTTTTCCAGTCTGCATCATCTATAATTATTTAGAATGATAACGTGACATACAGGTAAGCAACCCAACACAAACAAACTTTTTTATTAAAAAAATTGATGCAACTTCCTACCGGGCTTCAAACTTGAGCAGATTCAAATAAAAAGCATTTGAAAGGTCTTTTCTCCGGGGTCTTTTCTTTATTGGATCTATTGTTATTAGTTATGGTTATTATTTATTTGTCGGTCCTCTAGCCTGCCAACACAGCAAAGTCTCCCCCATCGACAATTTATTTGTCAGTCCTCTAGCGTGTCAACACAGCAATGTCTCCCGTACCGACAATTGTAGGTACTCTAGCCTTTACGTTTTCATTAGTCTATATCCAATAGACTGAATTTCCTGAGAATTCAGTCTATTGATCATTATGTCCCTCCTGTGGGAAAAAACAGGAAATTTCCTGCACACAATTATCAATTTTAGGAAACTTCACTTCCCAAAAATAAGCATTACAACAATTCAATTAAGCAGTAAGGTACAATTAAACGCTATAAAAAGTAAGACAGCATATTGTCAAATGGAAATAAAGCTAGGGGAAGTAACAAATATGCAAATTAATTTCATTCCAAATTTCAAAAAATTTTCAGACTAGAGGATATAGACTAGTCTAACGTTTTCATAAACCTAAATTTGCACATCTCCTCAAATATATAGATAAGCATTATGGCATTTCATGGGTCATCCAAGTGATTTGCATGACCCGCAAATAAGCTTAGAAAATCGAGTCAAATTTTGATCAATTGAAAATTCATTTTTAGAAAAAAATTGATTTTGATCCTACCTTCTTCAAAAGAACTCTTTAGAAATAGAAACTTTCTAACACCTTCAATATCTCGAAAACTGGTTTGTACGTTCAGTTGACAAGACATACTATTTTAAGCATGGATTCTGCAAGTAAGTGACAGCATTTATACTCGAATACTGAAAATTTTACATTTTTTCTAAACCGGATGTTGACGTCAATCGAAGTGGTTTATGGGAAATTATGGTGGGAAATTAAAATCCGAAATCACAGTTCTGTATTAAAATTGCTAAAAGTATGCCCAGGTCAGCGACCCGGGGTTAGGTGTAGTCGCTGAAGCAGAGATAGGTACATTTAATTTTTTATATTTCAATGTTATGAGGTTATATACGTTTTTACCCCGTTTTTAGTGTCATAATTCAAAATCCAGTTTCTGAAAAATATTTGAACTTCAACTTGAAGTTCAAGCTTCAGTTCAAGTTCAACTTTTTAAGTTCATGGTACAGTAAAAGGATCTTGTACACCTGCCATTATGATCTCCCCATGAACAAAAATAAATTCATCTGATTTTTCAAAATAAATATACTGCTTTTATTATTACATTTATATGTACACTAGTATCTTGTTGACCTATATTCAGCACTGTATTGGTGAATGGGCCACTTTTTAGGGCAATATTCAATCATAAAGTGTACAGGGGTAGAGATGCCAAACCAGGAAGTCTTTTTGTGTCTGTCAAAATCCATTTGCATCCTACACATCCCTACATCTTATCAAAATATGTTATTAATTAATGAATCACAGTGCGCGAAATAGACGTCCGACATCGGCCATTGGCCTGACAAAATTATAGATGGCTTGTTTTGATAAAAACACCCAGACATTTTGGCCTGCCAGACATTTGTGGCATTCGTTAGATTGCCCATGAATAGAACTCACATTTCAGTCCGGAAATCCTCCGAATTCCCCGCGATTTCGGCTTATTCCATGACTTTTGTTGAAGATTTAAAAAAATTTCAAATATTTTTGTTTTCATACTGAAGCCCAAGATATAACGTGACTTTTGATTGGCTGTTGTTGTTTGTTGAAATTACGGTGATTTTGATTGGCTATGGATGACTCATTTCTTCAACGTCGTTCGCAAATCGAGTGCATTATCAGTATGCCGGATGTAGAAAAGAAATTGAAAAATCGAGCCGGCATCTAAGTCCAAAAAGTCGGCAGTTTGGAAGTATTTTGGGACTCCGATATCACAAGGTAAACGAATTGGTGATAGTTCACCATGCAGACTATGTGAAATGCCGATCACATTCACGGCAGATGCTTTATACTCGATTTTAATTGACGTATTTCTGAATATGATTTTGAAAAGTGAAACTGAAAGTGAAACTGTCATCATCAGACATTGTATCATTTTTAATGTTCTGTCCCGTCCTGTCTCGAAAGTATCGTGTCCCGAGACCATTTGTACCGTTCCGGCGTACCGAAATTTATTTGGACCGTGACACCTCTAATATATACCTTGAATTTTAGTCTGTTAGTGGAGTCTGTGTACATAGTATGTGTTTTTGAATACCTTGAAGCTTCTGAGAGCAATTCTAAACCGACCAAAATCAGTACAATTTAGTTTGATCAATATGTACATGTTCCTCATGTTTTTGTAAGGTGAATCTAGGGGGGAATCAACACACCCAGGCTGTTGGTTAAGTCATCAAGTACAGTATAGTGAATGATACATGACATGCAACAGAATTAGTTTTACTTTGTTAATATTGTACTAAACTAAATCTCATTTTAGAGTGGTTGTGGAGAAATATGGAAAATGAAATTTTTGGCCAGAGAAGTAAGAAACAGTCTGCAAAAAATTGGCCTGAGAAAAAATGATATGGCTGGTTAAAATCTGGCTGGCCTGCCAAAATGTCTAGGTTAAAAAAATCCTTATTTCACGCACTGAATCATAACAGTATTCACCTTTCCCCAAAGTCCAAAGTGCACTCATTTGACCGCTGCGCTGATTGGACGATGAAAATCAATGACGTCAAAGCAGGGCACATTTCGCGCCAAAACTTCAATTAGTATTAGATCGCCGATTGAGTGAAATAGATCTCATTTTAAAATGATAACAAAACTAAGTGAAATATATTTTTCTGACTATTTTGTCCTAAGCTGTGTCTTAAATACACCATCCGGTAAATCACACCACAGAAATAATTGTGATACGAGTGCTCATCTTTGAACAAAGTGAATCCAACTACGCAAACCAGATTGACAATCATTCAAACAATAAGACTGTATGGATTAGGAATATACATTTATCATGATTATTCAATTAAATAGTTCATTATATGTTTCTAATAAAAATTTTGTATATGAGGAACAGTTTTAAATGTCAGAGTCCACTTGCACTTTTCTCATCGGGTTGACCCAATAATTTGCGATTGCTCATGGGCGAATTATATATTGAAGTAACTAATATTCATCATACTGTAGTAGTTTGCATTTTAATTGCAATTCAAAGCTTAATTACAGGCCCGTAGTCAAAAAGCTACCCCTTACACCCCAGTCACATTTCCTACGGCGACCTTGCGGTCTATCATTTCTGCGGCCAGTAGATTTTCTACGCTCGCCGCAGAATTTCTGCGCTCTCATACTTTTGCAGTCACATTTCCCACGGCAGCCACACGGTGAATTTTAAATTTATATTGATAAATAATAGTTTTTTTCATTTTATTTACATCAGGACAATTTATAAATGTTATTCAAAGTGCTAGGATGTAATATCAAATGAAAAGTGATCGTGAAACATTGACAAATAATGATTCAATCTTGTTGAGCCAGTTGATTTCTACGGGGACCTCAGAAATGAACAAATATTATAACTCCGAGTTATAATTTCTACGCCTTTCCTGCGGCCTGTAAGAATCTGCATACGCCGTACGGAGGCCGCAAGGCGAGCGTAGTTTGAGAGTCGAATACTTTTTCTTCAAGGTTAAGCCGTATCCCCTTCTTCACCCCATGAGAAAATATTACACGAACTTAAGATTACCATGAGATGTTGACATTTTGACGGTCAAGAACTAAACATGGGGTTTTGTACAGTCGGCGTAATTTGAAAATGTACAGGAAACATTGGACCCTTCACATTAATATTTCTCTATTTATTTGATTTCCCAGAACAATATAAAGAAGGGGGAATATAGACGTGAGTATAATTAATTCAATTACATGACAATTATCATAAATATTATTACTACTCAACATAATTTGACAATAAAAGTAACCCGTTTCCGTCATGATTCACATTGACTCCTAATGTGTTTAGATTTTCCCGCGAAAATCTGCCCTACTCTGACGTCAGAGATTTCAGATTTGCTAATTATAATATTCATGAGCTGACTTTGGGGAAAGGTGAATAATCTTTGGATTTACAAAGTTGTATGGGATTTCATAAGTGTAAAAGTTGCTTTTGAAGCATTTTTCTATAGCCATTTTGTAGGAAAAAAATGATGAAAAAAATGAATAATCTTTTAATTTGAAGTATGACCTGAATCGATTGCAAACTTTATATTTGCACATCTGATCTGACATTGTATTCTTTATATTACACCTAAAAATGATTCATTTTGTTCATGGGGAGATCATAATGGCAGGTGTACAAGATCCTTTTTAATGTTAGGAACTACTTTGAATTTGAAAAATAAGCAATCAAATCATAGATCCCGGCCAGATTCTTTTGTAGTAGGATCAATAGCTCAATAAATATTCCTCCATTGTATTGTGAATTATTCTTTGAGCCTATGAGATCCTACTACTACAAAACGATCTGGCCAATATCTGTGAATCAAATGACCAAATTGAAACAGTATATGTAAAAATAGAAACATTTATATTTATCCGAACTTTTGTATATTTCAGATAGTAATGTATAATGTGCAGCAAAGCTATGGCCTTTTGTAATTTAGGGAGTTTCAGCCATGTTAATATTTCCGAAAATAACATGGCAGAGAAGTATCAAAATATAAGAGGACACAGATATGATAGCTAAACTACAAAACAAACTAAAATATACAAAAGTTGGGATAAATATAAATGTTTCTATTTTTACATAAACTGTTTCAATTTGGTCATTTGATTGCTTATTTTTTAAATTCAAAGTAGTCACAAACATTTAAAATTTTACTGTAGTAGCTTGCTAAGGTCCAATGTCGCTGAAGCAGAGATAGGTACATTTAATTTTTTATATTTCAATGTTATGAGGTTATATACGTTTTTAGTGTCATAATTCAAAATTAGAACCCGAATCTTAATGAAACCATATCACCTTTGTTCCGTCAACCATGGAGCATTTGCCACAACATCCAAGAGGTAAATCATGGGCCGTGAAAATGAATGATTTCCTTGTAAGTTCCGGAAGTTTCAATATGAAAAATTACCGAACATATGTGAAAACCGAATATTTGTTCGTTGTTTTCACGATTTACAGGTTCGTTTGTTCTCCAATGTTTTGGTCTAAATTATAAAGCATCACCAACAGGTCTTACTCTATTAATCGACTAATACAGCAGACGGCTCATATTTCTACGTAGCATTTCGTTCAGACCAATAGTGGGAGTGCAGATCACGCAGTTTCGTTCGTTGCGTACTTCACTTGAAATTGGTAATTTTAAATATTGGCTACTTCACTTACCTTGGCGGATGTAGAACATTGCTTAATATTCTTTTAATTTTCACACCAGACATGCTTGGTTGACACGTCAACAAAGTAAAGTTCAAGGGTCAATGCGTTATTTCGTGATAACTACAACGCCTTCCCGGAAGTCAACATTGATGAAAAATGAAAAAGTCGGAAAAGCATTTACACTAATTTCTATCAAATGCTGTGTTTATATGCATCATCATCGACGCAACAAAGGTGATATGGTTTCATTAAGATTCGGGTTCTAACCTTTAGAAGGTAAGTCAGACTCCCAAACATCAGCTAACTCTTATATTTAGCATGTTAGCGACAAACTCAGGCCATGAAAAAAATAGTAGACTATCAGGGTGGTAGAGCCCATAGACACAGTCAGCACCATCTATCTGATATCTAATATAAAACTAAGAAAAAAAAAGTCTAATAACTGAATATTGACACAACTGTGTCCTTAGACTAGTAGGCCACGGGAACCTGTATCAGCTGATGGCTAATGAAACCATGGGCTTCAACAGAAAGCCCATGATGTAACCTGAGTAATGAGCCGAGGGCGGCCCAGGGGAATGATAAAACTAAAGAGCATAGTGTACCAAGCCAGATAAAGAAATTGAAAGAAAGTGTGCTAAATTCAATGCCCCGTGTTGGAATCGAACCTAGGACCCTTGGATCCAAAGTCTGATGCTCTACCGACTGAGCTATAAAGGCTTAAGCCACTACAACTGGGCCGTAGTAGCAACTTGCTATCAAGGGTAGTTACACCTGTAAAGAAAAAACAAGTTTCTATTCTCCATTTATTATAATAGTAGAAGGAGCTCCTCCGCCTCGTCCAGACCAGAAATCCATCGACCCATTTTTTTTAAAGTTACAAAATTGTTATTTATCTTTGCCTGTGAGTGCAAATTTTTAAATACATAATGAAAATATTGTCAAAAATAACATATTTTGATGAATAGGGATAGTGTTATCATATCTCTTTCCTTTTCAGAAAAATGCACCCTTCGCATCACCAAATCACACATCCGCACATATATTCGTATCATGTACACCATGTATGTAGGGCGGTGTTCTAGGTAACTGATGTTGATATTAAAGATTAGGTGGGATGAATAACCTAGACGTCCACCCAAGAACGATATCCAGTCTGAAAAAGGGTAAGTATGATCTGGTTTCCAGTCTCATGTCTGATATAACAAAAAATAAAGAGCTTAAAAAAGGCGACAACACATTGTTGCTCATTATCAAAAGTGGTAATATATGATATTTTTGACCAATACTGCATAAAATACAACAGAGTGCTGCAATTAAAATATATCAGAGTCTGCTCTGACTATCATGGCAAATAATCAGTCAAATCTTACTTGTGAATCTGACATAGAATTAGTATAAATTGAGATTTGCTCAAGTGGGATATTTAAAACTTTGTGTCTTGTCTAATTTTATGTAAAATAACAGACCTGACATCTCTTCTGAGTCGATCAGCTCCTGACATTGAGAGCCATGTATTTGCCTCTAATTTTGTGTCTTGTCTAATTTTAGCTAGAATAACAGACCTGACATCTCTCCTGAGTCGATCAGCTCCTGACATTGAAAGAGCCACTCATTTGTCTTTAAGTGATGTCAAAGCAGTTCAGAGAGAGGCTGCCCTTGCAGTGACACGTCGTCCTCTTACAAATGGTAAGAATTATGATATTTCCCTTCACAAGTGCGATGTCTGATAACTAATGTGTAGTCTAAATATTGTGACAAGTTGTCAATGTCAAATAACAATAACTGTCCTTGCCTTTTAGTATATTATTATGTCACCACCAAAAAGGGTGACATATTGTTATGGTCTCCGTTTTTGTGACAGCGATTGGCGATCGGCAGTTAGCAATCATCTGTTGGCAATTGGCAGTTGGCGAGTGTAACACATGTTGGTGACATTTTGTCTGTTAATGCCTTGTACTATTATGTCACCACCAAATAGTCTCCAACTTTTTTGTAGCTGGTGTTTGGTGGCTGGTGTTTGGCATTCAGTGGTTGGTGTTCAGTGCATGTTACAGCGTTCAGTGTTTGGTATCTGTAACAAATGATAGGTGGTGACATTTTGCATGTTAATGCCTTGTTTCTTACTGTGCAAAATCAACTACAGCTGTACTAAACTAACTCCACTTGAGTACCAAATCTAAACAAATACAATAAGTCAAAAAGTGTAAAATAATTTTTTAAGAAGCTATTTTTATTTTTCTCCAAATATGGCACTATGGCTAAATATCTACCCTGTGCAATTCGTACCTACAAACTAAAGCAAATAATAATTATTTGAAATGCACTTTTATGCTTTCAGCATTGGATATGTATAATAATGTTTGCCCCCAAGAGATGCGAAGACACACCCTGAGTTTAGGTTGCAAGATATTGGATGGAACGTTGCAAGGTAACTTTCATAGATAAACTTTCTGCTACTTGCAATATAAGATCCTTGTTAGATGTTTTGCTAGCATTTAGCAATGAGGGGGGTACTATTGATATAGTCAAAATCTTTTTTTGTGTATGGTGTTTGGCAGTTGGTGTTTGGGAGTCAGCATCTGTAACAAATGGCAGGTGCTGACATTTTGCGTGTTAACAGTTAATGCCTTGTTGAAAATGACTAGGATTGGGTCAAGTGGCCAGTTGTAATGGCAATGGCCGCAACAAGAAAAAAAGTGGCCTTAACTTACATTTTACCATACATGGTGATTGCTCAAAGATCAATTTACTACAGTATTAACTGTGAACTCAAATCGATTCTATATTTCTACACAGGAGGATTTCAATCCCAGGGTATTACGGAGATTGCAGGAGAGAGTGCTAGTGGGAAGACCCAACTATGTATGCAGCTTTGTCTTACTGTACAACTACCAACTAGTCAAGGTGGACTCGAAGGAGGTAAGTAATGTTCTTCTTTTTACAAAGCATCTGGAGTCAAATCGTCCTAATAACTGGAGGTTATCTATGAATTTCACCAATACTGATGTTTGAGTATTTCTTTGTATTTCAGAATCAGAACTTTACTGCACGCGAAATATTTGGAACATATATATTTTTACTATTTTACTATTTCTATTAAATTATTTTATTTGGTTTAGTCAAAATCAAAGGTTTATTGTTATTGAACAAATTTTGTAAACCATTTTGATTATATTTTAACCTCCAATTGTGGACCAGTGATTATACAAATTTTCAATGTTTCTTTAGGTGCGGCTTATATTTGTACAGAAGATGTATTTCCCAATAAACGATTGGTCCAGATGATTCAGCACTTTGGGAGGACAACAGCATCCAAGATTAACTTTGGGGATAACATTTTTATAGAGCACACATCTGATATGGTATGTATTATGTATGGTATGTATTATGTATATGAATGGACCAAGTATCAATCATTTTGTAGATCATATGCATATAAGCGGGCACATTGTTCAAGATCTTTCCTTTTTCAAAAAATTTCAGGGAATTCACATTTAACAATTTTAGCCAAAAAATCACAGAATAACTGCACTAATTTTTGAGCACTTGAAAAACTTGTCATTGTATTTTACTGATATTTCAGGACAGCTTATGGTACTGTTTAAAGACCAGGGTTCCTGCTCTTCTTAACAGATTCAACATAAAATTAATTGTCATTGACTCTGTCGCAGCCTTGTTTAGGTAGGTATACAAATTAGAAATTAAAAGTGTCACTAACCGAGATAAATATCAATATTTATAGAGCAAAAGGGTGGATTGTTGCCCTTGGGATTAAATGTGACATCCTAATCAGAACAAGTTTACAGGCATATTAGAAACATTGTTATATAGCTTTAAAATCAAATCAGAATCCCTAAATTAGAGTAATTGTAATAAGAACTAATCTTTTATAAAACATGGGTTAGGACTGTCATGGAATTTTGGAAGAACTGTATGCTGTGACAAAAATTTCATACATTTCAGGTATGAATACAGTTTGAACCAGACATTCGAGAGATCTAAAAAGTTGAGTTTGTTTGGGGCCTATCTGCACAACCTCAGCTGTAAGCATAATATTCCTGTGGTCTGCATCAACCAGGTAAAAATTTACATGTTTATTTAAACACTACAGGTAATTCTAATTGAGATATACTTCATCTTTATATTTTCACTAACTGATATCTAAGATGAAAATATGGGTGCCGCAAAATGACATCAAACTCTCAGAGGAAGTGTACCATGTAATTCATACAATTTTTGAGCCTTTGGAGTTGCCCACTGCACAGGTGATCCACTCTATTACGCTGGTTACCGAAACGGTTTGTTTCAGTTGGTTTAAGTTTTAATGGTATTCAAACAACCACATGCATGTACCAGTACATGTTATTTTATTCACCATTTCATTGGTTGATTGATTTTTCTAATCAGAGATACCAGAATTTCTTTTTCCACGCCGCAGCAGAATAAATGCATGATTTTTAGTTTTGAAAAAATTTGCAATATATCATCTCTATTTTGTTACTAAATACAGGGTGGTCAAAAAATGGAAACCCTGCATTTTCCTTATATCTCTGTCATTTAAAAAATACTCCCTGATATTTCACACATTTGTACATCATTCAATTTCCTACTACCCTAATAAAATTCATGACCATCAGACTGATAGTCATAATTTTACAGCACTTTGAATAGCATGCTTCAGGTTTGGCCATCATCACGCTTTAGGCAAACCTGCACAGTTTTGAATGATTCAAATGCATTCCTCAGCAAGTATGGCCTGAATGACATGGATGATCTCACTTTTGAAGTTTGCAATTGTCCTGAGTTTATTCTCATTCACTCTATCTCTGCCATATTCCAACAGATAGGGACATTATTGACGACGAGTGCAGGTTTCCCACCAGCGCAATAGTGGCAACTGGGGCATGTTCTCTAAAGTACTGTAACATTTTGACTATCAATCTGATGGTCATGAAATACAGTAGGCTGGTAGGAAATTGAATGATGTACAAATTTGTAAAATATCAGGGAGTTTTTTCTTAAATGACAAAGATATGAGGAAAATGGTGTAAGACTTTCCATGTTTTGACCACCCTGTATATCTGTCTGTTGTTCAAATACATGTATACATTAGAAAATATGCCAGTTTTATTTGATTTTCACACTATTTTAACAAAAAATGCCATGAAAAAATGTTGCGATAAAATGCAGAATTTCACATTTTGGCTTGCAGAATTTTGCATTTTGTAGTGCATATATCACTGGGTATCCCAGATCCCAATAGTAATACACCCAATCTATGTCATCATAGACTGAGCATGTAAAGATACCCAATCTACACAATTTAAGTGGAATTTTTATTAATTATTAATTCCATAGCCAGAATTTCTCATGATCCATTTTCAACCCATTATAATGACAACACAAGGTCATAACTGAAGAAAATAGTAGAAATACAAGACTGTAGCACAAGTCAACATACAAGGGACATGTTCAAGTATAACTCTAGCTCTACTTATCACATTATTTATCACCAATAAAATTTATCTTAAAAGAACATGACATAAAGTAAGAGGCATCATGTTACTCACTTCAAGAGCCATGTTAGATTTTGAAACTTATGGCTCTCCAATGGAGAAATGGACAGCTGAATAATAGTGACCTTTGAAACACGAATTAAGTCGATCTGCGGCTTACTTTTGTTCTCTAACTATGTCTCTTTATTCATGTTTTAAAGGTCACTATTATTCCAGTGTCCAGTGCGCCGTGGGAAAGCTATTATATCAAAATCCACATAGCTTTCTCAGGAAGTAAGCATCATGGTTTTAACCAAGGTTGGGATTAAGTTTCCTAGAGACATGATAGTACAGTATTTATGTTGAACTACACATGTACATGTACTAGTGTATAATAAACTCCTCTTAGTAATTGGAAACTGCAGATTTTGATTATGGGGGTGGTAAAGAAGTCTGATATGGTGTTTTTGTTAATAAAATGACACAATTTGATGGGCTTAACAATAAAAATGGTAAAATGTGATATTTTGATGACAAAAAATAGGCAAAAGTATGAGATAAAAGTAAAAGATTGTGTTTTTTAATGATGACCATGCCCTTTCAGTTTTCTAATGAAGTGAACACAAAGATCACTTTTAAAGATACATTAATATCATAACTATGTGAGAATTCACTTATAAACTCATTTGTATTTGTTTAGGGAAAGGTGCAACTGTACTGACATTTTTTATGATTACATGGTTGCAGATGTGCAACATAAGTCCCTAGGAGTAGGACAATGTTAAGTGATCAAAGTGTCAAGCATCCTCGGAAACATCTTTCAAAGTCATCTAAGATACAACTGGACATGACAACTTATTTAAGAACAATTATATATATATATATATTATTGTACTTTATTGACCACTTGAACATTTTATAACCTTTACATTTGTTGTTAACATTTTCTACTGTCTAAGTTGATGGCGATATTGGATTTCCATTTTCTTACACATTTTAAGTTTTATTTATATTTTATTGCATAAATTTTTCCCATGTCGGTACCATGTCAGCTGGCTGTTCTTTATTGCAACGGACACTGGTCTATGTTTACTCTGCAGTAAATAACCAACAAAGTAAATCATTAGAGTCCACACAATATACTCTCATGTTGCCAGTATCAGCTGTTATGATATTGTCCAGTTCTTCTGTGCATACATCACTAGGGCCATTCAGTTGTCCACTGTCTTTGCCATGGGAGCAGTAATTGAAAACTACCTCCTGAAAACTACCTCCATACTGAAGACTTGAATCATGTGTTTGTCTCTATCAGCCACTATTACAATGTCTTAACTATTGACTCTTATACTTGAAGGGTTCATAACGCCAACACTTACAGAACATTAGATTTTCCCAGTGTAGTTGTAGATACAACTTATTTTGGAATACACCATTGATTTTTGATGCCTTCACCTAAAGTAAGAGTATTTACTTTATACATAGGGATTACAGAATTTGATATATACCACCAAGCGCAATAAAATCTCTATAAATTTTATGTGCCCCAACAATGGTAGATCTTATTTCGAAGAGCGATGGATTGTATATGAAGATTCTATGAGTATCTGAATAAATGGTAATATTTCCATTCTGTTGAAGCACCATTCCTGTAATGTAACCCAGATTTTTTCTTGCAACCAAAACTTCATTCATTGGTTTGTAATTTTGCTGAGAATACATTATTTGTCCAAATTCTATTGGTTCGAAAACCATTTGTTGAGGGAATGGAGTTTGGACTATTGGGTTTTGGATGGATGGAATTCGGACCATTGGGTTTTGGACCAATTGGACAATTTCTTTTGGCTCAACTGTTTCCCCTGTGCTATTCAAGCTTCTCGAGTCATTTTCAACTGAAACATCCTCTTTTATTTCCCTCTTATTTTCAAACATTTCTGAACTGACCAGTTTTCCAAGAGTCAGCTTTGTATGTGCTATGGATCCTTGTTGAAAGGTATAGTCTTTTCCTTGAACCTGAAATATACAAAATGTTGATACGTAAATTCGTAAAGTGGCTTTAGTTTTAATGAAAGTTTGAATAAATGCAATGCGATTTCTGATTTTTTTATAATATTTAACTAAAAAACAGCAACTCCTCGGAGAGCAAATCCCAACAAACAAAACATTTTTAAAATTTTGGACATTACATGATAGAAATAATCAAACAATAGTAGAGTGTCTCATTTTGGCAAAATCTACACCCATGATATGACATAATGCCATATATTAAATTCTTTCTTGAGCAGAGATCTTGTGACCATAAACCATTAACATATCAAAGGACAAGGTGCAATTATTGGCAAATATCCCTATGGTCAAAATGAATCATTCGTAGGTGTAACATGAAGAATAAAATGTCATATAATACTTTGGAAAATATTAAAGTGCTCGGACACACATACGCTGAGATAGGGATCATTTCGTTCAGTAAGGTTGTATTGACTTACATGGGGCTGTGCACCATTGACTTAACATGAGGATATCAGCAGATCCCAATAGAGGCCATTGGTTTCAATTGATTATCACAGAAATACCAAAAATACACTATGACCTGAATCGATTGCAAACTTATTAATTTCACAATACGACACAAATGGTTTATCTCATCAAATGTGCAAATATGAAGTTTGCAATCGATTCTGGTCATACTTAAAATTAAAAGATTGTACATTTTTTCATCATTTTTTTCCCTACAAAATGGCTATAGAAAAATGCTCCAAAAACAACTTTTACACTTATCAAATATCATACAAGTTTGTAAAACCAAAGATTATACTATTATATTTCATTATGTAGTAACATATTTGGATAAGATGCAGGGATGCATAGGATGTAAATGGATTTTGACAGACACAAAAATACTTCCTGGTTTGGAATCTATGCCTCTACACTTTATGATTGAATTATGACCCTAATAAGTGGCCTATACATCAATACAGTGCTGAATATAGGTCAACAAGATACTAGTGTGCATATAAATGTAATAATTGAAGCAGAATACTCATTTTGAAAAATCAGATGAATTATTTTTTTCCCATGGGGAGATCCCAATGGCGGGTGTATAAGGTCCTTTGAACCAAATCTAGTAACTGATGTTTGTTTTTTCAGAAAAACTCATTTTCTGAATAGTTAGTGGGCATTTTGAATTCAGCATTTCTTTTTGACCAGCATCCTATGCCATTAAGGCATCGGCACATAAAATCTGAACCAAACCTGGCAAATGGTATTTGAGTTATTGAATTTATGAAATAAGGTAGGCATTTTGAATTCAGCAGTCATTTTGAAATATTTTTTTATGTCCATTTGGCATCATCATATAAGATTTGAACCAAATCCATCAGCTGGTATTTTAGCTATCAAACATTGCATTTTCAGGGAAAATGGCGGCCATTTTTAATTGAGTGTCAATTTTGTAAATGCTTCATTGAGCATGTCCTTTGCCCATAATTTATTAGACCATGAAATTTGGAACTACTGAATGTACTATGTACTACTATGTTCGGTGGGATAACAAAACTTAATCACCCAAGTTTTCAGATAGTTAAATTGTAAAGCTTAAAATATTTTTTGAAAATGTTAATTAAAATCATCTAGACATTGTACAGGGTGGGCCACAAAAATGTCCATATTATTTTACTTCGACGTAACCTTTTTGAAAATATATGGATATCAAAAAAATTTTGACAGGATATGCAAAAATCAATTTTACAAATGTTCCCAAAGTTGGATGGATCAATCTCTAAGGGTTTTTGAAAACTGAAGGTTAGCAGACCCTTGGAGTCTACGAGGGGTGATCAATAAGTAATGGACTCTTTTTTACACAGATACTTTTTATGGACCAATCCCTTTGATTTTCTCACCAGTGATACATCATTCAATTATCTATCAACTCTGAAGATTTGAAAACAAAACATGTAATATATTTTGATATATCTTTATTTCCGTGAAGGAGGTATAGGTACCCCGGGACCGACATGAAGTCAAACAAACTGAAGCTATTTTAGCTTGTTTAACATGTAACGCAGTTTAATGTAGGCTGAACAAAACAAACCATAATGGTCATGAATTACCCCATTTTGTTTTGCCATAGTTGATTTTGAATATTTTATCATCACTATGTTGTATTCATGCCATATTCATTGTACAGGGCCCTTTACATAGGTTCAACAAAGTGCTACATGTACACAATTCCTCATCCTCTTAACTTAAGATTGTGAGACTAGACTGGATCCATTCTCTGAGATGGTAGCAAGATGCAGTTGCACGGGTTGTTTTATTTCATCAATGTCAATAAACCTGCGTCCCTTCTCTATAGAAATAAGTAGTATAAGTCACATGTGGGCAGATCTGGACAATATGGTGCTTTGGCCAAGGGTACAATTTTGAGGTCCAGGGATATTGTTTTCTGAACATTTTGAGATCTGTGGGCAGGTGCATTGTCTATATAGAGTAGGGTGTTTCCTTCTCTCACCAACCCGTTCCTCCATAATGCTTCCTCAAATTGACCTGCAAACCCTGACCATACAACACTCTGACATCACAATACTTACTGTTCATGTGTTACCAGTCAGCAAAATATTTCAAACAACACAACTCTTTGCATATAAAAAAGGTTTAGATCTAACAGAAATTCGCCAAACTGGCTAAAAACTGAATATGTGACATAAATGTCGGTCCCGGGGTACCTGCACCTCCTTCACGGAAATAAGGATATATCAACATGTATTATATTATATTTTGTCTTCAAATCTTCAGAATTGATAGATAATTGAATGATGTATCACTGGTAGGAAAATCAAAGGGATGGGTTAATAAAAAGTATCTGTGTAAAAAAGCGTCCATTACTTATTGATCACCCCTCGTATATGTAAAATTACAGATTTCAGGATGAAATCCAAAGCAACAATTTTACAATGATAATAGTCATGCCTCAAATAACATTTCCAGATTGACATTTTAAACATTCAGCCAGAGAAATATATTATGACTTGTCTCATGTAAACACTTTTGTAATTTATATTCCCGAGAGAAATTATGGCATTGGGAGTGATTTGAGACTGATAAGGAAGATTATAGATGGACTGGTTCAACATCAAGAAAAAGGAACTGGTAGGTGAAAGTCTGGATGAAAAATGATGTTCTCTTATTAGCTTGTAATTTATATTTAGTATTAATCCGAATCCTAAAGGACAATAAAGAAACAGGTTCTTTATTATGTGGGCTCAATCAGGCACCATACTGATCTTTCTTGCCACAAACAAGATCTCAGAATAGCTTTCACTTTCAGCTTTCTCTTGATGCTGAATCAGTTTTTCATCATCTTACTTATTTTTCTTTATGATACTTCTAATATTCCATTTTTGTGTGCAAATTATTTCAGAATATACTGAACACCCTATCCCATGTGCTTCTCTGAGAGACTAAACAATATGTCAATCTGGTACTTTAATTAGAGGCATGATTAAGATCAGTGTAAAATTGTTGCTTCGAAAAACATTCTGAAATCTTTAATAATTTTTTTAATAGACCCCTAGTGTCTGTTTACCAATATAATTCAAAAAAACTAGAGATTTATTTATCCCACTTCAGGAACATTGAGAACAATGCATTTTCAAAAAAGGTTATGTATATGGACGTTTTTTTGCCCTACCTGTACAAGCAAATGTAGATACATGTATAAACAAACCTGAATCTTCTCAAATCTGTTTGCATCTTCTTCCATGATTGCGATTTGATGCTTTTGATTTAGTTCAGTTCTCATTTTTAGAATCTCAACTGCATGGCCATGTGACAAAAGACTATGCAAAAACTGTTTCGATTGTTCTATTTCTTGGCCCTTTACATCAAGCTCCTTGAATGAAGCATGTAAGCTCTGTACTTCAGTCTCAATGATGTCAATTTGCTTATCAAAGTATCTGTCAATATATTCATGGAATCGTGTACGATCTTGATTTATTTTCATTTTCAAGTCTTCGTTTTCCTTTAGTTTCAATTCATGAGTTTGTTTGATGTTTGTTTTGTATGCGGTGCATTTGGCATCAGTGATGTCCAAAATTTGTTTCAGCTGTTCTCTATCAGTTGATACTTCATCATAAATATCAGAACAAGAATGTTTAGAATGTCCAGTCACATAGCATGTCGAACATATAACACAGCTATCATCCCTGCAATAATACTTCAGTGTTTCTCTCGGATGTTTTTCACAATATATGCTCCTTTCAGTAATTATCTTCATTGCATTAGATAAGTCAACAGATACATCTCCTGTTAGTTTGAGAACTTTGTGGTCTTTTGATGATTTAAGCCGTGAATGCACGCTGGAACAGCTGTTGCAAAGTTTGTTTGTACAATCCAGACATTTTATTATGGCTCGCACTTTCTCCCCACCTTCGTTACAAACATCGCAAAATTCACCAGTTTCTGATGTACTTTGAAGTACATCGAGTAACGTATTCAATAAAAAGTTTGGTTTGATCGCTTTTAAACCTCCATCTGGCACAACCATCTGTTCCTTACATATTGGGCAGGGCAGCTTGTTGCCAATCAGATTCAGTGTTGCCCAAGTGTCTATACAACCAAGGCAAAAAGTATGTAGACAAGGCAACACTTTGGGATCTGTAAACTGTTCCAGGCATATCGAACATGTCAAAATATCCTTGAATTTCTCCTCTTGTGTAGTTGATGCAGACGCCATTATTCTTATTAACGAGCTCCTGTTTGAATAAAATTGACCCTGTCCAATAATGGTTTATAAACTGTATGTATTTGAAGATCAATAAGTACAAATAGCTCTTGACACGATGAAGATCTACTTACCAATCAACTGAAGATAAACTAGCAATTTTTCTAAACCTACAACTTTAGCACTTTGGAGACATGAATTTATCAGTAAACTCAAGTGGTGTGACATGAAATAAATGGTGATTGAAGTGTTTAGAAAAATTGCTCATGTAGTTTAACTAGTATATTCAGTTCATTGGTTAGTACAGGTGTAGTAGTCCCAGCACTTTGACCAACCAGATGATTTTTGCTGTAATTTGAAAAGTAGTGGAGTGATTTTGTTCATATTTGGTATGTGAATACCATAAGCATGGCACAATGTCTTAGATGACAACTTTGGTAAATTTTGAAAAATGGCCGTCATTTTAATGTTGTTTACTGTAACTCTAAAAGTAGTGGAGTGATTTTGTTCATATTTGATATGTGAATACTATAAGCATGGCACACTGTCTGATGACACTTAGGGAAGTAGGTGGCCGTTTTGAAAAAGGGCTTCCATTTTTACATTTTTTAATATGACTCTAAAAGTAGTGGAGCGATTTTGTTCATATTTGATATCACTGAATACTATAAGTATGGCCAGTTAAATCGCAACATACCCCTTTATGATCTTGAAATATCAATATTTTCATTAATCATGGACCAATTCTAGTGAATTATGGCTCAAAACATTGAATATTAGATTTTCTTTTTTTGATTTTCTAATGATATTTGATGAATGGCTTCTCAGACTTTTTTTGGACCACCCTGTACATCATAATTCCAATTATTTTACCATTGCTAGAACCTGTGTACATGATTGATTGATTTAATATCATGTCATCAAAAGTACCATATTAGAGCATATTTCACAGCTCCCTCCATTTTTGGATTGTAAACTGTATTGTCATCATTTTCCCTGCCGTAATGCCCACTTATTTTCTATTTTTTAAAGGAAATTGTACGAAGGGTTCACTTCTCAATTTTTCCAAGTGGAAAATTGGAACCACAAAATTGTCAGATACCAATACCAAATATGACTTTTAATGTCAAAACTCCTGATTTGCATATTATTCCATCTTATGTAAGTCCATCTGTCCAGACAATAACTCAAATACCGTTAGACCAATATTGTTTATATTTTATATGTAAATGCCCCATGGAAATGCAAATTTTGCTCGAAAGTCAATTTCAAAATGGCTGAGGGTTTCAAAATGGCTGCCATATTAGTGTAAATTTTACAGTTATATTAGGTACAAAATATAAAACTGTAATATAAATGCTTTTAAATGCAAAAAATTTATACTGATTAATGGGTGATATATTGTTATGGTCTCCGTTTTTTGTGAAGGCGGTTGGTGGTTGGCAGTTGGCCATCAGCAGTTGGCTTCTGTAACAAATGGTGGTGACATTTTGCATGTTAATGCCTTGAGTAAAAATGGCAGCCATGGCTGTATGATGGGGTTTGTTATCTAATTACTATTTTGCTTTTAATTTTAATTATTAGGCTTTTAAAAAAAATGCTCATATATTGGAAGGGCCTGAGGGTCAGGAATATTTCATTAGATTTATTGCCCCAAGGGTGGGGAAATTGACACAGTTATTTGGCCCCGGGGTAAGGAATTAGACAGGCCAACATTTTTTGTCAAATTCCCCATCGATGCACACATGGGGGATCTCACGCAAACTTTTTTTCAAGATTTTAATAAAATCCCTCTAAGAGATACATCAAAATTAGCACAATTATACATCTAATATAGTTAACAAATTGTCATGAGTAGGTATGGATCAAATCTTTATATAATGCTGCAAAACTATATTTTTAATATGATTTATTAAAGGTACCATTTATAGCATTTTTTAGGTTCATTATGCAGACTTGCCAACCTAAAATGAAAATTTTTCGGGAGATTTAAAAAAAAATTGCGGTACTTTTTTTAAAAACCGGGAGGTTTTGCGGGAGTTTTTTGAAAAAAAGCGGGAGTTTTTACAGGAGATTTTTGTAAAAACTGTAGTTTTTACGGGAGATTTTTTAAAAAAGGTATTTTTCGCGGTAAATTTTAAAAAATGTGACTTTTTTACGGAAGATTTCAGAAAAAACAGGAGTTTTTACGGTAGGTTTTGAAAAAACTGGAGTTTTTGCGGTAGATTTTTTAAAAAACGGGAGTTTTTACGGTAGATTTCTCATAAAACTGGAGTTTTACGGTAGATTCTGAAAAAACTGGAGTTTTTACGGTAGATTTCGGAAAAAACTGGAGTTTTTACTTTAGATTTTGAAAAAACGGGTTTTTTACGGTAGATTTTGAAAGAAGGGGAGTTTTTATGGTAGATTTCGGAAAAACAGGAGTTCTTAGGGTAGGTTTCTGAAAAAACGGGTGTTTTTACGGTAGATTTTGAAAAATCTACTTTGGTGTGCAAACTTATACCGAACTGATCACAGAAAAGCAATTTGAATCATGGGAATGAAGTACTTTTAAGTTATTTATGAAAGTATCGATAGTGAACCATGGGAGCCAATCCTTCTTGGAGTAAAAGAAAGAAGCGTGCCTGCAGTAATCAAGGTCACAAATTTGTCAAATTCCTTTTAAATACAGTAGATTTCCGACAGTAAAAAACTGAGATTTTACGGGAGGTATACCAAGAATACGGGAGATTTTACGGGAGTTATTCCAGAAAACGGGAGATTTTACGGGAGTTATACCAAGAATATGGGAGATTTTACGGGAGTTATACCAGAATACGGAGATTTTACGGGAGATTTCAGCAGAAATACGGGAGATTTTACGGCCATATTTTTTTAAAATATTACGGGAGATTTTAGTAGAAATACGGTACAGGAGTTTACGGGAGTTTGGTATTTTTTACGGAAAAACCAAAAATTTACGGGAGATTCCCGTAAAAAAACAGGAGGTTGGCAAGTCTGTTATGGACTTATCGAAGTGCATAAATTGCAATAAAGATGACGTCAAGCAGCATATTCAGTGCTGCAATTTGTGCAACTGCGGCACTTTTTAGCCAAAGTGATTAGCTTAAATGTGAACCTATATACACTTCAATCCAGTCTTCTCTTGCAAAAAGAACCTCAGAGTTTTAATTCAGACAACATGAGTTTAAATATCAAATGCCATTTGTACTCAGATGATATATACAGAATATCAAATTTTGAGTGATATCATTCTTATCAACGAGTTGATATTAGATTATCAACAAAATAAACTTAATATAACATATGCTCATATTTCAATTTTTCAGGTGACAGAAAATATGAATGGTTATACAACAAATGGTGCTATAAAGAAGACTCTGCCAGCGTTAGGACTGACCTGGTCCAACTTGGTGACTACAAGGATTGTTCTATCAAGGACCCCACACACACTAACAGTTGGACATTCTGACAATTCAGGTGATTGTATAGAGAAATATGAGACTCCTGTGAGAGCAATGGAAATCATATTTGACTCACACCTCCCCAACAATGTGTGCCATTATGTAATTGATCAAGAAGGTGTGAAGGGTATAAGTTGATATTTTGTGACTAATGCTTGGATATATATGTGGTGATGCACATGGTTTTGGGCACAATTAACAGTGGATTTACTGGTAAGAGTAATGGAGAATCATATTTGACACCACATATTTGACACGCACACCTAGCCAACAATATGTGCCATTATGTAATTGATCAAGAGGGCGTGAAGTGTATAAGTTGATAGCTACATGTACATAGTGCCCTGGATATATGTGATGATGCTTATGTTTTTGGGCATGATTAACAGTGGATTTTACCAAGGAATAGACACAGTTTTAGAAACGCTGGTTAACATAGATAGCCATATATGCCTGGATAAATATGAAGATGCTAATGTTTATTTGTGAAACATTGGATTTACCTAGGAATAGACACACGAATTGAAACATTGTTAAACCTTGATTTCCTTTTTATGTCCCCACCACATAGTGTAAATGAAGATGCTAATGTTTATTTGTGAAACATTGGATTTACCTAGGAATAGACACACGAATTGAAACATTGTTAAACCTTGATTTCCTTTTTATGTCCCCACCACATAGTGTGGGGCCATATTGTCGGCCTAGGCGCGTCCGTCCGTCCGTCTGTCCGTCCGTCTGTAACTCGAAACCTACTTCCTGTCGGCCATTTTGAAGTCAAATGCTAAAATCCTTGTCTGCAAACTTTAAGAAAAACGGCTTCACAGTTGCTTTTAAAACTTTAATATCTTGTTCAGCTCACTTCATTCTAGATCTGATTAGGTTTTGAACCTGTTAGCTCAGTCATGGCAGCCATTCTGAATGTCTGAAGAAAAGTTAGCGCGCGATAATACTTTGTATCATATTGAATGGTGTTTTTGAGTTTTCATACTTTAACTATTTAGTAGCTTTATAAATAATTTCAGATGTACTTTCTAGTAAAAGCCTATGTTATTGTTAACAGTAGTTATATGTGATAATTTTGTAAAAGGAAATCAGCAAAAACTCATAATCACTTTTTTATTGTCGGCCATTTTGGACTTTTCCGTCCTAAAATCTTGTCTGTAAAGTCTTGTCTACGCATTTCCAGGTGAACCATTCTGTAGATCAATTTCAAATTTTCAGGGATGATTCTTAGTATGAAAATCTAGATCTGATTAGTTTTTTGGCAGTATGGATAAATGTAAAGGCAGCCATTTTGGATTTTCCGTCTTAAAATCTAGCCTGTAAAGTCTTGTCTACGCATTTTAAGGTGAACGGTTTGGTAGATCAATTTCAAATTTTCAGGGATGATTCTTAGTATGAAAATCTACATCTGATTAGTTTTTTGGCATTCTGCGTTAATGTCAAGGCAGCAATTTTGGATCTTCTTGTCTATGCGTTTTCAGGTGAACCGTTCGGAAGATCAATTTCATATTTTCAGGGATGAATTTTAGTATGAAAATTTACAAACTGATTAGTTTTTTGACATTTTGGGTAAATGTCAAGGGAGCCATTTTGGATTTTCCATCCTAAAATCTTGTCTGTAAAGTCTTGTTTACATGTTTTCTGGTTATAATAACTGTGTGATGGATCAATTTCAAATTTTCATGGCATTCTGGGTAAATTTTAAGGTGGCCATTTTGGATTTTCCATCCTCAAATTAAGTCTTGTCTACTCATTTTCAGGATAACCATTAGACGGGATCACCCATTGGTGGGGACATTTTGTACACATTTGTGTTCTTGTTAATAGATAGAAAGGACATAGGACGTGGGAATTAGCTGGAAAGCCAGGTTCAGACATCTTCTTTTGTCACCCATATAGTATCTGGTATTAAGGGACTCCCTCACAAGTTGTTGGTTTGGATCCATTAATTCCATGTGTAAGCAAAATTTGTCCCAATTTTTGTCTTAAGATTAAAATATTTCTGTGCAAGTACATCGTATATAACCTTGTAATTTCTATATCAACCAACAAGTGAAGGAGTTCTTTTCTCTCTGGAGGCATTTTTGTGATATAATGCAGGCCCGTAGCCAGGATTTGCCAAGGGGGATTCACTTTTTGAAAAATTCCAGGGGGGTTCACTTGTGACAATTTTGGTCCAAAAACGGCCAAAATCACTTAAAAAGTGCTCAAAATGGTGAAAAACTGCATGGTTTTGAAAGATTTTTTGGCCATGGGTTTGTTCGAACCCTTCGAACCTCCCCCCTGGCTATGGGCCTGTAATCAATTAATACACAATTGAGACATCCCATATGGGATTGCCTTATCCTGAACAGTCACATGACTAAAACGGACCAATCAGATAATGTTGTACTAACAAAGGGTGACACACAAAGAAAATATTGTTCAAACCCAATATACCTTTGGAAATAGACTTTTGAAACTGTCTTTATTATTTTTGGAATGTATCATTTTCCATATTAATTGCTTTAAGGAAACTAAAATAAAATGATTAATGAAATCAGTAAATGTAAATATTAAGGAGTTCCCTTGTCTCAGTTGTAAAGATGTGATGAATTATCTGAATAAATGATTCAAAATTGATTTATGTATTTCATATTGATATTATGTAGATTATTTCATACCTTTTAAAGCTGCAATTTATAGGTCAGGGCTCTCAGGTAATATTTAGGGTGTTTTTATATGCCATTATTGCATATTCAGTAATTTTAGACTGTGGAAGGAATCATGATTTGCCAATAGGTTTCGGTGGGAGCTAAATAGACCATGGTGCTGTGCCACCCCGGGGGGTTCACTATATATAAACCTTGACGGGGATCCTCGGCGCATGTGGGGTACCTTTTTCAACGTTTGGTATGGCAATGGACCCATATTTTAGGATTTGGTATAGGAATGCCCGGAAATTTCTGACTTCTGAGGTATGGCAATGGTCGGACTTTTGCTCTTCTGGTATGAGAATGGTCGTAGTTGTAGATATGTTACCTAACATTCGTGGTATGGCATTGATCCTATATTTCATTTACTTTGAATTAAGGTATATTTCATTTACTTTGAATTAAGGTATGGCATTGGTCCCATATTTGGACATTTGGTATGGCATTGGTCCTACATTTTGACATTTGGTATGGTATTGGTCCCACAATTGGGCATTTGGTATGGCATTGGTCCTATATTTGGACATTTGGTATGGCATTGGTCCTATATTTGGACATTTGGTATGGCCTTTGGGCGTTATTTTGGTTGGTATGGGAACATATTGAAATTTGACAGATTGGTATGGGAACATATTGATATTTGAGGCTTCAGCCTAGGACCCCCGTCGAGTTTTATATACAGTGAACCCCCCGGGTGTGCCACAGTCTAAAAGCCTGATGAGAGCCCCGATTCTAGTTCTGTTATGTTCTATTGACAGCCCATTCTGATTTATCTGATATTATTGAGAACTGTTACATATTTTTCAGAAAATCATTTATCAGTCCCATATATGGCTCTTCTTTATCAGCCGCATATGAATTATTCAGAATATGATATACATGTATTCAAGAAAATATAATTATTTGGTCTTGCTTCCTTTTCGTATATGGATGATGAATTAAATGTAAACTTTAAATATGAGCCTTTTGAGGGTGCATGTTCGGAATTTTCCTGCATTTCTCAATTGAGTCGACGCATGTTATTTTTCAAACAGGAATCACTCCTTTCACACATTGTCTACATCTTCACCCTATGCAGACAGAGCCTGTGGGAAATATTGGGTGCGGAGCAAATGAGCGGAGGGTGCGGAGCTAACGGTTATTTTTGAATTTAAATTTGGGATATTTCTGAAACTAAGCCGTTTTTGGACTTCAAATATACCAAGATATGTGTATTTGACACCAAATATCAATACAATTGTGAAAATAGTAGCGCAATTCATTCTATAGCGACGCAGTGTGCCTTAAACCTTTCCCAGACCAGTCCCCAGCATTCATAAAAAATGGTGTTCAAGGTGCAATATCTATACAAATTATTTTTGCATCTTGGAAGCCAGGCAGTATCTGTGTGATTTTATAAAAATTCGGAAATTTTTTCAGATATGAGCCCCCTCTAAATATTGGGTGCGGAGCAGCTCCATAAACGTAGCTCCGCACCCAATATTTAGAGGGGGCTCATATCTGAAGAACATTTCCGAATTTTTATAAAATCACACAGATACTGCCTGGCTTTCAAGATGCAAAAATAATTTGCATGGGTAGTGTATCTTGAACACCATTTTTTATGAATGCTGGGGACGCAGTATTAAAAGGATAGTCTCAAAATATATAGGTCTGGGAAATGTTTAAGGCATACTGCGTCGCTATAAAATGAATTGCACTACTATTTTCACAATTTTATTGATATTTGGTGTCAAATACACATATCTTGGTATATTTGAAGTCCCAAAACGGCTTAGTTTCAGAAATATCCCAATTTTAAATTCAAAAATGACCGTTAGCTCCGCACCCTCCGCTCATTTGCGCCGCACCCAATATTTCCCACAGGCTCTGTCTGCATAGGGTGATCTTACAGTTTTGCACAAAGAGTGCACTTATGTGCCTAGAAAAGACTTGTGAGGAGATTAAATGTTTTGTGAAATGCATTAAAAACAAGAAAATTCAGTGAAAAGTTTTTCAGAATATTTTCACTGAATTTTCTTTTTTTTATACATTTCATCAAAACATTCTTCTTTACGTTCTTTTCTAGGTACATAAGTGCAACCGTTGTGCGAAAGTGAGAGATGTAGACATTGTGGGCAAGGAGTGATTCAAAGGATGTGTCCGGATATATACCCTTTTGGTCCCTCATTCAAATTTTTGATGCATAATTAACCCCCTGCTGAGAGTCAGAATAAGTATCTTAACAAACAAAAAAATAATCACCAAAAAAACACCAATGGCAACATGTATGACTTACAAAGAATTTTTTTTTGAATTTCAAGCCAGTTTAATTTGAAGGGGGAAAAACAAGATGGCTGCCATTTGATGTAAGAAATATCAGAAAAAAGTTGCTTCACTTAGTTTTCACAATGAGCACAGTTTTCTGGTTTAGGTTTTTTGACTGATTCTGACTCTTCATCACCAGGGTCAAGTTTAGAGATTATAAAATTGAAACCAAAATGTTGTGCTCAGCATGAATTTGACTGAAATATGTGCAACTTCACCAACGCAATAGAAGTCTCAAAACTGGATGCTCAGTAACTTTGAGTGACTATAATCCCTTGATTACCCAGATAAACACCAATTCACTTATCCAGAAATACCATTCAATGTCTATACAAAGCAAGTAAGCAATGTTTTGGAGGATATTTTCAAACTTTTTGTATAAATAATTCATTTAATATTTGCCATTGATTTTTTTTCAATTCTGACAAAGTGATATGCATGCCAATATTCTTCATTAATTGTGATACAAATTGATATTTTTGTACTCTCAGAAGAAGGATAAGATATTGAAGTTTAATAATATGTGTGATTGAGTTGGTTTTTTAGACATTACAATTATCAATATTTTCTAAGTCGATACCCAGACTCATTCCCAGACTCTGATCCTTTGAAAAACAACATGTGACCCTATTGAGGGTTGTTGCAAAATTCCAAACGTGCACCCTGACCTTTCAACATGACCTCGCTATAAAGTCCAATACAAATCAAAATGGTTTTATTATTCACCTCTTTATTTCACACTGGGGTACAAATATTATTACAATTACACATTCATAAAAAACACTGCAGGATATATGAAATAACATATAAACATATATAAGATTTAAGACTGAAAATCATGCATGTCTTAAATCTGTAAATGTCAATAACAAGATCACAAAAATGTGAGGGAAAAGTCACATATTTTTAAAATATTTTTTTTGAATCCCGAGAACTCAAAATTAGTATTTGCCATAAACCCAATATAGGTTCCCTTTGGCATGTGTGCATACTGCATACATATTCAAAGGTTTTTAGAAGACTACATGTTCAGATAAGATGCATATATACATGGGCTTTCTAATTGAAAGCCCATGATATATAATATCTATCCCTTTTGACAACTTAGTGTATTTCACTGTATTTTTACAGACAGGCTTCCCTCAAAGGTCATACAGTCCACGTTCTCATAGCATTTGTAATTTAACTTACACCATAACACGACAAACTTCAGTACAAACTAGGGAGTATATTTATAAGTCTGCCTTTACTCTTATTACATCAAAAATGTTTACTAAATTTAAATAAATTTTTCAAAAATAATTTTCAGACAATTTTTTAAGTTGTAGAAGTGTACAAAATGTCACATTGAGCCATTACTGTTATAGAAAGATGCTGCCTGTCCTCAACTCCTGAGATTTAACAACTTCTGTATAAAATGAAGAACACTACATGTACTTTCAGGGATAAAGATCTTGTTCAGTATTAAGTAAGTCAGAAATTAGTGTGTCAACAGAGCCTGGCATTATCAATCCCTTGACTACGCATAGTGACGAGAAATGACCTTGAAACCTTAAGTGGCGAGGTAATCTGTCACAAAATGTTTCACTAAAGTCGCTCTAATTTGAACAATTTTCATCTCTACACAAGAAAATGTTTTAAAATACTTGTGTCAGAATAATCATCTCTGCCGATTAATTTCATTAAATTGAACATCATCTGCAGTGTATGTATGTAGTAAAATGTCAAAAACTGGCAAAAATGAAAAATTCTCTGGTTTCATCTGATTTTAAAGACTTTGATTCAAGAGGTTAATAATGTTAGTTCCAGCAACAGTCTACAGACAATCATATCAAGGATTTCTTCATCCAGAAAATATCATCAGGGTCTATCCTCACAATACTTTTTCCATATTTTGTTTTTTGACTAGATTTTTTATCCTTTGGTGGTGGTGGTGGCGGCAGCGGTGGAGCAGGTGGTGAAGGGATACATGTATCTGAGGCACTAGTGATTGTAGAAGAGTCCGGTGAGGTAACAGATTCACTGTCCTGTTTTGGAGCAGCTTTCTTATTGTCCTTTGCACAGCATCCACCTCTAGAGCCAAGGTATTGTTTTAAAAACTGGAAAATAAGGTACAAAGTGAACAGAATCACACCCTTAGAATACAGTTTTCGGGACAAAAAATCTAAAATGGCCTCCCTAACATTTCACTGGAAACCTGTAGACAAGCCTCGATAGAAACATCTTTGAAAATTGCAGATAAATCCCTGAAATGGTTTGGCTGGAAACCTGTAGACAAGCCTCGACAGACAAAATTACCACCTTAACATTAATACCCAGAATGCAGTTCTAAGCTTTCATATCGAGAAACATCCCTAAAAATATCAGATGAATCCCTGAAACGGTTTAGCTGGAAACTTGTGGACAAGATTAATTGGGACTGAAAGTGGCCTAGATTTAAACATCTATGAAACTGCTTGAGGTAACTGTTCCAATCATATTTCTAGGTGTAGTCTAGCTTCTAGCCCTTGTGACCCCCAAAGACCTGATGCAAGACTAATCATTTATCAGTTTATGGGTATACAGTATATGCTTTGTGAATTCTGAGATGTTTAGCATAGATTATAATTGGTAGTTAAAATTATATCCACTTTGTAATTTCTGAGCTTAACACTGCTAAGATTCTTTGTGTTATATTACTCAAACTAACCTCATCGTAACCTGGCCTTTTGGACTCCCGATTGCAGCTCATGAAAGAAGAAAGTCTGACAGGTTCGCAAATGGAATACCCAATATGTTTGTAGAAATCTTGTTTGTCCATGGTAACCAAATACATGGTTGTAATACCAAGATTTAAAGCTTGTTTCCCACTGCATGACATAAGTTTCTTCCCTAGTCCTTTTCCTCTGTGACTTTTCTTGACAACCACTAAAACAGAATGAGGTTTAAATGTAAAGAACACAGGCCCGTAGCCAGGGGAGTTCGATGGGTTTGAGCGAACCCCCCTGGCCAAAAAAATTTTCAAAATCATGCAGTTTTTCACCATTCTGAGCACTTTTTTAAGTGATTTTGGCCATTTTTGGACAAAAATTGTCACAAGTGGAATTTTTCAAAAAGTGAACCCCCCTTGGCAAATCCTGGCTACGGGCCTGGAACACATGTAGATTCACTGTATGTACAGAGATCGCCTAGTATTAAAAGTGGGTGATCAAAGACTCGACAAGATGCGCAAAATTCAAATATCGTGTAACGGTTATTTTTAAAAGATTTATTTGTGTTCATATTACACGCTACTGGTGATTCAATAAGGTTTTGTAGGCACAAGAACACCCATATGCTTTGAAAAATATATATTACTTTGACCATTTTTCGTATATGTGATCGATTTTACGATGTAAAGATATAAATGCGATATATATGTGCTGTTTTATTTAAAAAGCTTTAAAATATCAAAAACAAGAGAAGATTTTTACTCACTTTAATTTTTTATACTTAGGTAGGGATTTGGGCTTCCATTTGACCATGATAAAGTTCACGTTTCCTCTTAAATAACATGGAATAAATATTTTAACACAGAAATGAATGGATCAGCCTATAGCGTGAGTTTCAGCAGATCATTCACCCATAACTATATATGCTTTAAAGAGAAGAAAAATGGGGTTTCATGCAAAATGTATATCCAAAATAAACATGTACACCAGCGTTCATTGATTCATTCAATTAAATGGTCACTGTGTGTGCGTACATTTTGTTATTCTGTCTATGTTTGAATACAATACGATATGTACACTGTAAACTGCTAAGAGAAAAACCTCTTGAAGCGTAAAACTTTATAATTGGAACAGTTTTTAAAGTCCCATTTCAGTCCATTTATTTTACCCTCTGATTCCAAGGTATGAAACCTTTACACCTCGGCATCCAAGATGATTGTCGAATTGTAATGCAAGAATTGAATGAATCATAAATGAAAATGTATGTCACTGTATGACCTATTGTCATGATTGTGCTTGTTATGGACATGGGGTCTCATAATAAACTTATAAAATCTGAATTGTACATTATCTTTTTCATTGGGGAGTTAAATCATTCTTTTGCAGCAAGGTATCAATAAGTTATATAAAACTGGTATGACGTAATAACCTTCAGTAGATGCCAGTAGTCAGTTCCCAGTTTCACAACGAGGTGGCTAACTTAGGTCATATGTAAATGGCAGGTATAAGGGAAAGGATCCTCTCAGTCTATAGTTCAATATTCAGAAGATTTATTGATTAAGGAATAAATAATGATAGGCCATTCAATATGGTGAAATTCAGCACGAGTTGGACAGAATGTTGTACAAAGCACGAACCGAAGGTGAGTGCATTTGTACTAACATTCTGTCCAACGAGTGCTGAATTTCACCATATTGAATGGCCTATCATTATTTATTCCGATTCAAACATAAAAATTAGTAAAAGCCGTGTCTGTGGAACGGGCATGAAGGAAGAATACGCATGCTGTCAAGATTCTGAAGTCGGCCGGAAAATTTTTAGAATTTGTTTGGGCTGTTCTATTTTACTCCCCATTTTAGATTTTATACGGTGTATGCAAACATGGGGTGTTGATAAAACAGGGAGTAAAAAAGAACAGCTATCCCCGGACAGAGCCCCAGATGTGCAGCCGAGATGTGACGTCACTCAAAACAATGCAAATTGCAGATTGAATAGGTAGACTGTAAATCTAGTAAATCTAGTAAAACTAGTAAATCTAGTAAATCTAGTAAAATCTTGTAAAATCTTGTAAAAACTTGATTATTCAATGTCTAAGATATAAAGTGCAAATGTCGAAAAAGCACTGAAAATGCCTTTGTATGAATGAAATGAACATGTAGATAAAATTCTACCTTTTTTTCATTATATTTAGTTACAAAACAACTATATGTTAGTACTGGATAACAAAATGGTTATCAAATGGTACACCCATTTTATCATCATACACAACCCACCCAAGAAGCATGCTCTATTAACAAATTAAGTTACATATTTAAGGACTGAGGGGACAATGCGTACCATCTAAATGACACAGGCTTGTTTTTCCCTCACAAAATGTTATAATGCTTAGCCTATCAGATAATTTATTTATTGCTTATTTTTTGGAGATGCTGTTCAATTGACAATATTTGTAGAAGTTCCAATGTGAGAGGAATGGATAAATGGCAATTTCAAAATTGATTTTTGCCAACCCCCAAAAATTAATAAAAAAAACAATCAAATGCTGTAGTAAGGGGAATCTAGTGAGACAATTTACTGATTGATCTATTTGCTTTACCTATACATAAAGTATAGTATGGCATTTCTACAATGCTTTCCATTTACGTTTTGATGATGATATGTTCCTTGTATTCTTTGTAATTAATAGTTTAAAGCCATATCATATCAGCCCCTTAAACATTCTTTTTTATTATAATATTTCACAATTTTGTTAAAAAATTTGTATATTGATTATTTGATGAAAGGAATGACTCTGAATTTTAATGCAGAGAAGGTATTTTTCTAATGTTGTAAAAGGAATCATAATCACCAATACTCTTACATAGAGACTGACATTGATATCAAATGAATGGTCCCTAAACAGTTTACGAGATTTTACAAGATTTTACTAGATTTACTAGGTTTACTAGATTTACGAGATTTACTAGATTTACTAGATTTACTAGATTTACTAGATTTACAGTCTACCGATTGAATAGAGCATGGTCGTGCATCTATGGAGAATTAGAGAACGTTCTATATTGGCTATGCTGCATTCTGATTGGTTGAGAAATTCGAATAGAGCACGGTCATGTTTGAATTAATTTTCAACTAAGGTGTATAGGTGATTAGCTTGAAAATTTTAGAATTGTATGTAATCGAATGCAAAATAAACGCCCAGTGTGTGTTTTTAGAGAAACAAAGTGTGAAATAAATACCATGCTATTATCTCTAATGACAGCGTTATGTGGATGGGACTGGGGAAAAGTTCCAGTTTAGGCTTTGGTCATATGGACATTAAAGATTTGTTTGATTTATAATTAAAACCAAATCTTTACTTTCATTTGGTATTATTCCAGAGAAATTTCTTGTTATCATTCTAAATTTGCCTCTATTTTCAATAATCGTTCTCATCTTCATCTCTTCATCTTCATGGTGTTCTATAAGGTGATTTATAATGTTTTGAAATTTAACAGTTCGTAGTGAAGGACAATAGAAACATGTAAATCCAACCACTCTGAAATGCAAAGAACACATCATTAGAATCCACATGGTAAAATCACTCACTTGGCTGATCATAATTTTTTTTCATAACATCCTCCTTACTCGATACTGAAGGGGAGTTGGAACGTCTGATATGCATGTAATGTTAAGTTTTATGTATATTAACCATAGATATATGATATTGGTTTTGTGGTTTTGGCAATCTAAAAACAGAAAATTTTGTGAAAAATACATTTTCGTTCGACGGGTTTTTGATTTTGCTTCTTTTATCAACTCAGTTCAGGTATTTCGGTTGATTTAATCACCGAATCCTGTTACCAAATGAATCTTGAGTCTCTTATACAGCATATGGAATACCATCTGTAGGTAAAATGACTTTAAACTGGTAAAGAGAAGAGAAACAAACATACCTTTCCTCCGACATTTTGGATTTTGCGCATCTTGTCGAGTCTTTGATCACCCACTTTTAATATTAGGCGATCTCTGTACATACAGTGAGATTACAGACATGTACAACATGTGCCCACATGTATGATTTGACTCTGACTTTTATGAATAAAACCACAAACTTGGATCAAATGAAATGCTGTAGTTGAGCACGTTTAATACATCATGACAAATAATATATGGATGATAAAATAATATTTTCAAACTTTGCAAAAGTTTGCATGGCTTTTTTGCCATGCAAAATTTTTTGCACAGCTTTTATCCATTTACCTGATTCAATGAGGCAACTATTTTCTTCTCCATGAACTGGCATCAATCTGCTGTGGCCTAAGATGGCTGCTTCTTTATCAGGCTCAGTGCCAGCCACAAGCACCATTGCACACGGCAGGCCAGGATATGGTGGATTCCCATTTGGCATAGACTTCTCTAAACTGTGCTCCCTAAAATATATTTTGACAATTAGTGTCACATTTGATCAAAGAGCTGGTTGAGGATTTTCCCTGGAGATTTAAAAAATATTAAAATCATATTCAACTTTTCTCAAATATAGTTTTCAGAGATTCTAACGGGTAACAAAGGATGTTAAAACTTTAACAACATATGAGTCTCAACATAGGAAAACTGGTATTATCACATAAATTTAAATTGTGCGACAGAGATTAAGAGGAAAATGATCTAAATTCAATTCCATCTTTTTGGTCTATATCTGCAAGGAAAAATTGTTAAGACATCAGTCATGGCTCATTTGAAAGTTCACTTTGTGCTTGTAAGATAAACAAAAATCGAAACATTGAAAAAATATGTGGTAAGACCCCTTTTCCAATGCCCATTTTTCAAAGCAAAAGGCCCCTAACATGATACTCGACAAAAATGGGCGTGACACTTATTCATTGGATGAACCCATGCAAAAAATCAGATTCCACCCCAAAAGACACTTCGGATTATTAAACTTTTTCTAAAAACTTACAGAAAAAGTTATTTGTACTTTGTGCTTTACATTTTGAAAAAATAATTGTGACCAAGATTAGGTTAAAAGCAAATACTTTTTATTACATTTTTAACTTAATGTTGATATGACTAATTCTGGTAAAAATGTAAAACCACACCTCCTAAGAGAAAAGTGGCTGACAGGTCTGAATAAAAAGAACAGATGACTGTCCTTGGAAGTTTAAAGATCTGTAACTGCAAATGTTTGTTTTGGTTTGATTGACTAACTGCATCTCTTCAACAATAGGGTTTACTTTGCGAGTGCCATGCCTACTCTAAAGTGTAGTTTACACTTCATGGTAGGCCTGGCACTTGATAAAGGTTAAATGCAATTGTCTTACAAATGCAGCATTATATGTTTCTGGCCAGAATAGCAAGATTGAGGTATTTAAAATTATTTTTCTTTCACCGTTTAGAATGTTATCTCAGGCTTGTATGACTGCCAAATCTGGATAATCATGATACAGATGTGTTTTTGTTCTTTTAAATATCAATATTTTCTGAAATTACTTTCACAACCTCTTGATCTGTGGTTTTAAGGATTACTGCTGATGCTGTACTACAGGGTGGGCCAAAAAAACGCCACTTTTTTCAAAATGATATAACTTTTTTAATTTTTGATACAGAATCATATTTTGCATACCAAATGAAAATTGAGGATGCTTTCTAGCCATGGATTATGAATTGTACACTTTTACTTGAATAAAATATGTCACCAGCATCTCACTTAAACATGTGGTGTGTCATGAGAAATAAACATAATTTGCAAAATGTTCCTTACGGCCTGATGACCACCAAGCTAATAGTCCTGATGCAATCCCCAGTGAGTATAGGTCTCCAGGAGATGGTATGAAGGCACCCAATCTAAAAAATTGCCCAACTAAAGCTGGCAATTAAGGCAGGTTGAAAGAAACTTAGCCAACATTTCACCGATACTGCTATAGCAGCAAGACAACTAAGACTAAAAGCTATCAGAGAGGGTGGCGGACCAATTGAACTCCTCTTTAAGATCAAATATAATTCAGGTTGAAGGGCTTGATATAACTTCTATAACTGCAAAATTTGGGGTATATAGTTGGAAAATAAAAAAGTTATAGAGTGTCTTGAAAAAAAAGTGGCATTTTTTTGGCCCACTCTGTACAAGTACATACACGAATATGTACTGTATATGATAATAAGAATGATTTACCTTGCTGCTACACTGCGTGGCCATTCTTCATTTAATATTTCTACACATTTATTCAAGTAGTGTTTATGCTCATGTAGAAGTACACAGATCGTCTCCATTTTTAGTCTATATTGATCAGTTGATGATGGCAGTGTATACTATATACTAGGTTCGCTTTTGTCTTCTTCTTGTTCTTTAATACTATGTTCATAACTATTTGTAGGCATATAGGCTGCAGACTGGCAACTTGATACCCTGGATATATTTAAGGAGTCACTGTCTCTGTGGCACGTTCTTTATAGAATCATTTTTTCCTGATCATATTATGGAAGCTTTCACAGGACACCTACATCTGTAATGATGCTTAAGTAAATTCCATCATACTAAGTTTGGTTTCTGCATGGAACTTGTTTCACCAAGTAACAGCTTCTTCCTGGAAAAGTAGAGAGTCCAAAATGTATTTATTCTATAGGCTCGAGAACGTGTATATCTGATGCCAAATTGAAGTAATTGTCCAATCTGAGATTATTCAAGAACACATTCCAATAAAAACATAATTTGTGGGAGAATGTTTACTTTCTTCATTGCCATAATTATGATGAATTCCATTTTTTATTAATTAATCAACATGTATGTCGATAATCATGTTTCCTTTTTCAAGTTATTTCTTTAAATCATCCATAAAAAGTACAAAATAAGATTTTCTTGGAATGTGTACATTCTCCAATTTTGAAAACCAAAAGGCAATGCTTATGTATGAAATATAGGAAGTTGCCTATCCTTCTAGTTGAAAGCCCATGCTATTATATTACAGTAGTGGGCCTAATGATCTAATGATCCCCAGCTCAATAACTTTCCTCAACTAGGCTCAAGATCTGAGGATCATCTGCTCAATATGAGGTCAGGAGATGAGACAGACGCTGAGAGATCAGAGGAAGTTGTATCACATCCTTCTTGGTATATTTGGTTCTTTGGGGCGGGCATCCTCACACTCAGTACAAAGTAACTATAATGCAATAAGGCAATGTACAATGTACCATGAGGAAGCCCAAAGAACCCCATACGAGGACCAAGAAGGACCTGATATAACTTGCTGTGCTGAGGAGCAGTGACTGTGAGACAAAAAACTAAAAACATAAAAAAAGTCAAAACTTTTCAACTTTTAATGAAAATGACGGTTGTGTAGGCCTAGCCAGTTCAGGAATAGATGGAAATAATACCTCATTCAAATTGTCTTCTTATCCTTCCTTTTCTGGTCGCTAATGAACGGTATGCCAGCAATTCTGTGTCAATAAGAGCCTAAAATAATGATATTTACCATCGGAAAATTTTTTGATCAAATCTCAAGGTCGTCGTGATTCCGGAAATGACGTCAGTTTAAAAATGAGGGCGCGAAATTCAAAAGTTTGAAAGTTTTGTTATTGTTTTTATGAGATGGAATTTTGAAATCAAATACACAACGGCCATTTTATAATGAAAAAATAAATGTACACTTCTTTTTATAAGTATTTTATCAGTATAACAAGCAATGTAATAAATTATAGCCTATGACTTACATGAAATACACCGTTCTTCTAGATGGGGGATCTTCGCAAAAACTAGTCTAGGGAGGGGGGTATTTAACATTGCATCCCCCTCGTCAAATTTCTAATTAAGACTTTAAGGGTGGAGTGTCTTTCAACAAGGCTAATGCCCATAAATCCACAGGGGGTCTTTTCATCTTTTCATTTCACGTCTCTTTGCCAAAGAGTGCTAGACGAGGCCTAGGCCTACAATCATTAACCGCTGCTTTGACCAAAGTTTAGTCATCCAACTTCGCTAATTACCAAAAGGCCCAGTATTTCCAGGAAAACCACTCAAAGGATTTATTTCAAAATTTCACACATGTTAGGTATAAGAGGTTCTAGAGCTGATTAACTTTAAGTTTCAGCAGCCATCTTGCATTCTGGCACCCATCTTGGAAATTGGAAAACCACCCAACGAATTTATTTCAAAATTTCACACAACATGTTAAATGAAATTCTAGAGCTGATTGACTTTTCGGTGGCCATCTTGCATACTGGCGGCCATCTTGGAAGTTTTTAGATAAATCATGTTATAGCGATTCCAGGAAAACCACTTCACGCGCGGATTTACTTATAATTTTCAAACATAAGTTAAGGTCAGGGTGCATGATGGGAAATTTTCTTCATTCCTCAATTGAGTCACATGTTATTTTTCAAACAAGAATCACTCCTTCCCTTCATTGTCTATATCTTCCAGTTTTGCACAAAGAGTGCACTTCTGTGCCTAGAAAAGACTTGTGAGAAGAATGTTTTGATAAAGTGTATAAAAAACAAGAAAATTCAGTGAAAAAATCAGAAAATTTTCAAAACATTTTTTCACTGAATTTTCTCGTTTTTTATACACTTTTACAAAACAAACCTTCTCACAAGGCACTCTTTGTGCAAACTTGGAAGATGTAGACAATGTGGGGAAGGAGTTATTCATGTTTGAAAAAAAACATGTGACTCAATTGAGGAATGCAGAAAATTTCCCAACATGCACCCTGTCCTTAAGTGAAAAATGTGATTTCCCAGATATTTTTTATTCTTATTCTAATTGCTTAGTATTCTGACCAGCTACAAGGATTGGAAGCCCTTATTCAAACTTTATACCCCGTTGCCCGGCGTAGACCAATTTGATGAAAATACTACTCATATTTTAAGACTAGAACTGCTGAGGAAGCTTGAATACTACCATATTCGTAATGATCATCTTTTAACGAAATACTTGGTCCAAAGAGAACCTTAAAGAAATATTGACTAAATTGTCCCACTACAGGCAAATGAGTATCGAGTTTGAATAAAAAAAATATTTAGGCTAAAAGATTCTCTTTGGACCAAGTATTTCTTAGAAAATGTACGTTGCAAATATTATGGTAATACTCAAGTTTCCTTGGCAGTTTACGCCGGGCAACGGAGTATGAGTTTGAATAACTGGGCTTCCAATCCTCCTTGGGTAAGCCTTGCCCAAGACGGTTTTCCTTTTACTTATCTTGATCCCCGGTTCTTGATCTTCAATTATTCTCGGCGGAGTACAAGGCGATGATGAAAAAGAAAAAAAGAAAAAGACATCGACTAGGGCAAGGGCAAGGCTACCCTAGAATGGTTCACTCCGATCAAGTAAGGTCTTGTTTTTTATTTAATATAAACATTTTTTGTTTTGACTCTCAGCTATTATTCGACTTGAAAGAATATCACACGTAGGCTATTTAAGATTTATTTCAGAGGTTTAGTCTAGTCTGTAATATGAACCTAAACCAGTAACATAGGGTCGATCTTCTGAAGAAAACCAGAGCTATCAGTTACATGGCCCTTTTCACACCCTCAGTTTTAATACGTTTGATATCTTCATCATCCATGTCATCCAGATCTAAATAAGTTTAACAAAATTATAGTGAGAACAACATTTATACTCCATTGTAAAATCTAAGATGCCTATGATTGACTAATATTTAACGGCCCCCTTAACGCATATCTCTAAATCTAATTAAGTTGGTTATTTCATGGCTTTCATGAGAGTCCATGGTTATCTTTGACAATTGTTTTAAATAGTCTTAGAGGTTTCAATGTTGATGCTCAGGCCCGTAAGACACTTTTCTCCAAGGGGGTGCGGTTCTCACTAAAGAGAATATAAAATTGTCCATTTTTTGACGCGTAAGTCAAATGGGGGGGGGGGGGGTTACTCCCTATATTTGGAGCCACTCAGCGGCTTATTTTGTAGTATTTTATTGTTTACGTATTGTTTTTTTACTATAAATTGTAGAGGGGGAGGGTGTGCTAGAAGGGCATAAATGTTTATCAAAGAACTTTTACCAGTTCAAGATCACATTCAGTGATTTCTGGACACTTTCAAGTGTTTTAATCAATAGAATCAATTTAAAGGAATTCAGATTTTTCAATCATTTTCTTCTTAGGGGAGCGAGGGGCAGTACAGGAAAAGCTAACTAATTCAAGATGCTGAGCACTTTTAATGTAGTAAATGAATGCTTTAGATTTTGGGGTGGGGTGCCAGAAATTTTTATGATTCCATTATGTCACTTGGTGATTTCTGTGCACTTTTAAAGTGTTTAAAATTAACAAATGCAACTTTAATGCTTTCAAACTTTCAACTGTTTTGTGGGGATGCTTTTTCAATTTTTTTGGGGTATGGGGGAGGGGTAAAACGATGAGAGGGTGAGGTGAGGTTGGAGTGCCAGAGGGGGAGCAAAGGGTTTTCCCCCAAAAACATTGACCGTATCAAGGTGCCATTTGATGATGTCTGGGCACTTCAAAAATGTCTGAGACAATACATGAAATTAAGAATCTTTCCATTGTTTTGTTGGGGATGTGAGGAGTGGTCAACTCTCCTTAAAAATTTTACAATTTTAAGATGATATTTGGTGCTTTCTGGGCACTTTTATAGGAATTGAAAAAAATTGAAAAACTCTTTTTCAATTTTTGGGGTTGTCAAAGGAGTGCCACAGGGGGAGAAAGTGTTTGTCCCCCAGAAACATTGACTATATCAAGGAGCTATTTAGTGATGTCTGGGCACTTATAAAAAATCTTACAATTTTAAGGCGCTATTTGGTGCTTTCTGGGCACTTTCAAAATGTATGAGTCAATTTTTTTTTAGAAAACCACAATTTTTTCCAATTTTTTTTCGGGGGGGGGGGTCAAAGGGCTGCCAGAGGGGGAGGTGGGGTGGTTAGTCCCCCAGAAACATTGACAATATCAAGGAACTATTTGATGATAACTGGGCACTTTAAAAGTGTCTGAGACAATACATAAAATAAATTCAGAACTTATCAAATGTTTAATTTTGTTGGGGGTGTGGGAGGTGGCTCATCTCCCTTAGAAAATTTCACAATTTCAAGACGCTATTTGGTGCTTTCTAGGCACTTTAAAAGTGTATGCGTCAATAAAAAAGTTGAGAAAATCACAATTTTTGCAATTTTTTGGGGTGTCAAGGGGGGGGGGTGCCAAAGAGGGGGTGGGGATGCCAGGGGGAGCACGTGTTATTCCCCCAGAAACATTGCCTATATCAATGAGCTATCCGATGATGTCTGGGCACTTTACATGCTTTAAAAGTGTCTGAGACAATACATAAAATAAATTCAAAACTTTTCAATTGTTTTGTTGGGGGTGGGAGAGGTGGCTCATTCCCCCTATGAAAATTTCACAATTTCAAGACGCTATTTGGTGCTCTCTAGGCACTTTCAAAGTGTATTAGTCAATAAAAAAAGTTGAGAAAATCACAATTTTTCCAATTTTATTTGGGGTGTCAAGGGGGAGGGGGTGCCAGAGGGGGAGCTGGGATTGGGATGCCAGGGGGAGCACGTATTAGTCCCCCAGAAACATTGCCTATATCAATGAGCTATCTGATGATGTCTGGGCACTTTAAAAGTAAAAGTGCATGTCTGAGACAATACATAAAATAGATTCAGAACTTTTCAATTGTTTTTTGGGGGTTGTGAGGGGTGGCCCACTCCCCCTAGAAGATTTCACAATTTTAAGATACTATTTGGTGCTTTCTGGGCACTTTCAAAGTGTATGAGTCAATGAAAAAAATAGAAACTTTTTGGGGGGGATGTCAAAGGGGAGTGCGGTCTCACTCATCGCACCCCCCCCCCCCCCCCAATCTGACGGCCATGATGCTGGTGCAGATACAGCGCATGGGAATTCTATTCGTTACTTTGTCATGGAAACTCTGACGCCTGTATATTTGATCTTCCCAACACAATCCATTCTTTGCACCTGCGAAGGGGCATTTCACAAAGAAAACGACGACGTGTCTAGAGTTGGTGCCTTGAGTTTAAATAATTTACCTCATTACCTACCGACCGCGGACTGATGGATAACCGTGTTTTATAGTAAAGAAACTTAACTTATATATAAAATATGCAAAATATGTCTTGTATTCTAGTAAATGAATTACAATGTCAAGTAACATTTAAAGTTGTTTGTGATTTGCCTCAATACTTGTGTATGTGTGTCGCTGTTTAAAATTGACACTAAAAGTGCAGTATCTTTGGACCCAGTGGTTTAAGAAAGCCCTTGAATGTGGAATGACCATTCCTTGAAGGTGTTGCTTTCCAAAATTTGCACACGAGATGCGAGAGCATCAAATGTTGATTTTAGGAAACAACACCCGAAAGGAATGGTCATTCTACAATGCATTCAGCCGGCCTTGACAACAATTAGACAACATTTACCTTTGACCTGCATATGCATGTAGCTTTTTATTCTCTATGACACTATTTATAGAATTTTACTCAAATATGAACTTATCAGCCTATCGGCTACATTAGTTTCAACAGAGTCTAGTATGATTGACCTTGGTTGAATTGTTGGTTATATAAAACAGTAGCATGCAGTTATTTGAAATAGCGTGTGCGGATTGGCTGGAATCGGACACACGCTTACCTAGCTATATGTGTGAATATAAATTAATGTATTGAGGCATGTTTGAAACCTCTCTTTGCATATGTATGGAAAACACATCAAATATGCCCAAGTGTACAAGATACTGGTAAAAATTAATTGATGTACTCATTTAAGCGCCTGCGTAGCGCCCCCTATAGGCTGCTCAGAAATGAAGTTAGGGCCATGAGGGGCACTTCATCTTCATTTGAAAACTAAGGAATCATTAGGCATCGGTTTGGTTGATGTAAGTTTCGAGATGTAATTTTAAATAGTTGCTACCTCCCAGGCTGCAGGAAAGGGCATTTCAATAAAAAAAGTAGTTGGTTGTTGATGGAACAGAAATACGCTATTTGGGTAAACTTCAAATTATTTGTGGGCTTGAACTGATCAATGTCATCTAATTTACATTAGACCATTCATAGGCAAGTGATTTGTATTATGACACCTTGGTAGGGTATTGCTCAAAGACTTTATTTATGGAACCTTATTGTGAGTATAGAGTTATGACTTTTGTATTGTCTTCTCTTTTCGAGTTTCTGCATTTAAAAAAATAGTCGGATAAAAACGTTCAGTTTTAAGTCAAAATATTTGCAAAACTTTGAGAAACGGAAAATACAATATTTGTGAAATAGCAAATATAACATATGTAAAACAGAAAATACAATATTTGAAAGATAGAAACTACAATATTTGTGAAACAGAAATACAATATTTTTGAAACAGAAAATACAATATTTGTGAAACAGAAAATACAACATTTGTGAACAAGCAAACACAACACTTCAGTTGTGAAACCAGAGAAAATACAATATTTGTGAAACAGAAAATACAACATTTGTACAACAGCAAATACAACACTTGTTAAGCTAGAAAATACGATATTCTGCAGGTGTAGTGGATATCATCTAAACTTGTCTTAGTGAATGTGAATTCTGTTCGATCTCCTGCACGTATCAGCCTGCTCAGTGCTCACAATGGCCGTACTTAATATCTTACAGGTATGTACGAACCAATTATGTTTTGATTTAAAAACGACATAAAAGTTTGAGGACAAAACATAAGACCTCTAAGAGGGTTTCTGAATTTTCACAAAAAAATATTCAGACAGTGAGCACTTAGAGAGTCGTATACATATTCGTCATGAGATATAGCTTACAGGGTGTCCAGGAAGTAAAGATACTCTTAATTTTCCTTGCTTTGAGATGACATTGCTACGGATTGTAGAAACACACCGGAACACTGACAACGGTAACAGTGGTATCTAGAAAAATGACGATGATGTAACCCCAGAAACATTGGGTTTTATGGTATGACTCCATAAATGTATGTATTTCATATACCTACTGAGGTTCTAGGTACATAGCGAGCGGGAATATATACTGTATCAAGGGAGCTATCACCAAGGCCCGGGACCGGGATGGATAATTTTTTTTCAATTTTTTTGAAAACCTCGCAAACTTTAAGACAAAGAAAACGCGTACCTTAAGTGTGTTTTGGAATATTGTTCTTTATAAAGTATGATGAACCTAGAACCTCATTAGGTATGAAATACATCTATAATATACGGTAAGTTTTGGATACAGGGTTTATCCCAAGGGAAATATGTGTATCTCCCTTGGGATAAACCCTGTATCCAAAACCTCCCAGTTCATAACTGCATCCCGAGCTTTTCCCAAAACAAGACTAAATACCACAAGGACGAGATCGGTTATATCCACCCCGGAATAGCCTGACAACGGTAAAGTCAGATATCGTTGTCACAAATGTCGGACATAACCGTCGCTTCAACTCTTCAATCACTTGGTCCTCGTTTCATGGGATTTTATCATCGCTAATTTTCGTCCGGACAGACGGATGTAAGGACGGACGGAGGGCTTCACATATATCCCTACTGAACTACATTCGTTGGGACAACTATCAGACAAATGTTATACCTTTTTGTGCAACCAAAACATGACTAAAATATCAACATTTTCTTTCTTCAGATTGTACTTATGATGACAAAGATACTGTTCATCCTAAATGGAAGCCTAACTCCATCAATTGATGCCACACAGTTTACCATAAGGAACGGGACTCTGAGATTACCAAGAAAGGACCCAAACTTGCAACGGCTTAACCTGGGGGGCAAAGGAATTTCAGAAATAGAAGCTGGTGAATTTGCTGGTTTTAACTCTTTAGAAGAATTATCTTTGAATAACAATAATTTATCAGAGATAGAAGATGGTCCATTCGCTGGTTTGGTATCTTTGGAACTGTTAAACTTGGGAAATAATAGACTCTCAGAAATAACATGTAGTGATTTTTCTGATTTTCATGGTTCATTAAAAAAACTAGACTTGACTTACAATAGATTAACAAAACCGAGAGGCAATCATTTTTGTAACCTAACATATCTTGAAGAGCTATCCCTTAGAAATAATGAAATATCCCATCTGGAGGCTGGTACATTTTCTGATTTGCAGTCATTGGAAAAGCTATACTTGGGGAACAATAAACTCACAATGTTAACTGGTGGAATATTCTCAGACTTAATATCACTGATATATCTTGACCTTTCGAATAATGAACTTTCACAGATAGAGACTGGTGCATTTTCTGGATTACAGTCATTGAATATGCTAATCTTGAGTAGCAATAAACTCAGAATGTTAAGAAGTGGGATATTCTCAGACTTGGTATCACTAAAATATCTTTTTGTTTCATATAATGAACTTTCCCATGTAGAGTCTGGTGCATTTTCTAGTTTGCAGTCATTGGAAAAGCTATTCTTGGTGAACAATAAACTTTCAAAGATAGAGGCTGGTACATTTTCTGATTTGCAGTCATTGGAAAATCTATTCTTGCTGAACAATAAACTCACAATGTTAGCTGGTGGAATATTCTCAGACTTAATATCACTGATATATCTTGACCTTTCGAATAATGAACTTTCACAGATAGAGACTGGTGCATTTTCTGGATTACAGTCATTGAATATGCTAATCTTGAGTAGCAATAAACTCAGAATGTTAAGAGGTGGGATATTTTCAGACTTGGAATCACTAAAATATCTTTTTGTTTTAAATAATGAACTTTCAAATGTAGAGACTGGTGCATTTTCTAGTTTGGAGTCATTGGTACAATTAGACTTATCACATAATAAACTCACAATATTAACAGGCGGGATATTCTCAGACTTGGTATCACTGAAATTTATTTTCGTTTCATATAATGCACTTTCACATGTAGAGACTGGTGCATTTTCTAGCTTGCAGTCATTGGCACATTTAGACTTGTCACATAATAAACTAACAATATTGGACAGTGCATTGTTCTGCAAATTGGGAAACCTGGAAACTTTACATTTGGCTGAAAATAACTTGGAAACTTCACAAACTACGGATCTTGATGCAATAAAGGAATATTGTTCGACAATTACTATTCAAACAACCCAACAGTCAACCATATCCACAACCCAAACAACTCAGCCATCTACCCAAACATCTCTCCAAACGACCCATTCATCTTTTCAAACAACCCAACAGTCAACCATATCCACAACCCAAACAACTCAGTCATCTACCCAAACATCTCTCCAAACAACCCATTCATCTATTCAAACAACCCAACAGTCAACCATATCCACAACCCAAACAAGTCAGCCATCTACCCAAACATCTCTCCAAACAACCCATTCATCTATTCAAACAACCCAACAGTCAACCATATCCACAACCCAAACAACTCTGCCAACTACCCAAAAATCTCTCCAAACAACCCATTTATCTATTCAAACAACCAAACCATCAACCCAGGCAATTCAGACATCTAACCAAACAATACAACCATCTTCCCAAATAACCAAACCTTCCAACCGAACAACAGCACAACCATCTAACCAAACAACTCAACCATCTATCAAAACATCTGAATCTTCTGTTAAATTAAACCCCTATAAAAGGCAACAAGACAACTTTGTCAAAACTCTTTTAGTATGTGGGATATTCACCCTGCTTTTGATAATCATTGTAGTAATATCTGTCCTCATTTATAGAATATTAAATGAAAGAAATACTTATCAAGTTGCAAAGCGAAAAGACAACACCAAATCACAAAGTACAACTGAAGCATTGACTGAATTGGGTGACATGACCCAAAAATCAATATAGATGAAGCTGAAGAAGATGGATGAAGATGATTTGCCCATACGAGTGATCCATTTAACCGAATAACCAGCTATATATATCCAACTTATACTGCCATCCACTCAAACAACACAATCATCAATTAAAACAACACACTTATAATCTCAAACAACATAATCATCAACTCAAACAACACAAACATCTACCTAAACAACACTACGATCTGTACAAACACTTCATCCATCTATAAAAACACTAAAAGCATATAGGGCTTGTAGCTAGACTATTGAAACCCCGGGATTGAAACAAATAAGTCATTTCGAAACTTATACACTGTAATAATCATACTATGAAACATATGCTATACACAGTGAGTGCAAAAAATATGTCGACATGTGGAATATTTTAGGAAATAGTTTTTATTTTATAAAAAAAAACTATTAGATCATACGTCAACGGGTATATTTAACATGTAATTATTTAACTAGACTTGACATGTTTTGTAAATATGTTTGTTTTATTTTTGTGAATAAATATTTTAATAAAAAAATTATAGACATATTTAATGTTTGATACATCCTTCAGCCTTGTCAACACAATAAGCCTAGTATCACTGGCGGATCTGGGGGGGGGGGGGCAGGGGCCCGCCCCCCCCCCTTGGGTGGGCCTAGAAAAAAAAAATTGTGCTCCAAAAAAAATTTGAGCCAAAAAAGGCCCTAAGGCCCCAAAAAGTAGGCCTTTTGGTCAAAAATTGGCATTCTAAGGCCTTGTTTTTTAATTTTAGGCTAAATTTTGAAGAAAATGGGCCTCACAATTTCAAAATTTGGGCCCACTTTTGGGTTTTTGGGGCCCAAAATTTTCTTCTCAGACAGGAAGTTTGGGGCCCCCCCTTGTTGGTTCCCAGATCCGCCCCTGAGTATTGTAAGATAACTGAGTAAATAGGTTGGTTAGGTCAATTGTACATGTTGCTTGTTGCAATTTTGTCACCCTTGCAGATCTGAATCTGCCTCTGAGACCTAATCACTCGTTTAGGCTACGTTTATTTTACGCCATGGATACAAAGACGTGAAATCTTATGAGCGCCAAAAATTGGATTTATATTTTGTGAAAAATCTTAGCCTAAAATATTTGCTGCTACATCCATAGAACTTCGTCAGTTACTTACAAATCTCCCGCCGAAAATACTTGCCCCGTCGTAAACTTCCATTGTTACTGGTGTGACTGTGGCGGGAGATTTGAAATTTGGGTTGCTCAAACTTCACCTTGGAAGTCCAAGATGCATGTCTGGATGACCGGCTGGACCATATCGATATCAGATTCATAATTTGAAAGTATTTTCTTATTTTGGACATTTTTTGGCAAATCAGGAGCTTTGAATATAATTGTAAGCTTACTTAAAAATAGGAAAAACGCAAATCTTGAACATTAAGGCCTATTGAGGTGTCTCTGGGGGGAGGGGAGGGGGGTGCCATTACAGACCTAGCTGTAAAAAGTATGAAAATTTTGAACACCTACTAAATTGCAGGTCGAAGGCGGGGACATACTTGTTTATGGCATGATAAGAGTTGTTGCAAACAGATAGACTCTTAGACTGTTAGGCGAAATATGATACCTCATGAAAATTCACAGCAAGTAACGTGGAGAACTGAAACACACTTCTCTTCTGTACATATTCATCCGCCAAAATTCAATCACTCAACCCAACAATCTTTGGTCCATTCATTGGTTTATGAAATGAAGAACTCAATTTTATATGTATGGATATTTACATATTTATCATAAATATGATAATTTGTAATTGATGGACGTGAAAGTAGAATTTATAGAGAACTTTTTTATGAAGTGCAAGTTTACAATTTTGAGTAAATGGGCATATCCGCCCACTTCATCACATCAGCATCCTTACTGTAGAGAAAGCATAACATTGTTTACAAGATGACGGCCCGTGGCGTTTTTGTTGTGAATCTACTCTTTTTAATAGGTAAGTTGGTTTATTATTTATGAACTTCAATTACAAATTTCATTGAATGACGTGCTTATTCAGTCATGCATAACTTATTTTCATGTACAGACACGGGAACAAGAGTTCATCCCCCTCCCACTCACTATATATTACTTAGAGTTAGAAAACAGCATTTTTACAGTGATACAGTGACGGGGGGGGGGGGGGGTATTTAACTGTTTCATATGGAGTATAATTTAATCTGAACCCCCTCCGCTCTGCTCCGATCCCAGGTGGTATATGTTCTAATATGTACCGGCCCCGTTCCCACCAAAAAATCTTTGGATTCCTGCACCTACCACACCAGGGGCGGATCCAGGATTTTGTGTTAGGGGGGGGCGTGTGATAATAACTGTGAGCCAATTAAAAAAAAGAGTCAAATTTTGTAAAAAGCGATGAGGCAAAACACAAATTTTCCGACTTTTTAGGGGGGGGGGGTGTGCGGCCCCAACGACCCCGTCTAGATCCGCTGGTGCACACCATAGACAGGTGACATTTTTGAAAAATACAAATGTCCCTGTTTCTTTCTGATTCATAAAACAGTATGAAGACATTCTTACTTTTTTCAGGAAAGTATCTCTTACAATGAGATTGATTATTCCATTGAGTACAGTAAAACCTGAGTTAGTGAACACTTTAGTGAACACCTGTCAACAGTGAACGTTTTTTTCAGCAAAACCTTTTTCTCCCATTTACTCCCATGCACAGGCCCAGGAAGATTTAAATCCCCCTCCCCCAGTCATTAATACATAGTGAGTGGGAGGGGGATGAACTCTTGTTCCCGTGTCCGTGCTCCCATGTTAAAGTACAATTCTATAATGAACACCTACCTCCTGTGAATACTAAATCTTGACAAAAGCAATTGAATGACCACATTGCACAAAAAGTGCATTAAGGATTGGTATCGATGTAGTATTGAATTCAACATTGTTTTTCTTTTAAACCAATTATTGAAAACATTCTGTAAAAAACACTGTCCTTTATGTAATGTTTCAGAATTTTTTGATGACTGGTTTTTAGAGAAACATATGTTCAATTCAGTTTGCCATATTGATACCAATTCTTTTCCTGGATTATTAGTTGCACAAATAACATATAAAAAAGGAAATATCATATAAAAAGGAGCATTTACTGACCTCCAATTTTCGTATTTTTAAAAGGTATATCACCAACTTTTCTTAATTTCCGTACATTGCACAATATTATTAACCATAATGTATACTCTAAGTGCATTTAGATTTATGTATTCTTTGTGGAAAACGGAAAGATTTTGACATGTATTGGATGATTTATATTCCTGAAAATACCTCATGTTTGAATATTTTCATAAAACACATTAGTCTGGTGGAAGGGTAGGCTAAAGTAAAAAATAATATTTTTGGAAAACTATTTACAGTTCAATACTTTTTAAAAAATATCTTTAAAAATTAGATTTGTTCCATATAAATTATCATTTTCATACTTAAGATTTACTTACTTGCATTTTAAATGTTACAAAAAGATGCAGAGTCAAACAAAGATTTTATTTTCAAAATTTTTGTCTTTATTAAGCATTATATTTTGATATGTACTAAAATCACTGTTTTATGTAACATTTCTGAGCTAGGAAGAATACTTATGGGTGTGATTTTAATTGTCACATACATGTAACATTATACGCTTTGAAAAGTATGGCTTCAAGGCAATACTTTTCAAAGAGGTCAAAATTGAGATCTTTATTGATTTTCTAAAAGGGTCATTTGAGGTTAAAGTCCATCTTAAATTTTGTTTTACCTCTTCAAAATCCAAAACTGGAAAAATAACTCAAATGAGCAAAACATTTTTTAGTTCATTGGCTTTCAAGAATTGCCTAATAGTTGCATGCAACTAATGAGAAAATAGTAAGTGAATTGACCAAACTGGCTTACTGACTGTATATTGTTGACTTTATTCAAAACCAACATTCATTTTTGTATCTATCATTGACAGGGGGATGCAATGCTGTATACAAAAGATGGATACCAAATACTGATTTCAACAATCCATCCAATTGGGATTTAGGCAGAGTGCCATGTAAGAACAATCGCATTGTATTCCCAGAAAGCGCCCCACTTGTTTACATGCAGAGTAACACCACACTCATGAATATTGTAAGTACAGTATAGAAGGAAAACCGTGATTTGTGTTTTTATAGCTTTTTTTCTCAATGAAAATCCCCCCATTTTCTGTGTACCAAGGAAATATTAAAGAGTTGGTGGGGGGGTCATTTTTCTTTCTGTCAGTTCTACCATCTGTTCCTATTCCAAATAAAAGATTTCAGATCAAGATCATTCAAAAGCAGATAAGCCCAATTACTAACATTCATTTAGTTTTGTAAGCTGCAGTTGCAAGAATAATTGTACTTTGATTTCAATAAAACTCCAGGAGAATGTGTGAACTCATGAATTGTATTTACTTATTCTTCAACCTGACTGATATATCCTGGTTTATGGTATGGTTTATGGTTGTGATTTATAAGCTTGTTTGCTACTGAAACATACATAAGTCAGGGGCCTAACCAGAATTTCAAATCAGCAAGACATATTAAATTGGCGAGACATGTAATATTTGAGTAAAATGGGGTATAATGCTATTATCATCATTTTTTTATCAACTTTTTTGTGGATTGTGGTTGGCGGTCAGTTGTTGGCATATGGATTGGTCGCCGTTTGTTAAAAATGGCAGGTGGTGACATTTTGCATGTTATATGCCTTGTTTGTCAGACGTTGTTTCATATGTGAACAAAGAATCTGATTATATTTTTCTGTGAAATTTCAATGAGATGGTCGCCATGCCTGACTCATACCTGGCTTCACCCTGAAAGTCATAAAAGTAGAATATCATGTGAACTCTTTCATGTTAACCCTCCACAAGTTCTAAGTATATTTTGGTATGCCACCACTTCGACATACCACCAGAAGTGGTGACATATTGTTTGTTATAAGTCAACAACTTTTTTGTGGATGGTGTTCGGCAGTTGGTGTTTGGCAGTCAGCGTTTGATTTCTGTAAACAAATGGCAGGTAGTGACATTTTGCATGTTAATGCCTTGTCTCTGAATTTGCTTCTTCATTAACGGATGGCAGCGAGTGTTTTGGCAATGACTTAGAAATCCTCCTGAGATGTCCCCTCTTAAGTACACAAATCAGGGTCATGTACTCTATTAACAAGTGATATACATGGTATATATATAATTTACAATATAATTAACTCATTAAAATGTCAAATACAGTTCTTAAATATTTCTTAAATAAAGAAACAAATGTGTTCATGCCTATGTCTGATGAGTTGAATATCAATAGACTCGTCTTGTTTTCAAGTCATAAAATGAATTCCATGAGAGTATACAAAAAAAATTAAAATGTTAAATTAGATTCAGCCAAAATGAAAATGTGCAACCCTGTTTTTGTCATGTTATGCCACTCCGATGTCAGAATATTTAAAGGGGATCCCACAGTAATAGCTTTTTAAAAATTCGCTAACCACTTTTGAGGCAAGCACCTCATATTCTCTGACCATGGGACCAAAAATGAAAAAGTCTCTTGTTTCAACTGATTTTAGAGAGTGGGATCCAAGAGGTTTAATAATAATTTCATATGCTCAGATGTTCTTATGGACCTTGTATATTTGTCTGAATTATTTAATTTAATTAATTATATGCAGGTATTACCCTCAAATGGTGAGATAGTCCTTGGAGATTATGTCACACTTGGATTCTCTGACAAGATAGACACTAGTGCCACATGTAGGGGAGGAGGTAAGATATAACCATAATGCATTTATAGAGGAGGTAAATAGTCAAGATTTATGTATGTGTAGGAGAGGTAAGATATAACCATAATGCATGTGTAGAGAAGCTAAAAGAGCCACAATGTATGTATGTGTAGGAGAGGTAAGATATAACCATAATTCATTTATAGAGGAGGTAAAATAGCCAAGATGTATGTATGTGTAGGAGAGGTAAGATATAACCATAATTCATTTGCAGAGGAGGTTAATAGTCAAAATGTATGTTTGTGTAGAAGAGGTAAGATATAACCATAATGCATGTGCAGAGGAGGTATTATAGCTAAATTGCTGGTGATTATACATGGCATGAATAGGTTAATCAGCTTAACTTCTGCCTAAAGTTATATATTTTAACATTTTTTAATAAAAATTACAAATGTTACATTGAAATTGATCTCATAGTTTTGCTCAAGGAGTTGATGGTCAAAATAAAAAATAAAATCCTGAAGAGCTTTTGTAATTCAGATATTTCAGTTTCCATAGTTTTTTTGTATTAAAGCCCCGAACTCTTACTTATTATGCAATTATGTTTGATATTGTGTAGTATGTCCAAATAAAAGCTGCTATTCAAAATAAATGATAAATGAAAATGATTGATAAAAACTACTGTTTTTTGTCATTGCTTGAATAAAAGTATTTTTTCTTAAATATGGCTGAAATGGACAGGGTCTTCTCAATTTTGAAAAAGATAGAAAAAAATATTTGAAGGCGGTAACTATTTGGTTGGGGAATGATACCATTTTTATGGTAAAAATTCATTTTATTGATATACAATTCAATTTAATAATATACAATTAATCATCAATCATATGAACTTTACTCTAGCACAATTTCAAATTATATGAGTTTTGAATTTGTCTTTGTGGTAACAATAGCTAAAATGGCTAAAATAGAATGAGAGTTTCAATATTTTTTCACAAATATGTCACACTGACCTACTGTACATGTATATTAATCAAATAATTCATTTTTACAATTTGAATTACGAACATTGTTACAGAACCTAGATTCTGAGTCAAGATCACATCTGAGTTAACAATGAATTTATCTAAATATAACTTTCTCTCTGATACAGATCAGTATTTGATTGACAGTTCTATTTTTGCACTTTCCATATTTGGGAGTGAAATTGATGGCCTATGTTAAAATTCCAAGGTCAAACTGATCTGGTCACTCTCTAAGACAATTTAAAAACAGGATTTTGGTTAAAATGTATTGATTCTATCTTTGTTTTTCTCAGTTAAAACATATTTACAGATAAAATTACCTTTCAAATTATTTTTATCCATTAAATATCAGTTTATTTGGGAGGTTTTAATCATTAACTTTTTTATTTGAAAGGAGATTTTTGCAGTTTTTATAGGGGTGTTTTGTCAAAGAATTTCAGTTGAATCAACAATTTCACAAGCTTCACAAGTTCAGGGTTTTCATTCGAATTTTATTGTCATTGGAATAAACAGTTAGAAAGTTTGTTGCTTTCTCTGTCAAAATTTGAGCAAAAAATCATTGAATAAATGTATTTGACAATTGTTTATTAAATATTTATCGATATACTATATTTAGTTATGGTTTAATTTACACAGGAAATCATTTTTATGATAATATTGAATATTTTTATAGCACCTTGGAGATTTGTAATCAGTTTGTTCAAATAGTTTTCATCACCTTTGTCGTTATTTAATACTAGAGTAATTTCAATTTTTTCAATTTTTAAACTGTAAAAATGTATAAAACTTCAGATGCGAACTTCAATCGTACATCTGCCGTCCAATGGGTGGATACAAACAACTGGTGTGTCACTGCTCACCCTGATGACCCATGCCCCTCTACCCCAGCACCCCCCATGCTTGATACAGAGAAGGTGCCCTGCAAATATGATGACGTTACTTTTCCAAAGGGGTCAGCATTTTATGTCAATTTGGCATCAAAATTATTGTTGAACATGAAATCTTTGACATTGAATGGGCAGGTTTGTTTGTTTGTTATATATTTTCTGCAACTTTCTTTGAAAACTTTTACAAATGTGTATAAACATGTCTAAAATATGTAAACTAATATTGTCATGATTTTGAACAATTGAAGGCCCTGTGCAAAGCTTGAAAAGCGGTTTAAAAGTTTATATGGGGCATTTAAATATAATTCATGTTAAAGAAAATGAAATTGGAATAAAATGAAAAAAACATAATCTCAATTTTCAATTCATAGGTTTCCTTGATATTCTAATTTCTCTATCTAGAATAAGGTTTCACATTTAAATACAAGCCTTGATGTTTTGAATTACAGGGTTTTTCCACAAATACGTTCTCTGCATATTTGACATCCAACATGGGGAAGAAACAGTTTGTCCAAAACCAAGGTTCCAGTCCAACACGCATCAACATCAACGGGGATTCGTGTTATGATGTCACTGGTTGTGCGTGTGGCAATGATCAAGGAAATGTAAGTTTGGGTGAATGTGCAATGACCCTCGATGGCAATTTGATACTACATACAGTAAGCTTTTCTGGCTTATACATGTAAACTGAAAGCATAAACTCCAAAGCATCAGGCAACGAATCTAAGGGTTCGAGGTTTGATTCCCACACGGGGCATTGAATTTAGCACAATTCTTTCATTCCTATCTGTTTCTGGTTTGTTTACACTATGATCTGCATTTTGTCATTCTTCAGATGGACCCTTGAGTCATTACAAATGTTTTGGTTCGGATGACCAAGGTACGTCAATCTGGGGGTCTTTGAGAGGAAAATTATTTTGAGATATGAATTTGGTGATTTTACTCATTATATTTCCATGGCAACTCCATAAACACCCTCAAATCTTGTTGATAAAACAAAGTACAACATTAGAGGATTGATTATCTGGACATTTTACACTTGGAAAAATTCATAATTTTAAAGTCAGAAATAATATAGTCTCAAAGCTGGAATCTTACAAGTACAGTTCCTACATGTAGATGATGCATTCTAGTAGAAAGAACATACTATTAGATAACAGTGTCTAATAGAATTCTATTTGCATAGGTGCTAGCTGCTGTGTGTGCTGTACAGTCCAGTAGATGTACATCACCAATGTGTAGATCAGCACTCACACCAACGGGTCACTGTTGTCCAATATGTGGTAAGTGGCTTCATTCAATGCCCTTCTACTTAGCACAGAGCAAATTCAAACAAATATTGGGTCCACAAATTTTGTAGGGCCTCTTTGGGCATAACTTCGCCTTTGTGGACCTTTTTAGGACAAATTATCTAAAAATGGGCCTTAAATTTTCAAAATTTTTCCCTTTTCAGCTTCTGGATCCACCAGTGAATAACATAGAATGGAACCCTCCAGCCCACAAAAAAGCAAAAAGCAAAATTTGTCTTAAAATATAATGTTTGAAATGTTTAGAATGCACCATGTACAATGTCAATTTTGAAAATTTTCTGGGGTTGAACCCCTATCCCCTTTTTGGGGCTCGCTTCGTTTGCACTGGTACATAGCCAAAAACAAATCCCCTTGACAATACCTGGCTACGCCCCTGAATAATATAGAACATATTCATTCAATGTCCATATGCATAGAACACACATACATACGTTGTTGATATTATTTGAACTTTTAGGTGCTGTGATAGAGCTTGACTATGGGGCAGGGTTCAGACTTGAGCGTATCAAGAACATGATATCTGAAGACATAGCCTCAAAGGTATAGTTTCACTTCACTACTATATAGGGATTTCATTTCTGAGTTAAAGATTGAATGGACATCAAAGAAAATTATGTAGTTTCTAGATATGTCACCAACACAAGTGATGACATATTGTTATGGTCTCCAACGTTTTTGTTGAGGATGGTGTTTGGCATTTGGTGTTTGGTGTATGATGGTCAGTGTTCATCATCTATAACAAATAGCAGGTGGTGACATTTTGCATATGCCTTGTTTCTGCTATTTTCAGAAGGATTTCAACAGCAGTTCAGTTCAGATGATGCTGTCAAAGTTGAGTTCTGGTAAAATCCAAGTGGTTCTATTGGACGATCACGATGGCATGATGGCTGTAGATGTGGGCCGTACGGTCACTAGGAAGATTGAATCTGGTAATTATAGTACTTAATAACATTTTGGAACCTGTGTTCAACATGATACAGGATTTGCAATTCAGAGTCACCATGACCGGAGTTAACCTATACGCCAAGGTTATATGGGTCAACCTGACACAGATTATGCAATACCATGTCATTTCAACCCAATTAGGTTAACCTATATATGCTATATAGGTTATGTAGGTCAACCTAACACAGGTTATGAAATCAGAGGTCATCTTAACCCAAGTCAAGGCCATGTAGAGCATTGCAACCTGCAATTCCGAATCTCAACCCAAGTTAACATTTGCATCAAGGTCATGCAGGTCAACATGACACAGGTCATGCAATTCCATGTCATCTCAATCAAAGTTAACCTTTACATCAATGTTATGCATGTCAACCTGAAAATGGCTATGCATTTCCAGGTCATCTCAATGCAAGTTAACCTTTACATCATCAAGATTATGTGGATCAACCTAACACAGGTTATGCAATTCTAGGTCATCATAACCCAAGTTAACCTGTATAACAAGATTATGCTGTCAATTTATACAAGTTATGCAGGTCAACCTGACACAGGTTATGTAATTCTAGGTCATCATAACCCAAGTTCACCTATATAACAAGATTATGCTGTCAATTTATACAAAATATGCAGGTCAACCTGACACAGGTTTAATCAAGCCTTTGTATATTATATTCTCATTTTCAAGTGTATTTTCAAATGTTCTCCACCTTTGTACTTGCACATTACTTCATGATTGTTTTCTCCAGATATCAAAGGTTCTCGTATCTATGCAGTCACCACAGTAAAGATGCAGGTTTCTGAATCCATGAATACACCCAGCCCCCAGACAGGTTTGTGCTATTATACTACAATCTAGTAGTACATCTTCAAAAAATCTTTACTTCATAATACATGAATACATAATATTGGTACTAGGATCCCAATATCATCAAAATAATTGGATCATTTAATGCGTGTAACATATCTTCACACATATCAACAAAAACATTTTTATACCTGAGATACTTTGGTCATTTTGATATTCCAGTGTAGCAACATACTGCAACAATAAAGGTAGAGAACCTTAGCAGTTTAGCTTGCATTCTGATATCAGTGTCTTCAAATCAAAAGTCATCATGTTGTACTTTATCATGCAGGTGGCAATGATGTTGGACTCTCTAGTGGAACACTGGCAGGGATCATCATAGCTATAACTGTCTGTATATGTTGTACTTTATCATGTAGGTGGCAATGATGTTGGACTCTCTAGTGGAACACTGGCAGGGATCATCATAGATATAACTGTCTGTATATGTTGTACTTTATCATGTAGGTGGCAATGATGTTGGACTCTCTAGTGGAACACTGGCAGGGATCATCATAGCTATAACTGTCTGTATATGTTGTACTTTATCATGTAGGTGGCAATGATGTTGGACTCTCTAGTGGAACACTGGCAGGGATCATCATAGATATAACTGTCTGTATATGTTGTACTTTATCATGTAGGTGGCAATGATGTTGGACTCTCTAGTGGAACACTGGCAGGGATCATCATAGATATAACTGTCTGTATATGTTGTACTTTATCATGTAGGTGGCAATGATGTTGAACCCTCTAGTGGAACACTGGCAGGGATCATCATAGCTATTACTGCCTTTATATGTTGTACTTTATCATCCAGGTGACAATGATGTTGGACTCTCTTGTGGAACACTGGCAGGGATCATCTTAGCTATAACTGCCTGTATAATTATGTTATACTTTATCATGCAGGTGGCAATGATGTTGGACTCTCTATTGGAACACTGGCAGGGATCATCATAGCTATAACTGTCTGTATATGTTGTATTTTATCATGCAGGTGGCAATGATGTTGGACTGTCTAGTGGAACACTGGCAGGGATTACATAGCTATAACTGTCTGTATATGTTGTACTTTATCATGCAGGTGGCAATGATGTTGGACTCTCTAGTGGAACACTGGCAGGGATCATCATAGCTATAACTGTCTGTATATGTTGTACTTTATCATGTAGGTGGCAATGATGTTGGACTCTCTAGTGGAACACTGGCAGGGATCATCATAGCTATAACTGTCTGTATATGTTGTACTTTATCATGCAGGTGGCAATGATGTTGGACTCTCTAGTGGAACACTGGCAGGGATCATCATAGCTATAACTGTCTGTATATGTTGTACTTTATCATGCAGGTGGCAATGATGTTGTACGCTCTAGTGGAACACTGGCAGGGATCATCATAGCTATAACTGTCTGTATATGTTGTACTTTATCATGTAGGTGGCAATGATATTGGACTCTCTAGTGGAACACTGGCAGGGATCATCATAGATAAAACTGTCTGTATATGTTGTACTTTATCATGTAGGTGGCAATGATGTTGGACTCTCTAGTGGAACACTGGCAGGGATCATCATAGATATAACTGTCTGTATATGTTGTACTTTATAATGCAGGTGGCAATGATGTTGGACTCTCTAGTGGAACACTGGCAGGGATCATCATAGCTATAACTGTCTGTATATGTTGTACTTTATCATGTAGGTGGCAATGATGTTGGACTCTCTAGTGGAACACTGGCAGGGATCATCATAGCTATAACTGTCTGTATATGTTGTACTTTATCGTGCAGGTGGCAATGATGTTGGACTCTCTAGTGGAACACTGGCAGGGATCATCATAGCTATAACTGTCTGTATTCTGCTGATTGCGGTTGTGGGATTTATTCTCATGAGAAGGTCAGTTTGCTATTTGACTTAGACTTCAGTTTATGTTCTCTCTTTCTTTGTTTTAAATGAAAGCGATTCAATGTTAGTTTATGTAATATGCTTATATGGTGTAGAATCTTGAGACAAAAGTTATGGAGATCAACTCCGCTGATGAAATAATATTTTATAATCAGTCATTTCGACTAGATTTAAATTTCTGTGTTTTCTATCAATTATTTTTTTCTCAACAGAAAACTAGGAGATGATTTTTACAAATTCAGACGATTTGGTAGCAAGAAAGGCTTCACTATGGAAATGGGTGCAACAAGTGGATTTGAGAACCCAATTTATGGCACTACGGGTCCTATCACTGATATGTATGGTCCTAAAGAGATTAAACTGAACTTGAACATTACCAAGGAGCAGAATGGGAATGAAAGTTCATTAAGAGGATTTGATAACCCAATGTATGAAAGCAAGGGTGCCAAGGTAGGTCGCCTTGAAATATGTATGCGTGTTATCCCATCATGCCTTACAATACCTACTTAACCATCTAATAGTATCCCAACATGTCCATGAAATGCTACCATGTTTACACAATATCTTATGTCTATTGCAGGCACGTAGCCAGGGGGGTTCGGGCGAACTCCCCCTCTTGCCAAAATTTCTTTCAAAATCATGCAGTTTCTCACCATTCTGACTGTTTTTTGAGCGATTTTTGGCCAAATTTGCCAAAGTGAACCCACCTCGAATTTTTTGGAAAAGTGAACCACCCTTTGGAAAATTCTGGCTACGGGCCTAATCTCACCATTGTCTAGTCTGTCTACACAACTTACCATATTTTCAAGATAAAAATGTAAACATAATATCATGCTTGTGCTGCATCCATGTAATAATATACATGTCTGAAGAAATTGAAATATTAAGGAAATTGCTGGACTAGCTTATTGATGTTTATATGAGAGAATAAAGATTTATTTGAAGACAAGGCTGAATTTCCATTTTGAATTTATTTTTCAGGATTTCTTTTCTGATCCAACCAAAACAGATCCAAGTGTAAGATTCAACCCAATCTATAGTACAGAGGGGATAGAAGATGACAGCAAGATGTAAATGATGTATCTTTTACAATCTACAGCTAGACTTCACAGTATATACAATGTATACACATTATCCAGCTCTATAGGTCCGTATACAGCTGAACTTTTCACTATGGACACAATCATCCAGCTTTATAGCTCAATCTACAGCTGAACTTTACACTATGTACACATTCTCTACAGCTCAATCTACAGCTGAACTTTTCACTATGGACACATTCATCCAGCTTTATAGCTAAATCTACAGCTGAACTTTTCACTATGGACACATTCATCCAGCTTTATAGCTCAATCTACAGCTGAACTTTACACTATGTACACATTCTCTACAGCTCAATCTACAGCTGAACTTTTCACTATGGACACATTCATCCAGCTTTATAGCTCAATCTACAACTGAACTTTACACTATGTACACATTCTCTACAGCTCAATCTACAGCTGAACATTTCACTATGGACACATTCATCCAGCTTTATAGCTCAATCTACAGCTGAACTTTTCACTATGGCCACATTCATCCAGTCTTATATTATAGCTCGATCTACAGCTGAACTTTACACTATGGACACACAATCATCAGGCGTTTTATTATACATTATGAAATGTTTGTCGAGAATATCTAAGAATTAGAGTGATGTATCACTTTCACTTCAAACTCCAGGAGCACTGGTACCATGAATCTTACTTATATAACGAAATTCAGTGATAAAAAGTCACCCATTTTTAGAGGAACTTTTTAGCTCATTATACTTTTGCAGTGTTACTGTAGAAATTCTGTAAAATCCATGAAAGTGAAATAAGCACAAATAACACAAGGAGTTTCAGAACGATATTCAAAAAAATGAGAAAATAATTAATTTAATATGGTTATCCCCATTGAATATCATGTTTTTGAAAATTCATGTTTATGGTTCATTAATTAGTACTCCTCAGTTTCATGTATTGTCTGTTTCAATCGACCTCAGAGCCACCCAAGCCTCACTTGCATTTGTTACTTTGGTTCTTATTTCACTATCTTTAAATGATGGGAAAGCAAAAACTGCTGTGCATGTTTTTGTGGAAAAAGGATTTTGATAATTGTTCTTTGAATATCAGATGACATGCACTGATATATCGTCATAACAGTAACTTTTATGCATTCATTGTATCAACTCAGCAGACTAACAACATCAATGGTTACAGTGCATTCTGATTGGTGAAAGTGATATACCATATGCGAAAAGTGTGTTTAAGAACGAACAAGTCAAGTGCCTTTTAATTATACCATTTATTGTGATCACAAAGTATTTTTTATAACAAATAAATATTAATTTCTTCAAATTGGATTTTTCAATTAATATTTCTCTTTCAAATGTAATTTGTCTTGATATCAAAAGTACATCTGCATTCAAGACAAGATTTTTCCAGGGCCTCCAAATGTTTTCTTTAAAAGAAAAAAGAAAAAATTATCTCGTGAAAGGGCCATATTACTATAATAATCAAAAGGCCAGGAAAAGTAATTCCCGTTTCAGTCACCTGAGTCACTTTGGCAGTCTCTTTGGTAAATATGATTTCTGTTTTCCAGTTCCTTTATTTTGCTCCAAATATAGTGGTGGTTTTTGAAACCATTTTATTGCCATCTGATGATAAGAGATGGGTTGATATTGCTGAGCTATCCTCCTTACATCCATCATTCTTTCAAAGCATGTTCTTAGATTTCTACTGTTGTCAACGTTTCACCAAACTTGTAGAGGCTCTGAAATAAACAGTAAAATATTCATTATTTCTTGAAGACTAACAGGTACTTGTACATGGTCAAACAGGGCTTTAATAGATGATTCCTTGCAATGTAATACTGGGATGACATCTATTTGTGTAATCTATAGCTAGCGGAGACCTTCATTGAAAAAATTACACATGTCATGTGGTTTATTAAAAGGAGTTAATCTGTTTTGTGTTATGCAATGGATAGGACTAATCCAGTTGGTTTCAAATAACCTGATTAGACAGGTTTAGGGTCTTCCTGTCATCCCTGAGCAGTATGATGTATTGGGTGTCCAAAAAGTCTGAAACTACAACAAAAACTCTGTAAAGTATAAAGAGACTTTATGGACACCATGTATATACCTACGAAGTGAGGGTCTTTCTGCCACCACTAAGTAGTATACTTTACAGGGTGTACCTTTGCAATTACAATACAAACTTTTTATAAAGTGTAAAGAGACTTCTTGGACACCCTGTATATACTTACGAAGTGAGGGTCTTTCTGCCACCACTGAGAAGTATGCTTTACAGGGTGTATCTTTGCAATTGTAAAACAAACTTTTTATGAAGTGTAAAGAGACTTCTTGGACACCCTGTATATACTTACGAAGTGAGAGTCTTTCTGCCACCACTGAGTAGTATGCTTTACAGGGTGTATCTTTGCAATTGTAAAACAAACTTTTTATGAAGTGTAAAGAGACTTCTTGGACACCCTGTATATACTTACGAAGTGAGGGTCTTTCTGCCACCACTGAGTAGTATGCTTTACAGGGTGTATCTTTGCAATTACAATACAAACTTTTTATGAAGTGTAAAGAGACTTCTTTGACACTCTGTATATACTTACGAAGTGAGGGTCTCTCTGCCACCACTGAGTAGTATGCTTTACAGGGTGTACCTTTGCAATTACAATACAAACTTTTTATGAAGTGTAAAGAGACTTCTTGGACACTCTGTATATACTTACGAAGTGAGGGTCTCTCTGCCACCACTGAGTAGTATGCTTTACAGGGTGTACCTTTGCAATTACAATACAAACTTTTTATGAAGTGTAAAGAGACTTCTTGGACACTCTGTATATACTTACGAAGTGAGAGTCTTGCTGCCACCACTGAGTACTAGGAAGGGAGTCTTCTCAGAGTTCAACTTTTCCTTTAGTCTGGCAACTGTATTAAGGGGCGTGTCTGTAGAACTCATTTGTTTCATAAGCTGTAAATAAAGCAACAATGAGGCATCAACATGCAAATGTCACTACCTGCCATTTGTTCAGACGCCGAATACCAATCGCCAAATGCTGAACACCACCCACAAAATAGTTGGAGACTGCCAGCCATCATTTCTTCTCAATATTAACAATACTGTTCCTTTACTTTTCAAGTGACAGCAAAAACCTCTAACAGTAGAATCTAATCTGTCAGCTGGTATTTGAGTTATCAAAGATTAAATTTTCATGAAATATGGTGGCCATTTTGAAAGCGCTTTCATGTCCATAAGGCACAGTCTATAAAAGTATAAATTTGACGACCAGTTTTTGAGTTATCATCCAAACAGGCAATCGGATACTAGTAAACAGTTGAAGAGATGGACAGACAGACAGCTTCTTTGTATCCTCTTCTTGAACTTTGGTGACCTCAAAGTACTGTGAAAAGGGCAGGAGAAATCAAGAATAAGAGTTAAACATGTAAAGTGGAACACCTCTGTTAATAGAACACTTTTCAGATTCTGAAGACTGACTGACAATGTTAAATGAACCTCTGTAAGTGAAACACTTTTTAGAACCAAAGGTGTTCCACTTAGACAGGTTTTACTGTATTTCAAACCATCACCCACCTCTTCCTCTTCGATTTTCTTTTCTCGTTTTTCTGTTTTCTTCTTTCCAGATCCTTTTCCATGAAATCTATGAGACAGAACCCGAAAGGCCTCTTTTTGGTTCATAAATCGTCCATTATCATCGACATATTCAAGTTGAACTATTGGTTTATAACCTGCTTTCTCTTTGAAGTCCATGGTTATACCACTGAATCGATCTCTTGTCTTGTTTTTATATTTTTCATCAATATCGCTGGAAATAGAATATTATAGGTTATTAAACAAGTAATGTATTACAAAATTGAGAAGATGTGTCAATATGTGGACATTAAAAGTACATCTTTAAACCATATATGGTCACATTACATTGGATCAAATATCCTGATATCAATTTTTCCTATTCCTATCTTCTCCGATACACGTCTTGTACCTCAATCTAATTTTGCTACCACATGTATGTAAGTTGGGTCTTATTTTTGGTATTGATGGATTCCGTAAAATATTGACTTTGTTTACTTTTGATTCTACTCTATAGATTTAGCTAGTTCGTTCAAATTTTATGATAACTGCCAAATTATCTCATTATGATGACATCTATTTGGGTAATTATTCATTGGGTTGAAGGTTTTCTCCCATTTCACAGGGGAATGAGGGGGCCCATAACAACTTCATCTCACTCCAGTTGAGTGTTATTTTCATGGGTGTTATTTTTCTCCCACACACAGTCTAGGGGTTCTAACACTCTGCATGTTCATGATCAGCACACAAAGTTATTAATATCAGCTATTTTGGAACATAATATGAAACCCAATGCAGTGATATTTCCACACAGAGCCATGAATTTACTCATGAAGACAGGAAATAATTTCTTTTGTATCCAACAAAAAACTGTTATAAAAGTACTATATTTAGTTTTGACATTTTGATCAACAAAAGAGAATTATCAGCCTACATGTTTTTCAGACACATATTGATTGAGCGTGAAGAATGAGCTTGAAAGCTCAGAATGTCAAAAATGTGCGGATGTAATATACAGGGTGACACTAAATATATTGTCTCCTATAATTTTGAATTTGAATTTTCAATTATATTAGAATCTCCATACCTCTACAAAAAACAAGATAATGCTTTGTAAGTACACCAATGTCATATCAATATCAGTCCTGATCCCAAATATGTGATTAATCACTTGTTATTATATACCTTTTAATGCTCTGACCATGGTCTTAGAATCTCATTTGGCATATATTTGCCACCAATGCAGTTGACACTTTATAGCCTATGTACTAAAAAAAATCATGATGATTCCATCATTGAGAAAGCTACCCCAAAATTCTTTGTCACTCTGTACAAAGACAAACAAAAGCTGTTGAAGCATGGGTTGCAACGGATATGGTAAGAATGGTTGATTGGAGTATATAAGGTGATATCGAGTAGGACATATTTGTCTCACATTGAAAGGATGATGCGAAGGAAACTCATCATTGGATTGCTGGGCTTGGTACTTGTGCAAGTTGCACTTGCAAAACAAGGTATAATTCAATTAAATTTTGCATTTAATGTTAAAGTTAAATTAAGTTCAGATCAAATGAAAGTTTTTCCTAATGTAATCAAATTGTTAAAATTCTTTATTGGTTCTTAGCAGCCCTTTTGTTAAGATTTGAGAATCTTAAATATTAAGAAACAAATATAAAATGCAATCATAATGATTTGATGTGAGTGTTTTCTTTTGGCAGCTTTGGAATCAAAAATTAGACAATGAATAGGTATACGTATTAGGATTTATTTGAAAACGTGATACAACCAAAAGGAAAACTCTCCCTTTAAAAGACCCAATGGCATTCAGCTTTCAAATAAGTGCCAAATGAGATTCTAAGACCATGGTCAGAGCATTAAAAGGTATATAATTAGTGATTAATCACATATTTGGGATCAGGACTGATATTGAGATGATAGTGGAATTAGTTTAGCGGAATGATATCAAGTTGGGAAGATATCAAGACATCTATATCATCCTACTAATTCTGATATCATCCTGGATATTCCTGTATTCCCAGGAAAATCCATTCATCATTGAATGTAGTACTCTAAAAGAAAAAGGAACAATGACTCACAAAAGGACTTCCTGTGCTTTAAGCCTTTAATGTTATTACTAGTCATAATTTCTAATGTTTAGAAAAAATATATTAAACATACATGTATATGCCACTAACAGTGGAATCCAGAGTTAAACCTGTCAATTATTTCACAGAATCAATCATATGATATTCCATTGCATTCTGTTATTCCAAATGTATTGAGATATATATGCCTGATGCCATTTTGAGAATTAAGGGAATGTGTTTAGTAAAGGCACTCCCAATAAAAAATATTTGGTACTAATAATTTTTGTATAATTTGGTTTCGATATTTGGGGAATGGATACATGTTGTTTTCTTAAATCAATGATATTTAAAAAACAATCATTCAGGATAACAAAGTATTTATACTCATGTCTTTTGTCCTCTATGCACCAATTGCTGTCTTCCTCAATAACCCCCTTAGCCTTAGTTGCTCCAACCTTTTTAACAACTTCTTTCTCAAGATACCCTACAAAGAATGTAATAATTATAACAAGGCTTTAACATGCAAAATGCCATTTGTTACAGACGCTAAACGCCGAACACCAACCACCCAATGCTGAACAATCAACAAAAATATTGAAGACTACAACAATATGTAAAACAAGGCATTATCATGCAAAATGTCACCGTTTGCCATTTGTTACAGACACTGAACGCTGAGCACCAATCTCCCAATGCTGAAAACTGTCCACAAAAAGTAGGAGACTACAACAATATGTATATAATAACAATATGTCACCACTTCTGCTGGTGACAAAACTAGAGGACACAAGTTGCAAGCAAATTATAAAGACTACTTTTATTGAAATGTATGTCCATGTGGTGAGTGATAATAATCACCACTGTTACAAAATTCCTCTTCCACTTTTCACAAAAGTAACCTATACCTATATATGTGCTAACATTATCTGTGGTTAGTACTTTTCAAAAAATACACCCAAGAATCGTTCTACACAATGTACTTACATTTTGGAAACTGAAACACAGAGTGGCACAAAGAGTAGTTTTGGAATTTTTCAGTTTTGAATGAATCTTTTTGATTTTTTGTGAAATTAAAGTGTTCAATGATTGAAAGTGCATTCTAGAGGAAAAATTGTTTCTGTCTAAGCATGGTCTGAAATCTAAACATTCATGAATATTCCATCAGAGCTGAGATGATTGTGAGGTTCTTTAAACGTTCATCGAATAATAATATATTTTATCTCATCTGAGGAGCTTATTTGAGGAATCAAAATACTACAGCCACCATGCTGAAAATTCCTTGAGAGCAGAGGTCCTGTTCCCATAGGATTAAATCATGCCTACCTTTACTCATGGCCAATGCAAGGGCAGCGCCCATACCCTCTGCAGCAGAAGGCTCCTCTATTATAACTGCTTCATCTTTGTCATTATCTAGATCAACTGGCTGCTCATCTATCTCAACTCTTGCCCAACCAGTTGGGTTGGCCTCCTCTTCTTCCTTTCTGCGCCTTTCCTCTTGTAGCTCACGTTCAAAGTCCTAGAAAATTTGACAACTCTAAGCTTTTGCTTAAATACAAACACAAAGCAACTAATACTGTACCATTCTATTTAATCACTCATTAGACATGAAAGAGTTAACAAAAACTATTTAACCATTCCTTGAACATGAAAGAGTTAACACCAACTATTTAACCATTCCTTGGACACAATAGTTAACAGTTATTTAAGCATTCCTTTAGACATAAAGAATTAACAATATCAATTTAACCAACCAATAACTCCTGTTGGTCTTCAGTTCTATTACCAGACTGCCCATAAGTTGGTATATCTCCAAGAGTACGACAGAATTCAGCTACAGAGTTCAACATAATGTTCTTCTGCCTCGTGTCCAGTTCCATGTCATCGGGATCAGGCTCAGAATCAGATGGCTCTTCTTTTATTGTCTGGACAACATTCTCTGCAACCTGAAACATTCAAGAGAACCAATGTATACACATAGAGGACCAGGTACCAATAAACACAAGAACATCAATTGATTTCATTTTTTCATTTTTAAACTTTTAGCCATCTGTTTTTTTGTTAATGTGTTATCATTGTCTATTTTTGTTTTGGGACATAAATTGGTGGAAGCGATTTGGTCAAAAACTGTATATGCACTGTACATTTCAATTTATGAAATAAACATATTGAATAAAACATAGTAATGAGTTGTGTCATGAAATTATGAGATGTTTTTTCTTAGGACAACATCTGCTTGAAAACACAGAACAGACAATTGGATGGACACGCAGATAGATGGTTTCCTTATATCCTTTCTAAATCAAATGCATTATTTCTTAACTAATAAATAGGCTATCAAGCATTTATACACTCACCATAGTAGGAACTGATGTTTGCTCTTTTTTATGTTTGAGTTTTCTAGCCTTTCTGAGTGCTAATTCTAATTCCAAAGCTCCGTCATCCTCATCAACAGTCACACCAGTCAAGTCTTCATCGGGTCCCTGAATCTCAGCTGCAAAAACATGAGTCAGAAACTAGTGTTAAAGCATTATAAACGTACACAGGGCATTAACATTCAAAAGTTCGCAATTTACCATTTACAGACACTGGACACCAACCACCATCCACAAAAAGTTGGAGACTATAACTTTACAATATGTCACCATTTCCGGTAATAACGTAGTATCTAAATACATTGCATAACGAGATAAGACAGCAATGCAGAAAATCCCATCAAATCTTTTGTGAAGCCTTGGACAAAGATCAGCCAAAATATAACTAGATCTTAAAAACAAGGTAGGTGTGTTTGAAAGATTGTTGGAGAGAAATAAAGTGAACTGAACTTTCAAGGGCACTGAAGGTCAAATCAAGGTGAAGAAAATCGAAAAGGGAGGGCAAAAATCTAGATTAAAATTTCTCAAGAACTGATATGTTTTTAAATTATTACTCATGCACACATCCTCTCAATTTTATCATTATCTTTATATCAATTACATTAAGTTCGATAATTGACTACCATAATATTGCATTTTTTAATTTCAAATTTTCACAGGATGACAAATAAAACCACATTATTAATACTGAATTGCATTGAAATTTAATTGGATGTTACTCGTGTTGTTAATGCTTACAGTCATCCATTGGGTCTGGCTTATCAACTTCCATCATGTCTTGTTCTTCTTTAATCTGTCCCTCTTCAATGGCTCTTCCACTTGCTGCCATCTCATGTGGCCAAAGCATCTCACCATCAGCATCCACTTCTTGCTTGACACCAGATCTGGAAAATTTCATTCAAAGAGATAAATAAAAATGCTGTTTATTAGGAAGCAATATTTGAAATCAATTTTTCCGATTATTTCTATGACTAAAATCATGTAACAAGCAGAGTAAAATCTAAAACTTTAAAACTGGCACAAATAATATTCATTACAGTTGGTACTCACAGTATATGTACATATAATATGCGCAAAGTTCTTTTTTCCATTGCTTAGTGAAAAGGAATGAATAGAGAATTTCTAAAATGTCCAGAAACAATAATTGTAGATGGTGTATATCTACATGTCTATACCTAGAGCCATGATTCCTGCTTTCGGATTCTAGGGGTATGAGATCATCTGCCTTTACTGCTGTCTTCTTACGAATCTTCCTCACTTTCTTCTTTACTTTCTTAAACCCTTTCTACAACATAAAATTGTAAGAGTTAGCAACAGGTTAAAAACACTCCAGGGGGTCCAGGGGGTGGGGGGGGGGGCATCTGTAAATGTGGTTTCACAGCAATAAAATAACATTTTCATTCAAGCAATGTGAACAATTTCAAGCCATACTTGAAACTGACACGCATTTAAGAATGTGGACTAGTCACTTACCATTTCTTGTTCAGTATAGTATTCACTTGCTATATTTGGAGCACTAAGTTGAAGGGATTGGGCCTGATTCTTTAACTGATTGCGTATCATTGCCATTTGCCTTTCTGAATCTGCATTGTAGCTACCTTCCATTCCTGTAAAGTAAAACATTGGAGGTTTAATAAAAAATACCTCAACCCCAAAAGTTTTTGAAATCTATTCTCCTTAATTCCCAGTTTTCATTATAAAAAACAAAAATGCCATACTTCCATAAACATATATGCTTTTGGTTTATATACAACATTTATCATTAAAGCTGTTCTGGTATTTACCTAATGCAAAAGATTTTTTCCGTTCTCCAGCAATTTCTTCGTCGTACTTGCTAAGCACTTCTTTAACCTTAACCTAAAACAAATAAACAATATCAATAAAAGCTTCTTCCCAATTTAGCTTAAAACAGAGCAAATATTTTTTGCATCGGAAGATCAAAACTGTTATGTCTTATCAGAAGTGGTTTATCTTGATGTTTTAAAATCTAATACATCCAAACATAAAAATAGCAAACACAATTAATGAGACACATTTTCATCAATGGCATGAACAAAAATAACACCCTACCATTCCATATTCATCTTCCTCTTCATTATCCCATGGTTGGTAATCAGGTTTCTTTTTCTTATTTTCAATATTCTTCTTAGCAGCCTCGACATCTTTAATGTTGACATTCATCAGCACATCACCATCATCATCCAGAATACCTGCAAATGTATGTACAATGTTTCACACCAGAGATTATAGAGAGAATGCTCCAGTTATGTCATAAAAGTTCTCAGACAGCAGCGACTGGATACAACAAGGCACAGACGTGAACAATATCGTACCTAAAACACAACAGTGTGACAGTGAAGAATTTAGGACGGAAAATCCAAAATGGCCACCTTAAAATTTACCCAGAATGCCCAAAAACTAATCAGTTCTTAACTTTGATACGTAGAAACATCCCTGAAAATTTCAGATGAATCCATCAAATGGTTTGACTGGAAACCTGTAGACAAGTCTTGAAAGTGAAGATTTTAGGACGGAAAATCCAAAATGGCCACCTTAAAATTAACCCAGAATGCCCAAAAACTAATCAGTTGTTAACTTTGATATGTAGAAACATCCCTGTAAATTTCAAATGAATCCGTCAAATGGTTTGGCTGGAAACCTGTAGACAAGTCTTGAAAGTGAAGATTTTAGGACGGAAAATCCAAAATGGCCACCTTAAATTTTGCCCAGAATGCCAAAAAACTAATCAGTTCTTAACTTTGATACGTAGAAACATCCCTGAAAATTTCAGATGAATCCGTCAAATGGTTTGGCTGGAAACCTGTAAACAAGTCTTGAAAGTGAAGATTTTAGGACGGAAAATCGAAAATGGCCACCTTAAAATTTACCCAGAATGCCCAAAAACTAATCAGTTGTTAAATTTGATATGTAGAAACATCCCTGTAAATTTCAAATGAATCCGTCAAATGGTTTGGCTGGAAACCTGTAGACAAGTCTTGAAAGTGAAGATTTTAGGGACGGAAAATCCAAAATGGCCACCTTAAATTTTACCCAGAATGCCAAAAAACTAATCAGTTCTTAACTTTGATAGGTAGAAATATCCTTGAAAATTTCAGATGAATCCGTCAAATGGTTTGGCTGGAAACCTGTAGACAAGTCTTGAAAGTGAAGATTTTAGGACGGAAAATCCAAAATGGCCACCTTAAAATTAACCCAGAATGCCCAAAAACTAATCAGTTGTTAACTTTGATATGTAGAAACATCCCTGTAAATTTCAAATGAATCCGTCAAATGGTTTGGCTGGAAACCTGTAGACAAGTCTTGAAAGTGAAGATTTTAGGACGGAAAATCCAAAATGGCCACCTTAAATTTTGCCCAGAATGCCAAAAAACTAATCAGTTCTTAACTTTGATACGTAGAAACATCCCTGAAAATTTCAGATGAATCCGTCAAATGGTTTGGCTGGAAACCTGTAAACAAGTCTTGAAAGTGAAGATTTTAGGACGGAAAATCCAAAATGGCCACCTTAAAATTTACCCAGAATGCCCAAAAACTAATCAGTTGTTAACTTTGATATGTAGAAACATCCCTGTAAATTTCAAATGAATCCATCAAATGGTTTGGCTGGAAACCTGTAGACAAGTCTTGAAAGTGAAGATTTTAGGACGGAAAATCCAAAATGGCCACCTTAAAATTAACCCAGAATGCCCAAAAACTAATCAGTTGTTAACTTTGATATGTAGAAACATCCCTGTAAATTTCAAATGAATCCGTCAAATGGTTTGGCTGGAAACCTGTAGACAAGTCTTGAAAGTGAAGATTTTAGGACGGAAAATCCAAAATGGCCACCTTAAATTTTGCCCAGAATGCCAAAAAACTAATCAGTTCTTAACTTTGATACGTAGAAACATCCCTGAAAATTTCAGATGAATCCGTCAAATGGTTTGGCTGGAAACCTGTAAACAAGTCTTGAAAGTGAAGATTTTAGGACGGAAAATCGAAAATGGCCACCTTAAAATTTACCCAGAATGCCCAAAAACTAATCAGTTGTTAAATTTGATATGTAGAAACATCCCTGTAAATTTCAAATGAATCCGTCAAATGGTTTGGCTGGAAACCTGTAGACAAGTCTTGAAAGTGAAGATTTTAGGGACGGAAAATCCAAAATGGCCACCTTAAATTTTACCCAGAATGCCAAAAAACTAATCAGTTCTTAACTTTGATAGGTAGAAATATCCTTGAAAATTTCAGATGAATCCGTCAAATGGTTTGGCTGGAAACCTGTAGACAAGTCTTGAAAGTGAAGATTTTAGGACGGAAAATCCAAAATGGCCACCTTAAAATTAACCCAGAATGCCCAAAAACTAATCAGTTGTTAACTTTGATATGTAGAAACATCCCTGTAAATTTCAAATGAATCCGTCAAATGGTTTGGCTGGAAACCTGTAGACAAGTCTTGAAAGTGAAGATTTTAGGACGGAAAATCCAAAATGGCCACCTTAAATTTTGCCCAGAATGCCAAAAAACTAATCAGTTCTTAACTTTGATACGTAGAAACATCCCTGAAAATTTCAGATGAATCCGTAAAATGGTTTGGCTGGAAACCTGTAAACAAGTCTTGAAAGTGAAGATTTTAGGACGGAAAATCCAAAATGGCCACCTTAAAATTTACCCAGAATGCCCAAAAACTAATCAGTTGTTAACTTTGATATGTAGAAACATCCCTGTAAATTTCAAATGAATCCGTCAAATGGTTTGGCTGGAAACCTGTAGACAAGTCTTGAAAGTGAAGATTTTAGGGACGGAAAATCCAAAATGGCCACCTTAAATTTTACCCAGAATGCCAAAAAACTAATCAGTTCTTAACTTTGATAGGTAGAAATATCCTTGAAAATTTCAGATGAATCCGTCAAATGGTTTGGCTGGAAACCTGTAGACAAGTCTTGAAAGTGAAGATTTTAGGACGGAAAATCCAAAATGGCCACCTTAAAATTAACCCAGAATGCCCAAAAACTAATCAGTTGTTAACTTTGATATGTAGAAACATCCCTGTAAATTTCAAATGAATCCGTCAAATGGTTTGGCTGGAAACCTGTAGACAAGTCTTGAAAGTGAAGATTTTAGGACGGAAAATCCAAAATGGCCACCTTAAATTTTGCCCAGAATGCCAAAAAACTAATCAGTTCTTAACTTTGATACGTAAAAACATTCCTGAAAATTTCAGATGAATCTGTCAAATGGTTTGGCTGGAAACCTGTAGACAAGCTGAAAAGTGAGACACCGCCCGCCCGCCACCCGTCAAGCTGACGACAATATCGTACCTTTATTAGGTATACGATAAAAACTAGAGATATATAAGTTGTCACAATGCAGCAAATGGGTACAAAATCTTGAGAAATATATTTTCTCAGACAGCAGTAAATGGACACAAAACCTCCAGGATATAATGGGTGGACCAAAAAGTAGGTTTACAGTTATTCAACAATTTCTTTCTGTAAACCTAATTTTGGGCTACCCTGTAAAAAGGAATATTTCTGTGACTACTGTGAAGCTGCATTTATCCTTATTCATATTTCACACAATATATTTTCTATTGTCAATTCATGAGCTGGCTAAGTTGCATGTTATAATTTATGCATGTATAGCATAGACTTGAATTTTGCATATATGAGCTGGCTTAGTTACTCATAATAATATATGCAGGATGTACAGCATAACATAGATTTGAATGTTGCACATACGTTTGTCCTCGAGAGTGAGTATAACTGTTTTCCCCTCAGAGAATTCTTCTTGGTCATGTTGAACTTTGATGCCCCTCAGATCTCTGGAAGTGTACTCCTGAAATATTAAACAGAGTCAGTGCATGTATAGGGGTTATGCACTGGGAGGTTTTAGATAAAGGGAATATCCCGAGGGATCCAGAGGGACCGAAGGGACCAAGGGAATATGTATTGTATATCCCAAGGGATATTTCCTGTATCCAAACCGACCGTGCATAACTGTTGTATTCCATACCTGATGAGGTTTGAAATAATAAGCATGTATCCCATATGCTCTGGTGTGTTTACTTGCAAAATATGTTATCATTTTCAAAAAAAAAATTTCAAATTTTATTTTCAAAATTTTTTCCCGAATTTATTTTTACATTTTTTTTAACGATTTTTTCAAAAAAATTTTTTAAGCGGGACATTCAATTTTTATGTCCCGGATCTATACGAAAAATATTTGCCCGGATATGGAATATATTCCCGGTTGATATGTCCCTGAAACCTCATCAGGTATGGAATACAATGTATTAAATAATGCAAACAATGTGTGTATCCATTACAGTTGCCTTCCTACTTTAACTTTGTTTCAACTTCCCTTAAACAAACAAAACATGAAAAAACATTAAAATCATCAAAACTTATGGATAAGTGAGTGCTTTATCTGAAATAAACACACTCATAACATGTACATGTAATCTAAATAATTCAAACACTTGTTTACCTAGATTTTAAACATATTTTTCAGCACACGAACTAGAGAAAACTTCACCAAAATCAACAAAACAATTGCATACATTTTGGATGAACTGTTGGCATAATGTATGAATAAAACGAATATCTAAACCAATTTGCTGATTACCTTTTTCTTGGTCGTCCCAAACTCCTCATCTACGATATTCCCAATACCAAACTCATTGTCCATCTCCTCTAACAGTTTAGCCTAGAAGTAAATAGCACAGAGAGAACTTTTAATTAGCCTATAATACAAAATAAGCAATGTTCAGTTCTGAGTTCAATTTTATGATTTTTATGATAAAAGAATACCATAGTATGGTACACATGGTGAGGTGTTTTCAATAAAGGTGACAGCCATTTTGAGTTTGCAAAAAATCTTTCAGAAATGATTAAGATAACATAGCAAACCTTTAAACTTAAAGGTGGCAAAAAATTTAGAGCAAATGACAGCCGCAAATGACCAAGTACTTATGCTTAAACTTCAAGATATTATTGTTCACCTATTAACTGATTTACCTGTAAATTACAAGCAATTCTGTGGAATAAACTAATGAGAGTTATGATCTACAGACAGAACTCGCCAAGTAAAATGGCCTTTAGTATAAAATAAAAAAAAATATTTTTGTACCCTTTTCTCTGCTAGAGCCTTTTCTTTTTGTTGTTTTCTGGACTTTTTGATCCAAGCAAGGGCACCTTCTTCCTCATCTGAATCACTCTCACCTAAAGTTTTCACTTTTCTAAAAAATAGAATCAAAATGAAAAAGTTGTACGTAATCTGAAAAAACATATAGTAAACTCTACTTAAGGTGTATTTATTTTGCTTAATGAAGTATATTTTTAAATTTGTTTGATTCAGTATAATTTCAATATTTCATGTGTAAAAAAAGTTTTAAGACAACTATGGCATGAAGCACAGGTATAAGATGCATATTGAAATATTTGCCTTTTACATCATTTTTCACAAACTACAGTAAATGAGCCCATTTAGCAGCAATTATAGGAGAGCATATTTAAAGTGCAATGAATATATACCTCAAAATTTCAGATCTCTCATTCAAGAATGGATTATATTACAAACTAAGTGGATATTCACCCTAATTTTTTGTTGATTAATCTTTTACTGCGAATGGCCGCTAGCTTTTCCTGTATCTCAGCCTGGCGTCTTTTCTCTGCTTGATTTACGGCAGGCACGTGGACATCTTCTTTAATTTTGGGTTTACTGTCATCTAAAACAATGAACAAAGAAGTGAAGTTAAACTTACCAAAACCATAGCAGAGTAAAACAAGGCATTAACTTGCAAAATGTCACTACCTGCCATTTGTTACATGCTGACCACTATTTATTACAAATGATGTTATGCACGGCATACATCAACTGCCAAACACCATCCACAAAAAAGTTAGACATAATAAAAACCAACAATACATTTAAAAGTGATATAACACTAATATTTTACATAAAATTGTGTTATAAAAGATATCTGACCTTTTCAGAATCAGTTGTCTCAAGTATGAAGTGTAAACTTTAATTAAAGAACTTTTTATAGCATGAAGGATCTGTGGCTATCTACCTGTTTGGCTGTTGTCTCCATCCATTTTGAGAGGAGGAAGTCCCAACTTAGCTCGCAACTTACTGAAATAAGAATACATGTAATATTACTATGGAGACAGCAGTATTTTTTTCATTTTAAGGCATGTTAATTTTTTTGTCAATTTCAAAAGGTACCAGAGAAAAAAATCCTAATATTTTAGGCTGTGTCACAATATATGAAAAATGGCACCATTCAGTGGACTCACATTTTGACTACAAAAAGCAGATTTCTTCAAAAAGAGACAAAAGTAAGAGCTGGGATTAATGGTATAGACACCCATAAAATGGATACGAGCTAAAGTTATGACAATAGGTAGTTTCCATTCATAAGAAAACTATTGTTGGATGAGTTGGCAGTGGGTTATCACATGATAGGCTGACTAAAAGGTATCATGGGCAGTGATCTCCCCAGTATTTTTTCTCAGATTGGTGCAAATTTCTAATTTTCACAATTTAGACCAAAATTGGTCAAAATATGCCAATTTTTCATGATTTTTCTCATTTTCAAGTGGGTGAAAATGGATTTTCAGATGGGTGCAAGCCTATTTTCAAAATCTCAGGTGGGTGCTGCGCCCACTTGCTTTAATGTTTGGGAAATCACTGATGGGTATTAGGCTCAGTCAAAAGATATTTCGACTGAGGACTGGAAGTATTATCATGCATCTCACTTTTGACAGTGACAGTCTGCAATTCTGTGCATTTTGCCAGAATGTCATTTCTAATGATGTTTCACTTACTTTGTTTCATCCATTGAGAGCGAGATGTCTCCCCCAGCCCCTCCACTTGACTTAGGCGGAGTTGAACCCACTTCCCCTGAAAACATGGCTAAAATATTACATGTTCTAAAGTCTTAAGTCAAAGATGCACAAAATCATTGTGTTGTATGTTAAACATTAGAAAAATGTCTTACTCATGCTGCTGTCATAAATTATATAATATTCTTATTTTATTGAGAACCATTCAAAAATACAATTACCATGATCAAATGTTATGACATACATGTTGTTGATCTTTTAATGGTTTGTACAGATGTAGAAAATGAACCAATCAATTTTCTCTGTATGTGTATAGGTTTAATCTGATGTGAAAAGTAGCATTACCTTGGTCAGGTGCTGATTGGCCATGTCCATAGTCATACACTGCTATTTCCCCTTCCTCACTGGCACTCCTCTCTTTATGACTGCTCTTACTCTTCTTGTGCTTTTTGCGTTCACTACGCTCTCTAGAAAACACATAAGAGTCAGCTTTACAGTATTTAGAATCCCTTTTATATGCCATATTCAAACATGACCGTGTTCTAATTAAATTTCTCAACTAATCAGAATGCTTAGTGCGACATTCTGTTCAATTCGTGCTGAATTTCACCATATTGTTGAATGGTCTATCATTATTTATTCCTTCAATAACACTACGGCTAAAAGATATGTCACAACATTGTAAATGATTCACTTTTGTCAAGTCATTTTGAGTTGACATATTTGGACTGACAAATCCAGCCTTTTCTATCTTCCAATTAAAATAAATATTATATCCTTGCTGATATTAATTAGCGATTTAATTTTCTAATAACAAAATTTTAATATACAAATGGAGTCTTGGAGGTGAAGATCATATGTATGCTGCATTGTTATCATGTGACATGTGTCATTCAACAAAAGGACCCAAAATGGCAGTGCCTCATGTGATTTTGTTCATACTTTGAATATTTTGATGAACTACACATGAAATTGAAGGCAATCCTTCCTCAGCAATTTGAAAAAAGCTGGCCGGCGTGTCATAAATTTATAAAATATTTAAAAAATAGCCAGATAAATAAATCATTAATTAAAATGGAACCGGCTGGGCTCCTTGATGAGATATTGCATGATTTCGTAAGGATTTCGTCTAAAATTAAAACAAATGGCTCCAAGAAAAATGGCGATATTCGGAAACTGGATGGAATGTCGTTAATGTCTGACATTAGTAACTGGCTGTAAATTCTAAGTTAGCGATCCAGAAGATGTGAACTAATACATTGATCACTATGTGTTTTGGAATTTTTGGTGAGGTAATAAGACCAAAACTCACAATTAAAATTGTGATGTGGAAAATGGCGGACATTTGATTTCAAATTTTAAGATTACGACATGACCTGTTATACATGCAGGGATTTATCTTTGGACGAAGGCCACGATACAGTGGCCTTAGAAGAAGGTAACTCCCTACAATAATAGGACCGGGAGGCAATGTCATCCATGTAGGTAATTGTCGGACAAAGAAAGGCCTGGATTGACTGTCCGTTTTCAGAAAGATGGACGACATTGCCTCCATTAGTCATATAAATCCGACCGTTGTATGCTGTTCTTCAATATTCCTTGTTCTTATTTGGATATTTATTTTTTATCATTTTCTCCAAATCAGAAAAAATAACAAGAAATAACATCATACGAGGGTCAGATTTATATGACTATGCCTCCATGTACTCTAGCGGAGAAGTAGCATATAGGTATTAGCAAGGAAATTCGGTTCACAGAGCTGTCAAGTGTCCCGCAAATGGCGGGATTATCCCGCGAATTCGATCAAAATAAGGCTAATTCGTGTGTCCCGCAATATCCCGCGAAGTCCCGCAAATGTGGCTTTCGACCTCAGCGAATTTTCGAAATTGTTGCAATCCCCTATATGGTGATTATCTTATCTTATATAAGAAGCTAAGTTTTTGCACTTTTGAGGAGTAAAGTTTACCTAATTTTAAGTACCTAGCATGCTGTTGTTTGGTATCAAAATAAAGAGGAAGGGTTCAACTTTCATTTTAAATACGACAATAGAGATGTAGGTCACAAATAGTTCCAACGTTGGCCTTTTTACTATCCGTGTGGCCTTCATCTCAGAACTGAGCAAATGTTAGCAAACGCGAGTTACAATAAATGGACGCTGATATCTAGAAAGGGTTTGTAGAAAAAACCGGGTACCGGGTAGTAAATCCTCCATGCTGGGTTCAAACTTGGTACCCGGTACCCGGTCAAAAAACGGGTACCCAAAAAATGAAAAATACGAATATACGAGTATAACATAATTAGATTATCAGAAAACGTGTAAGATTTGTTTTGAATTTACAAAAATGTATGTAACATCCTTCAAAATTGAGCTAGAAGCTTCAAATAAAAAGCGTATTTTAAGGCTCTTTTCTTCCTCTATCGTCATCACCATATTTTCATTGGATATGTTCACGTACCAACATACGAACTCATTGAAAATAGAGTAAAATTGATTTGTCTTGTTATTCAAATTGTCTTACAATGTCATTGGTGTAGCCAGGAGAGGGTGTGATGGTGCGATCGCACCCCCTCCCCCTTCATTACCAATGGTAATATGACCATGATGATAGAGGAAGAAAAGAGGCTTAAAATGCTTTTTATTTGAAGCTTCTAGCTCAATTTTGAAGGAAGTTACATTTTTGTAAATTCAAAACAAATCTTACACGTTTTCTAATGATCTAATTATGTTGTATATTCGTATATTTCGTTTTTGGGTACCCGGTTTTTCGACCGGGTACCAAGTTTGAACCCAGCATGGAGGATTTACTACCCGGTACCCGGTTTTTTCTACAAACCCTATCTAGAAAAGTAACCTCATTCCCTATAATTTGATGTAGATTAATCGAACCCCTATATCATGGGCTTTCAATTGAAAGCCCATGCCGACAGCAGGCCTGTCAACTTGGGAACACCTAACATGAGTGACTTGGAAATGTTGAACACCTCCCCTCAAAATGTGGACACCTTGGTCCAAATCTGGACACCTTGATCCAAATTTTGAACACCTTGGTTTAAATTTTATTACATCTTGCCAAATTTTGAACACCTCAAATTTTTCGCGCTCGCTACCTTGAATGTCCCGGGACATCCTGCAAATTTAGGTGGATGTCCCGCGAAATCCCGCAAATTTAGGGCACTTTTTCTAGAAAATCTGTCCCTCTATGAAGTTTTTGCTGGTAAACCTGTTAACTGTCCCGCAATTAGGGTGTTTGTCCCTCGAATGGTCCCGCGAAATCCCGCGAATTTGATAAAAAATTGGCCTATGAGCGCAATCACGCAAATCCCTTAAATGTCCCGCGAAATCCCGCGAATTTAGTAGATGTTCCGCAAAATCCCGCGAATTTTGGGCACTGGGTCTAAAAAATCTGTCCCGCGAGAAAATCTTTGGGGGTTGACAGTACTGGGTTCAGTATGAAACAAAGTTCCAAAATTTTATTTCAAACCTCAAATATTTTAACAAATGACAAATTCAGAGTCCTTGTGAGGGACATGGAGTACATTGTGCTTACCGTGATCTGCTCCGAGAACGTGACCGATGCTTTCGCTTCTTTTTATGGTCTCTTTCCCTGTCCTTTTCCTTATGTTTCTTAGACGATCCCATGCTTCAAGAGTGGATCTAATTATATCAACAATGATCAATGCATTTGTTAATGTATTTATCGTTAAATTCTCAAATATTGAATTATTTCTGAAAGTTTGTTTTCGAAAAAAATCGTCAAAGATGGCGGATTTCACTTATAGACCAATAAAATCGCAGAAAATCTTAAACCCGTAACACTTTGTACCGTAAAGCAGTGTGTTCCTATTGTCGTTAAAAATGTCTGGATCTCGAATGCTTCGATTGTTTGTGGGTAATTTACCATGGACTGTGGGCCAAAGTGAGTAATTGTGCATATCTATCCTCTGCATGAAACATGAGATTAATTTTATCAAAAGAATGGATAGTTTGTGACAGCCGAATAGATAGAATTACAGTGCTGGTATATATTAATTGATTAGTCTAGTCGTTTTATTGCCATATTTTCTTGAATTTTAACATTTAATGTCCCAAACTCACACAAACTGCAGAAAAGTATACACCATAAATCATATATACCAAAATGAGTGTCTCCAAGGCTTCATACCAGCGTATGCATAGTTCATTTGTCACGAGTTTGAGCTGAAATTTCGCCAAAATGAAGTAGGCTCAGGGTAGTCTCTGCCAGGTTTGTTTATTGTGGTAAGCTTGTAAGTGCTCAGAAGCAAATAATTCATGTGCGCAAAATAATCAAATAATCTGATTGGTTAAAACTTTGCTGCACATGCGCACAATGTATGCCATGTTTTTTCTAGTGATTTCGTTTCGTTTCATGGAGTTTGCGTTTCAGTGTAACTTCCGCAAAAATGGCGGACCATGAACAGAATTAACAGGTAAAATCACTTCGTAATTTCAAGAGAACTTTTTACCTATAATAGCAAAACTTTTGTTTTATTTGTGCATTCTATCTATCAGATAAGAGTCTCAGGGGTATGTAGGCAAATTTATTTTGGTAGGAGCACTCTGTTTAGTTTGAAAACGCACCCTTAATTATTATATATCAGCACTGTAGGGATCAGTGAAAACTTCAAAAACGAATTAAGATTCAGAGTATGTCACTGACTTAGTCCAACAACATTAGACCTAGCCCGGGCCTCGTTTCTTATCTGACGTGTGTTATGGCCCGGCTAGGTCTAACCTCCATGACCATTTTGCCTTTGATGCGTTAATTTAATCGTTCAGCAGGTTTCGACAAGCGGAACAAATTAAACCCTGAAAACATGGCAATATTACATAAAGAATGTGATTCAAACATGCATACATACCTTATAAACACATACACCCCGTCCCGTATCCCCCTTAGACCCTATTGATGCATAATTACGAAAATATTGGAGACAGGTTTGGAAATGACGAAAATGTCGGTCAGTTTCGGTAACATCGAAATTGCAAATCGTTTCAGGAATTAACCGTCATCACGGCACTGGCATTAACGAACAGTGGGTTTGCAATTAATAACTATTTTGCGTGTATACACGCGCTATATAAATTAATCAAAGATACCTGTTATCCTCAAAATTGATCTTTTTATCCCGAGTAATCGCGATAATAATTATCAATCTATTTGACAACAATTTCGTTTCGCTGGTAGTTTAATTTTACGATCCGGGACACTCAGACGAACAGACAAAATGACGGACATGCGGAATGTCACTTTAGAGATTGGTAAGTGTAGCCTCATTTTACTCGTATAAATGAACATTTAACACAAAAATATTGTGTTAAATCGCTTGATGTTATGTGTTTTTATATTACTGTCAAGTATCAGTTGCACGTTATCGCGGAAAAATGGTTTCGATGGATTCAGAACTTGCATCAAAGGAAAGAATAGTAAGGAGGTTAAACTCAATAATGGCCCCAAGAAAATTCCTAATATTAAAGAACGCCGTTATTGAGTTTAACGACGTTGAACTATCACTGACTGAGTCAGTATCTGAGTATTAGAATTCTAGTTATTTATCTATTTAGTTCCAAGACCATGTGTGAGTGCATTAATAGAAAATGCAGGCGCGTAACCAGGCATACGCGAGGTTACGCAGTTGCCTACCCTATATAATGGAGCAAAAGAATGAATTGTTGTAGAAAGTGAAGCAATATATTTTGTTTCACGATCTTTCCTCGACTACTTCTCTTCAAGACACAGTTTGATATCGCTCAGAACGCACCATTTGAGGTCTAAAATCAAAATTTTTCGGACCCCCTAGTTTTGCCCGGCCTTCGGCCTCGCGTACATGCTATCAAAATCCTGGTTACGCCGCTGAAATGAACGATCCTGAGCCCACTGCTTTGCTTGAACTGACGATCAATTGATAGCGGTAACATATAGTTATGGTCTCCATTTTTGTGATGGTGATTGGTGTCCAGCATATGAAAATTTGCATATGTAACAAATGGAAGGTGGTGACATTTTGCATATTCAGGCCTTTTTGTATTTTTATTGTTTTTGTATGCTATACATCAACTTAAGCTACCTTCCTCATTATCCAACTGAACAAAGTCGAAGAACTTGACACTTTCTTCAATCATCAAAACAATGCTGATATGGTTAAATCTTAAATGTAGGGGGCATACTAAATACCGTATGTAAGTGTCAGTTGTATTTATTGTCAGAATTTTATTTTTTAGACTTGATTGACATGGATGAACAATCCAATGGAGTAAAACGTTCCATTGGGAGCATCAGTCGACATGGTTACAAAGCAATGAAATAACTCATTCATTGAAGCAAGCTATTTTTATTTCACCACTTCTTTTATGTCACCACCATAAGTGGTGAAATATTGTTACAGTCCCTAACTTCTTGTGGATAGTGTAAGGCAGTTGTTGTTCAGCGGTTGGTGTCTGTAACAAATGGCATGTGGTGACATTGTGCATGCTGCCTTGTTCTAAGTGTTACCGCTTTCAAGCCACGATTGACTGTTTATGAACAATAATACCTTGAAAAAATCATGTACATTTTAATCCATTGAATCACACTGTAGTCTACAGTACAGTAGATGTTTTGCCACAAAATGATAGACATTTTGCTGAAAAACAGCTCGGTCCAGTTACTTGATTTTAACTGGTCATTTGCTATGATTTTCAGAACCTACCCTTGGACAATGAGTATTTTTTTCAAAATTACATTCAGTTTTGAACAAAATATTCATTGGCTGGGCACCTGTACTGGAAATCGAAGCAAATGTGACCATGGCAGAACCCGAGATAGGATAATAAATGTCCAATGAAATTCAAAATGTTCTATTTCATTTATGTTCCAGGACAATTGGTAGAGTATTTCAACAAATTTGGGGTTGTGGCAAACACTAAAGTTATGTTTGTAAGTATATGGTTACATTGATAAAGTCTAATTTTTCGATTAAACTTATTTTAGTCACATATATTTTTAATGTTAGATTTTTAGATCAAACTTATTTTTGTTACATTCATATTTCTAATGTTTGATCTTTAGATCAAACTTATTTTTGTTACATTCGCAACCATATTTCTAATCTTATAGATATTTAGATTTTGTTATATATACTTACTTCTAATCTTTAATCTTTAGATCAAACTTATTTTAGAATGTGTTAAAAACAGCTAGGAAGTGCTCCTATAAAATAAAGCCTATGATGGCTACATATATATTTCTAGAAAAAACTTCAGAAGTGATCAATATATAGAGTAAAGTAATACATTCACCTCTCCGTGTCAGTCAGACAGTCCATCCATTTTTCTGGAGAATAACTGAAATGGACTAATTTTTATCATTATTATTTGCTGGAGAGATGTAGTGGTTTGCACTAAAAATATTTCAGATCTATTGTCAGATCTATTTTCTAAAATTACCTTGGCCAAAGTCAATACTTTATTTGAGGAAAACTTTAATTCTGTCTAGAATTCAAATCTGGGTTACATGTATATAATGAAAAATGGTTGCATAGGCTAGAGGCTGACTCTTTTTGCTGCTTCGAATTGTAATACACAATTCTACTTTACAGAACAAAGAGACTGGCTTCAGCCGTGGGTATGGCTTTGTGGAATACAGAAATATGGAATCTTTAGAGTCTTGCATGACACAACCTGGACATGAGCTGGAAGGCCGCAAGGTAAAAATATCAGAAATTCATTCTTCAAAAATATGGCTCAATTACCCAAATGCGAGTAGGTAGTTACCAGTTTCACCACCAGGTGGCTGATTCGGGTCAATTAAAATGGCAGGTATATAAGAAAGTTCCCTTAAACTTGAATATTATCAATTTAAGTGGATCAATTTTCATATAACCCTTATGTGTCTGATACTTATACTAATGAAAATATGTCCAGTAAAGCAAAATATTATCTGTCCACTAAAAGAAAATATATTTCATTTTTTGTGATTTTATAGCATGGGGTCTATGGCGAAACTCCCCGAGCTAGAAGTCACATTTTCAAAGAAAATAAATTTTTCAAAGTTGATAAACACTTTTTAAAACCACATTTCTAGATGTAATTTTACATGTAGATTTCAAATATGATATTACTTTGACTGAATTTTGAATTTTTAATGACGTAAATCAAGATTATTTCCACTCGCATCTGGGTTATTCAAAATATCTGCCTTTTTGTTTAAAACATTGGACAATTTGCTTTAAAACTTAGATATTTCAACAGATTTATGCATATTGTATATGAAGGTGCTCTACCCACAGCTTTTGTTGAAAAAAGCTGCTAAAATAAAAAAAGTCTGCAATTTCTCATTAAAATTTAATATCTTAGACTTTTACTTGAATATTACTTCCCAGTTTGGGTTACAGTGTATATCATATATGTCACGTCATAGATGTAGATTTTGCCAAAAGTGACAATATTTCTGCTAGGTCATTTATGTCATGAAATCTTCAAAATGAGGAGTGAATAGATATGTCTTGTTCACCAGCATTTCCTACTCTGGAGTCTGTTTTTGGAATTGTTGTAACTTGGTCACAAGTCATTGTTCGTCAAAAAGTAAGACAATGGTTTTCCCGGAATTGTAAGTTACGATCATACCAAAAACAAACCCCCAAGGAGTTACTGCTCTTCTAGTTGAATTTTCGGAACACGAAATGAAAACATTCCATGTATATATGATTATTTTTAATGTTATTTCAGTTGGAAGTGTTGTCAGTTACAGAACAACAGGGACAGAGGAGAAACAGAGGGTTCCAACAAAATCAGGATCAATATGATTTATGACATGATAAAACATTAGGACAATTCAATTTTCAACAATTTAATGTAAATTATGTACAGTGTCTTAGCCAGAGGCAATAGTTGCCAAAATACATACTTTTAACCTACGATCAAAATGTATGTTGTCCTTTTTGAATTTCTTAAAACGCAATGTGGATGCCAACATAAAAAAACATGATATGAGACTGAGGCTTCTAATGGATCTCTATTTAAAGCAAACCAAAATTTCAGAAGGCCCTCAGTAATCAACCTATATAATGGTTACCTCCATTTACTGCAAAGCTTGTCAGCCAGAGTATGTAATAATCCAGTGAAAATTGCCCCACTTTAACAATTAGAATGTCCCTTGCAGAAATTCTTGATAAAATACGAAGATGCTCAAGCCTTATTACAAATGCTTTCAAATGTGCAGTTCTGTTAGTTCATTTATCACTTAGGCCTCCTCAAATTAATCCAAAAATATAACAGATTTATTGTACTTGCCCCATCTCATCTATTATGTCATCATCATAGTGGTGACATATTGTTATAGGCTCCAACATTTTTGTGGATGGTGGTTGGTGTTCAGTGGTTGATGGTTGGCATTAAGTGTCTGCAACAAATGGCAGGTGGTGACATTTTGAATGTTAAAATATAATAGATTAATTGTACTTGCCCCATCTTATCTACTACAGATTGAGATGCTCTCAAATGACATGAGGACATCGGAATATTAAAAGTAATGGCTTTATTTCATATTGTGCGCCATTAAAAGGTTTGCATAAAACCCCACATGCGGGGAGGGTCAGGAATTTGATGCACAATACGATCCCAATTTGTGGAATTCTGACTTCATGCTCTTAGGAGATTTGAAATACATATCCTAATAAATGTGAAGAATGAGAAGACAACCATGATACCCTAGAACACAGAATATACAGATGCAATAAAGTACAAACAATCTAGTGGAACAAAAGGAAAAATTGAAGAATGAACTGAAATTCAAACATAGTTACATGTAGGTCAGGTGTGTCCAATTCTAGCTAACCAGCTAGAACATAGCATTGGATATAACTGCACTGCATTATATAACCAACAGCCCCATTCAAGGTCACTTTTCTTTTTGTTTTAGATTCTAGTAAAACTAATGAAACTGATAAACTGATCAATTTCATAGTTGAGTAAAATCTATAAATAGTATCATAGGGAATAACAAGCTACGTGCTTATGTAGGTCATATGGAAGTACGGTAAGTGTTGTATGGTTGTCAAGGTGACTTGATGTTTGGGGTAGTAACTATGCAACTGCTCTGAACACACTGTCAAAACTTCAAAAATCATTTTTGAGATTATAAGCTATGAAAATAGGAGAGAACATTCATCTCCTTCATTTAAACAATTTAAAGTTTTGCCAATTGCAAGCATCTTCGAAAACTATACTTTGAGAAAACATTGGTCAAAATAAATGTATGTATATAAATGGTACAACAACCTGACAGTTTACCCTCAGCTTTTCAGGGACTATTAATAATCGCAACGACCAAATCATAATTATTTTACAAGACAAAACAAAGAGCTGCATGCACATAATTTTAAAACTAATATTGGATTGTTTTCAATAAAAAATACAAAGACAAATTATTTGTAATAATCTACCTTTGTATCTCAAAAATAGCCCTATTCTGAGTATTTTTAAATCAAGACTAAAAAAACTCCTTGATCAGCAAAATTCCAAATATTCATTAATTAAGAAGGGCATAGTACACATTGGTTTTATACCTCCTTTTTATGTAATTTCTTAGCAGATGTCATAAAGTTACACATTATACAATAACTCTAGTATCAGTTAAGGTATTCCCTTTGCTCCTGCTCCAAAAAATGCCCATATTTTCTTATAAATTGTATGGTACTTTTTCATATTCAAACATTTTTAATTGTAAACTCAATATATACACATAAACATGTGTTTACTGCTAAAATCTTTATCATTATGTAATTGAAATAATTGGAGATAAAGAAATAAAAAATGCTGACTGACACAAACAGAAGACCCTTGCAAAAAGTTTCCTTGAAAATGTATTCTTTTAAAGTCCCCATGTAAGGTTTGTAAATATGTTTTATCATTCATTTACAATTTGCCATACCCTGCGTGCAGAGTCTAGTTAAACTACACTCTGCCTAGTAGAGACCACATTACAGTTTAGTAGCCCCGCCCCCACGACGGGTACCGGTGACAGTTTGGGTAAATCACTTTTGACCTACACGCTGACCTTCCACCAATCAGCGAGCTTGAAGAAACATACGCCAAATGCGTTCTAATTAAATATGCGCATGTCATTGGTCAATTCTGGACTCAACGATGACGTCAGAAGGAATGACCATATAAAGAACGTCGGTCAAATTTGGCCGACGAACATTGATTGGCGCGGTGAGTTCACAGGTTTATTTTAGTTTGAAAGAGTGAAGACGAAGCTCTCTTTTAAGAAGTGAAGTCAAACGAATGCAAAGGGTAAATTTGCCATGGCTTTAAAAGTTATTTTAAGATTTTGAAAAAAATTGATTTCTCAGATTCCTGATTCCTAATTTCCAACCTACATGTAATTCTGGATAAAATATTACAAAAATATAATTATGTCAATCTATATTTCTAGCCTTTTAATGTGGAGTAGTATTTTGTGTTTGTTAATGTTAAGTAGTTTTCAATCAGATTGGATTATGCTAAAAAGGATTCACAAATATATGAATAGGCTCTAACATGTAATCAAATGGAAGAGTTACAGTTGCTAAACTTTTGGACTGTCCCGCAATTTGCGTATTTGTCACGCATTTGCTGAAGAATTTGAAGTCACGCCAGTTTTTTTTGCGTGACAGAAAATGTCACGCAAAATACGCATTTTACCTGGTAATTGTCAAGCAAAAATATTTCTGTAGAAATTTTTTCGAAATATGTTTACGATACGGTAAAAATACGAACGCCGGAAAAAAACGAACGCAATTTGTTCGGATTTGTCACGCGAATCCCGTATGTGTCACGCATGTTCATTGGAAATTTTTCGTACCTACCCCCCCCCCCCCCGTTGACGACATCGCGAGCGTAGCGAGCGCGAAAAATTTGAGGTGTTCAAAGTTTGGCAAAGGTGCTCAAACTTTGGCCAAAGGTGTTTAAAAGTTGGCCAAAGGTGTTCAAAATTTGGACAAAAGTGTTCAGATTTGGACTTAGGTGTCCAACATTTTGAAGTCACTCATATTAGGTGGTCCCAAGTTGACAGCCCTGTGGCTGGAAGGATTATATGATGAAGTTTGTACATACACATTATAAATTTCAACAAGAAGTAGTACTATCAATTTTTGTGTGAGGTCAAATTATTTTTTCAGACATCTCAATATCAATAAAAATGAGTTTGTGCAATGATTTTCTTGTTGTGTGGAACCGCCTTAACTATTTCGTTTGACTTTATGTAAGAAGTTTTGCATTTACGTGACGTCACACCTGTTAATGGCGGCCTTGGTTGCCTGTAAATTTTTACTAAACGACCGTAATTTTGTGTGATTTATCATGTAATGAGGAGTTCAATATTATTTTAAGTGAAAGTGATCAAAACATGGTATTAATACTTTACAACCGACACACCAAATATAAATAAACACTCTGAATTAACGGGAAAATCAGGTTATAGTCATAACATGGATTCTGATGATGCCTCCCTCTCCGAAGAATTTCAAGAACTTCAGCTCGAAAGGACCATAACTAAAAGTTTGAAGGTAAGACATTGACATTTGAAGCTTTGAGTAGCAGATTCACTGATTCAAGTCATGCCATTTGTGGTTTGTAGTTGTATCAGCTCAAAATAGAGTAGTCTCATTATGATTATTGGTCTAGTCTAAAAGAAAAAATAAGCGGTTGAAATGAAGGACCACTGCAAGTTTGCAACATTAGATCTAAGGCCTAGGCTATATGGAAAAAAAAACTTTTGTATATTTTGGTATGGTCTGGTTATCTCATAGGCTCGGGTTATCGCATCCTACGACCCCCACAACGTTTGTGGTTGTACGTGCGAATCATTGGTCAGTCAATGTTTTTACACTGGAGAAAAAACTACGCATTGCATACTAAATGACCTACCTCGACACATTCATGAGTATTTAAGAATCCTTTTTATGTAGTTGAACCGCCAATTGTATGGGTGTATCGGCAGAACGAAGAGATTCTCGTTTTTGAATCGGAAATATTAAGGTCAGGGTGCATGATGGGAAATTTTCTGCATTCCTCAATTGAGTCACATGTTATTTTTCAAACAAGAATCACTCCTTCCCTTCATTGTCTATATCTTCCAGTTTTGCACAAAGAGTGCACTTATGTGCCTAGAAAAGACTTGTGAGAAGAATGTTTTGATAAAGTGTATAAAAAACAAGAAAATTCAGTGAAAAAAATCAGAAAATTTTCAAAATTTTTTTTCACTGAATTTTCTAATTTTTTATACATTTTACAAAATAAACATTCTCACAAGGCTTTTCTAGGCACAGAAGTGCACTCTTTGTGAAAACTTGGAAGATGTAGACAATGTGGGGAAGGAGTTATTCATGTTTGAAAAATAACATGTGACTCAATTGAGGAATGCAGAAAATTTCCCAACATGCACCCTGTCCTTAAGCACTTTCCAAGATGGCTGAAGCTCGTCGGAGGGGGATTTGTCTTATGACTGGTGCATGCAGTGACCTGATATATTACTAAATGGAGGAATTTGACGGTTGAAATAAGTTAAATATTACATGCTACCTATTGCTATCAAAAATGAAAATCTCTTCATTCTGCCGATAAACCCATACAATTGGCGATTCAACAACATAAAAAGAATTCTAAAATACTAAGGAATGTATCGAGGTAGGTCATTTTAGTGTTCAATGTATAGTTCATTCTCCAACATTGTAGAAACATTGACTGACCAATGGGTCCCATGTACGACCATAATATAATCTAAAGTGGTCATACTGTAGGATTCCATAAGGCTCGGGAACATGAAAAAAAAATCTTATGGTTGTCATCCAGTTACTGCTGTGGAGATCCGGGGGTGGTCATCACACTGTAGAAGTATTCTAGGCTCTAGGGTCGTCTTAGCTTTGTTGATAAGGTCATTCATACACAAGGTGTTTACTTTTTCATATTTTTCAAAATGCTCCATTCAAAAATCCTTCAAGAAATGGGTTAAAGTGGAGAATTAACATATTATCTTTTGAACAATCTGCTGCCGGAAAGCAGGCCATCTTGTTGCGTGAGCACAATATGTTGAGGTCCAGTGAAATTGTCACATAGATTTCTGAATTAGCTGCACAATCATCATTTTAATGTAATGCATTGTCTATGTTGAGGAAAGGTTATATATCTACTGATTACAAACAGTCTGGGAGCAGATCGGGGACTGGGTTTATGAGAAGGCTGAACCCCCCCCACACTGACTGGTTGGCGTTTTCTCAAGGTAGCCTCAAAACAGGGTTTGAAGAAATTTTGTAAAATACTTATCATATGTATAAAAGACAGACTTCCTGCCTTTCTTGTCTTGGTTATTGTAGTTGTCATATGCCAAGTATAATGTGTGTCCTCTGACAAACCAATTGACACAAACCATGAGCTTTCAAGAGAGTACTCTTGAAGCCCCTGGATCCACATGTGACCAATTGACTTGCACTATAGGAATTACGTTTTTTGGTGTTTACTCTATCTTTTGACAAAAGTAGAACTTTTATGTATCTAGGTAATTATGAGTTCACCTGTGAACTTTTGCTTAATAAATTGGAAGTTTAGCTTATAAATTTTTTTCTGAGTTTTTACCATATCACCACCATTAAAATGACATGTTGAACAAATATTTAAACAAAATGTAGTCCAAAAAATAAATCCTTGGAACAAGCTATATCTCAGTTATTACCCGCATTAATGGGCTAATATTCTTACAAAGTGTTACATTTCTTAAGTTTTTATGGGTACCATAAAGGTCACTAAGTCTGAAATCTTACAGGGTTCAGTTTTTTGGTGCACCCTGTTTTCTTAAAGAAAAATATATATAACTAACTAACTATATTTTTACATGTAAGGAAATTCTATTGCAGACTGCTGAGGAGATTGAACGGTTGACTGTTGATGTCTTACTGAGTGATATTGAAAGGGCAGTTTATCTGTTGAGGTATGTCATATGTTTTTATTCACATTTTAAAACTATAGTATTTATAAATCAATGAAATATCGCAAAAGTGCTTACGATACAGTATATTGGTTATGAGCCATAGAATTTTCTCTGATCTCCCCGGGAATTTTCTCAACAAGGTGTAAATTTTAGGCTCAAAATATGGTGCGGATACATTAGAAGGGGTTTCACTAGAATTTCTCACAACAGGCTAAAGAAATGAAAACAACAGGCAAGATTACTGGAAATCATTAGTTTAACATGGAAAAGTTGAAAAGTCCCTTAAAACAACAGGCGATTTTGTGAAAACAACTGGTGAAAATTGCCTGTTGCCTGCTGTTAATGAAACCCCTGTAATGCATTTAGAGAGATTTTGTAAGTTCACTGTTATAATTAGTTGCCTCTTTCATGATTTGGGGAATTCTATTTTTTGATAGGATTTAGGACTACAAAGAGTTATCAAATTAGTTGTTGTTTGGTTCCTTTGAGAGGCAAAAGCTAGGATGAAGTCAGAAAGGCAAAAGTCACTTTTTAAGCTGGTTTTGAACTATAAACTAAACTATAATATGATGTTTAAATAACATCACTATCTCGATAAATATTTTCTCTCATATTTAATACGAAATGTCCATAGTAATATTCCTAAGGTTTCTCTACTAATAACCCAGGGAAACATACCCAAACGTCTGTTTGTTCGAATTCAAAGTCAATCTATTGTAATTGAATATTGAAATATTCATGTTTGGAAAAGTGCTTAAAAATCTTAAGCCCAAAATGCTCATATTACAGACCAGCCACTTTACAAGGAAACTTTAGTAGCTTGAACTGCCACAGAGCAGTCATTGTAAAAAAATAACAATTAATTGCAAATATTGTACTTAAAACTTTGAATGGTACAATAAGAAATCACATAAAATTTAGTGCTAATTTGAAGAATGTGCAAGAGAATGAGGTAAAATTTCATTTTGCTGAGGAAAAATAGGGAAAAAGTAAGGCACTTTTTAGTCATAAAAACTTAATACCCTGCACAGTCTAATTTTCTAGTAGATATACAATGTACACGGACACAATCTATGAGAAAAGAAAGAATGCATTTAATTATAGAGGGCATCATTGACTTATATATTCCATTATATCTGGAAATATATTAGGTTTTAGAACTGCAGTGAAAAGATAGATGTCATAGGAACATCAATTTTGAAATGCTGCAAGAGCTCGTTATCTTATCACATTGATTTTTTCAAGCTCCTCTCAAATATTGGGCAATTTGGATAGGACACATAATAAGTCAAATATCTTTGATATTACTATACTAGTATTTTGCTAAAGCTTCAAAAATATTATACAAAATAAAAATGGCACACGCTATTAGGAATATTCCTAGTCAGTTTGGTCTCAGATTTAAGATTTACTAAAAAGAATCACTTTAGAGTAACAGCGTATGGCCAGTGATCCCAACACATCGAAGCAACTTGCATCTTGTAAATTTGGAGAACTCTGATAACATGAGATATGTTGGTACTTCCATGGGCTTTCAACATGATGGGACGAGGCTTTCTCTTTAAAGCCCATGGCACTTCAAGAGTCATTGAAACAATTCATGTGCCAAGTGTAGAAAGACACAAGTGATTTTTCCTTTAGTTCTATTGCGATATAATGTTGACTTGTCCATCATGCTATTATGTCACCACCAGAAGTGGTGACATATTGTTTTAGTCTTCAACTTTTTTGCGAACGGTGGTTGGTGTTCGGTCATCGGTGTCTTTTGCAAACGCCAGTTCAATGATCTCCCCAGCATTAAAGCAAGTGGGCGCTTCACCCATCTTAGATTTTAAAAATAGGCCTGCAGCCACTTGAAAATCCATTTGCATCCACTTGAAATGAGAAAAATCATGAAAAATGGGAATATGTTGACCATTTTCGCTCTGGATTGTGAAAATCAGAATTTTGCACCCACTTGAGAAAAAATTCTGTGGAGATCACTGCAGTTGGTGACATTTTGCATGTAAATGCCTTATAGAAACTCATTTCCTGATGAGTTTGAAAGATACAATCAGTATTAAGTTGCCTTTTTCCTAATGTTGCAATTTTTTCATTAGAGCGAAAATTATGATTTATCACAGTTAGAAAATTATGAGATAATAGCCTATAAAATCCAAGCGTCTCAATTCAGATGACACCAAGGAAGGTCTGGTAGCACTACAATCCTTCATGATTAACCAATATATACTGTTTACGATTGGCTAATTGATAACATGGAATTCTGGGACAATTCTCATATTGATTAGTTACTCTATTATCTCAGGGTAATAAGGACAATTTCCCAATCAGTGATGACTAATCCCTGGAACTGCTATTAAAATTATTGAAACCCAATGAATATTAACAGAGATGTCACATGGGGATGGAGGTCTTCCTGAATCCTGACTCTGTTTATGAAGTACACTTTTGACAAATCTTACCTAATTTACCATTTTTACTTCAGAGCTTCATAGACATTCTTTGAATAAGATCTGATCTGAAAGATCAAAATTAGGTTGAAATTCAGCTAACTGCCATCTAAGTCACATAATTACATACCTTCTTCAAAAAAGCAATTATTTTCTAATCAGACTTAACTTGAAAAGCTGACAGCAACTTTTGTGGTCATAATCCATTATACTCAGAGGGTAGTGGCACTACCTCTGGGCTTCAAGGTAAAAAGGGTAGAGTGACTTTTATGAAGGAATCTATAAACACCAATTCAGGAATGTTAAAATCTGTTGGTTATCTTGTCAACTCAAATATGAAGAATCTAGTTTTTATACATTTTTATCACAATAATAAATATAGATATCACAAAAGCTGAAGACAAATAATCTAAAAGTGAAGAACCATTTTAAATTCGCAAGTTGAAATGTGTCATCATGTAGCAAAGGACAGTCCCTACATATACCAAGGGACTAATTTACCCTGGGTAATTTACCTTCTCTGGGGACTTTCATTAGAGCACATTCAGACATTGATAGTCTACTGAAGAAATTTTCAAGATTAATGCTGAATTCTAAATGGCCTCCATTTTCACATAAATATGTATTTTTAATACCAGTGTTATTATCAGATACAGTAGCCCTAATTTTATGGACTAATGCATTAATATGGACGGACCTCTACTTGAGAAGGAATTTCTCATGTGCTACTGTGGGTATAGGTTTTGCTGCTTGTTTTTTCTATCATGTAATATCATAAAACAAGCTATGAAACAGTTTATTTTAACTAATACTTTAATTTTATTATGTCACCATAAGTGCTGACATATTGTTATATTCTCCCACTTATTTTGTTGATGATGTTCGGTGGTTGGTGATTGGTGGTCGGTGTTTGGTGTCTGTAACAAATGTTACATGGTGATATTTTGCATGCTAATGCCTTGTCGTAAATTGCAGGAAACCTTAATTGCTATTATTTTCTCGTGCCAAAAATCTATAACAAATTAACATCCCTTTATCAGTTATGAGTAATTATGACAAGTTATATTTACAGAGCTGCTGTAATTGTATTATATTACCTCATCTTGGTTCCTGAATCAATCACCACTTATACGTTCTTTAGTAGCACATATTTTTTGTTTTAGATATTTCGTTCTCCATTTCTATTATGCTGAGATATAGGCTTCTAAGGATGTGAACAAATTTATTTATTTGGTTATTGATTGAGGGTGTATGTAACAGTATACAAATAGTGACTGCCATTGAGGGCAATAGTGTTAATTACTTCCCCGAGGGAATATCCTCTAAAATGTACTATTCCCGAAGCCGCAGGCTAAGGGTATAGCACATTATAGAGGATATTCCGATAGGGAAATCATATACACTATTGCTCGAAACTAGGCAGTCACTATTTGTTTTTATTATATACCCTATACTGACTCTTGTCCCGTTTCCTCCGCGAATGCCAGAAAGGTTTAGAAAGCCCCCTCCTTGGTCCATTGTTAGCATTATAAGCTGTGACATCATCATATGCTCAACAGAAAGTTTTCCTAAGAAATTTCTGAGACTCTCACTTGACAAATTCAATCGTGTTTAACACGAGAAATAGATAATCATAACACTTGAAATTCCACAGACGTATTGAGCTAGAGGAACTTTATCCACATTGCTTATATTGTATCGTTCACGCACGTCTGTCATGGTGAATGGAGTTGATTTGTGTTTGTGCTCATCCTCCATTTTTCTTTTTTTTGTCTGCGCGGTGATGATGCGCAGATATTTCCAAGGGTAATAGAAGTTGCAATCGTGATGTCAGCGGGCAATAGTTCAAATGTATATTCCCTTTTCTTACATTTGAGGGAATATAACTTTCGAAGGGAAATAGTAAATCTATTTCGGAACACGTGACTAGGTATTGACCAATCAGGATTAGTGTTACATATTGGGTATATAATAATAAAAAATATTGTCCAAATATTTCATATATGAGAATTGGAACTTTTAAAAATAAGAGGAAATTTGCTGATATCTCAGGCCTATTATTGATAAAACAAGCTATAGTATCATAGACAGCATGTTCTTGGCAGTGAATAATAGATATGTGTGAAATAATCAATTTTGACTGCCTTAGGCATTTCGTATTCTGTATCAAGACACTAAGTAATCAAGATTAAAGTGTCTCTCTGTGAGTTGAACTTGGAAAACATTCCCTTGAGATTATGTTTTAGTTCCAATTTAGAGCAGCATTGTTTCGCAAGTCAATAAACGATGGTTGTTCAAATTGTTTTTTATTATCTAACGTTACATAAGTACCCGTGTCTGGTTCGGAATTGGACCGTTCTGCAAATCAATATATTAAGTAAGAACATTAGGGAGGATGACAACTAAAAACATGAAGTCATTGCTTATATCAAGATCTGCCAAATGTTAAAGAAATTGCTTAAAGAATCTGCTTCAAGTATCTGGAAAATATATATTGTAATCTGGTGTATTATCAAATTCAATAAAGAACTAGTCATTGAAGCTTGAAAG